GGCATCCTTTGGAGGTCGAGATGCCAGCTGGCTAGCCCCCGGCTGGATCATGCCCTTCCAGCCGTGACGATCCCCCAATCTCTGGTGCGACGTAAATCAGCGACTCAGACTTCAAAAGCCTGAGCACGCTATATTAGCACAGCATACAGCGCAAACAGAACAGGTGTGAGGCTTGTGGAAACATACTAACAGCTAAAGATTTATTAAGCAAAAACCAGGACAAAGAAAACATGTTGTCTCCCTTTCTTCTCCTCAGAGAGACAGAGAAAAGCACAAGCTATACACACAATGTATGTACACTAATGCGCAAAGCATGGGAAATAAACAAGATGAGCTTGAGCTCTTGGTACAGCAAACTAAATATGACATAATAGGCATCACTGAAACCTGGTGGGATAAGTCCCATGATTGGAATGTAATAATGGAGGGATACAATCTATTTCAGAGAAACAGACCAGACAAGAAAGGAGGAGGAGTGGCGTTATATGTCAGGGGATGTGTATACCTGTGAAGAGATCCAAGATTTAGAACCTCAAAGCCAAAGTGAGAGCATTTGGGTCAAAATTAAGGGAGAGAAGAATAACAGAGACCTCATTGTGGGAGTTTACTATAGATCCCCAAGCCAAACGGAGGACATAGATGATGCCTTCCTGGAACAGATGGCCAAGCATGCAAAAGGAAGGGAGATAGTAGTAAAAGCACAACTTCAGGCAATACCAATGAGACGGAAACATGGAAGGTGCCTAAAGAAGCCAGGGTAGCTATCTAAAGAACTTTTAACTGAGTTAAGATTAAAAAAGGATGTGTACAAAAAATGGGAAAGGGGGGAAACCACCAAAGAGTAATTCAAACAAATAGCCAGCACGTGTAGACACAAAGTCAGAAAAGCTAAAGCACAGAATGAACTCAGGCTTGCTAGAGAGGTTAAAAGCAACTAAAAGGCTTTTATGGGTATGTTCGTAGCAAAAGGAAGAACAAAGAAACAGTGGGGTCACTCAGAGGAGAAGATGGTGAAATGCAAACAGGGGACACAGAAAGGGCTGAACTCCTCAATGCCTTCTTTGCCTCAGTCTTCTCCGATAAAGAAAACAATGCCCGACCTGAAGAATTTGGAGCAAATGATTCAGCAGAGGAAACACAGCCCAGAATAACTAAGGAGATAGTACAAGAATACTTGGCTAGTTTAGATGTATTCAAGTCTCCAGGGCCAGATGAACTGCATCCAAGAGTATTAAAAGAACTGGCAGATGTGATCTCAGAACCACTGGCAGTCATCTTTGAGAATTCCTGGAGAAGAGGCGAAGTCCTGGCAGACTGGAGGAGGGCAAATGTTGTCCCTATTTTCAAAAAGGGGGAAAGAGAGGACCCAAATAATTACCACCCAGTCAGTCTGACATCAATACCAGGGAAGATTCTGGAGCAGATCATTAAGCAAACAGTCTGTGAGCACCTAGAAAGGAATGCTGTGATCACCAATAGTCAGCATGGATTTCTGAAAAATGAGTCATGTCAGACTAACCTGATCTCGTTTTTTGACAGAATTACAAGCCTGGTAGATGAAGGAAACGCAGTGGATGTAGCCTACCTTGATTTCAGCAAGGCATTTGACAAGGTGCCCCATGATATTCTTGTAAAGAAGCTGGTAAAATGCGGTCTTATGCTACCATTCAGTGAATTTGTAATTGGCTGACTGACCGAACCCAAAGGGTGCTCATCAATGGTTCCTCTTCATCCTGGAGAAGAGTGACTAGTGGGGTGCCACAGGGTTCTGTCTTGGGCCCGGTCTTATTCAACATCTTTATCAACGACTTGGATGATGGACTCAAGGGCATCCTGATCAAATTTGCAGATGACACCAAACTGGGAGGGGTGGCTAACACCCCAGAGGACAGGATCACACTTCAAAACGACCTTGACAGATTAGAGAACTGGGCAAAAACAAACAAGATGAATTTTAACAGGGAGAAATGTAAAGTATTGCACTTGGGCAAAAAAATGAGAGGCACAAATACAAGATGGGTGACACCTGGCTTGAGAGCAGTACATGTAAAAAGGATCTAGGAGTCTTGGTTGACCACAAACTTGACATGAGCCAACAGTGTGACGCGGCAGCTAAAAAAGCCAATGCAATTCTGGGCCTCATCAATAGGAGTATAGCATCTAGATCAAGGGAAGTAATAGTGCCACTGTATTCTGCTCTGGTCAGACCTCACCTGGAGTACTGTGTCCAGTTCTGGGCACCACAGTTCAAGAAGGACACTGACAAACTGGAACGTGTCCAGAGGAGGGCAACCAAAATGGTCAAAGGCCTGGAAACGATGCCTTATGAGGAACGGCTAAGGGAGCTGGGCATGTTTAGCCTGGAGAAGAGGAGGTTAAGGGGTGATATGATAGCCATGTTCAAGTATATAAAAGGATGTCACATAGAGGAGGGAGAAAGGTTGTTTTCTGCTGCTCCAGAGAAGCGGACACGGAGCAATGGATCCAAACTACAAGAAAGAAGATTCCACCTAAACATTAGGAAGAACTTCCTGACAGTAAGAGCTGTTCAACAGTGGAATTTGCTGCCAAGGAGTGTGGTGGAGTCTCCTTCTTTGGAGGTCTTTAAGCAGAGGCTTGACAACCATATGTCAGGAGTGCTCTGATGGTGTTTCCTGCTTGGCAGGGGGTTGGACTCGATGGCCCTTGTGGTCTCTTCCAACTCTATGATTCTATGGACGGAAGTTCCCAGCAAGCTGTGCTGGAATGTAAACAGACATGTGACACGTAACAATCCCATGTCTGCTCCTTAAGGTAGAATGGAAAGCAGTGCTGCACCCCCAGACCACCTGATAAAGGGATCCACCTCACAGAGGCAAGGTTTGTTGTTTTTTTCACTGTCCAGGAAGACTGACCCCCTCAGGTGGGAGGCCTTTAGGAAGCCTTCCTGTTCAGCTTTCAGGCAAAGATGTTCAGCCAGACCAAACTGGGATGCAAAAGAGTACACTGAGCCAGCCTGTCTAGATGCACTGGAAGATGCCTCAGTGGAGTCATTGCCAAGCTGTTTTTGTCCAACAATCATGGCCAGCTTGGCCAAAATAAGGCGACAGCACCACTACAGCATGTTTTTCCCATGTCTTCTTCACGATCTATGATAGGAGTGGCATTGATGGAAAGGCAAACAGGAAAGCTGAAACCTATGATGAGTGCAGAGCAGTGGTGCCTGTTTGGATAATTTATGGAATTTATGGTACTGTTTATGTTTTTCTTTATAAATTATTGGATTTTATGTAATGCTCACATGTTTATAGTTCCCATTTACACTTTTCCTTAATTGTTTTATTTTTTATGAATACTGTACTTTTTAATCCTGCACTTTGAAGGAAATTTTACTGAGCTTTCCTTTTCTTTCTTTGAAACCAATTAAAAATGCTTTAAAAAGCAAATGCCGACATTCATACACACAGACAAAATCTATTCAAAACACAAATCACAAGCCTGAGAAGCAGGCAGTTGGGGAGCGTGCACACACACACACACACACACACACACATATACACATATGTGTAGTCTGCTTGGGGCCGAGACAGGAAGCCAACTAGTCAAGAGGTGGAGGGGAGAAAATAATGGGCAGAGACTTGTGCTTCTTATTTTGAGGCACAAGAGGGCAGCATGACCTACTCTCTCTGCTGCTCCGACTTGATTCAAAAAATTGTAAGGCTTTCGGGGGAAAAGACCTGTCCTGTTATACTTTGTAAAACACCAAGAACGAACAAACGCACATAAAGAAAATAGCTAATAAAACACAATTGAAATACATAGTGAAAATAATTACTGTTATTCATAATATTTAGAGAGGGCATGTTTAGCCTGGAAAAGAAGTGGCAGAGGATATCTGATGTTGTTGTTGTTGTTTAGTCGTGTCCGACTCTTCATGACCCCATGGACCAGAGCATGCCAGGCACTCCTGTCTTCCACTGCCTCCCGCAGTTTGGTCAAACTCATGCTGGTAGCTTCGAGAACACTATCCAACCATCTCGTCCTCTGTCGTCCCCTTCTCCTTGTGCCCTCAATCTTTCCCAACATCAGGGTCTTTTCCAGGGAGTCTTCTCTTCTCATGAGATGGCCAAAGTATTGGAGTCTCAGCTTCAGGATCTGTCCTTCCAGCGAGCACTCAGGGCTGATTTCCTTAAGAATGCATAGGTTTGATCTTTTTGCAGTCCATGGGACTCTCAATAGTCTCCTCCAGCACCATAATTCAAAAGCATCAATTTTATGGTCCAGCTCTCACTTCCATACATCACTACTGGGAAAACTATAGCTTTAGCTATATGGACCTTTGTCGGCAAGGTGATGTCTCTGCTTTTTAAGATGCTGTCTAGGTTTGTCATTGCGTTTCTCCCAAGAAGCAGGGGTCTTTTAATTTCGCGGCTGCTGTCACCTTCTGCAGTGATCATATCTGATAGGATATCTGATAGCCATCTTCAATTATCTAGACGGCTGTCACATGGAAGATGGAGCACGCTTCTGCTCAGGAGGGTAGCACCAAACCAATGGCTTCAAGTTGCAAGAAAGGAGATTCACACTAAACATCAGGAAGAACTTTGGGACAGTCAGAGCTGTTCGACAGTGGATGGGGACTCCCACGAGAGGAGGTTTTGAAGCAGAGGTTGGATGGCCAGCTGTCAATGGATGCTTTAGCTGAGATTCCTGCACTGGACTAGATGACTCTTTTGGAGGGGGGGTCTCTTCTACCTATAATTCTATGCTCCAATGATTCAACACAGGGCTATTCGGAAAGCCAGCCTTATTTTCTCCTCTCCCCTTTCTCCCTCCCTTCCTTCCTTCTGCGATAGGAAGAGCGCCAACCAATAGCCAGAACCGGCGCACCGCAGCGGCCTCTACCGGCCACGCCGTTTAGAACACGTCCCTACTCCCCTCTGCGCAGGCGCCCTCCGAGCTCACCAACCCTTTCATCTCGCGTCATCCCTACCGCAGGGGCGGGAGGGGCAGGCGGTTCTGATAGGCGCTCGGAAAAGACGGGGTGGGCGGGGCTACAGGAGTGGGCGTGTCCCGGAAGGGAAGCTGCTTGATGGCCGCGGAAGCGGGGAGAGGGAGGCAAGGGCGCCCGGGTTGCCCTCGCTGCGCGCGGCTGCTAGATGCTGCTGTCGGCATCGCCCCTGCACCGGCTGGGCTGGCTCTGGCTGTGGGTGCTGCACTCGCTGGGGCAGCCCCCTCCGGCCGCCGGGAAGGAGGTCGACGTCGCCCGCTACAGGTGAGCCCGGACCAGGATGACTGATGGAGGGACAGCAGCTCGCTGCTCCCTCATCACCACCTGGGCTCCTTTGCCTTCCCTTTTCTAAAGGCGGATTTTCAACAGGTGAAGCCTCCCCTTTTTCCGTGGCTCGCCTCTCTGGCTGGCCACGTTGAATTTCACCTGCCATCAAGTCTCCCGCAAGGACAACGGGAGAAAAAAGGATGGTGGCAGCCCTGCTCTCGGGTGGAAAACCGAGGGTGGGAGAGGGTGGAAATCCTCTAATACTAATACGCAGCTGTATTTATGTTTGCTTTTAAAAAAAAAAGTGCTTGTTTTCTAATAGTGAGGATGGAACAGAAATAAAAGGTCAGGGGATGAGGATTAGACTTTAGATGGTAAGTTCTACCCTTGTAGAAAATGGTAAGAAACGACAGTCATTTTATTCATGTGATTGTTTAAATATCTTAGGGATGTGGCTTCATGGAAAAGTAAACAAGATATCATAGCCATATATGTGGGGAAATCTTAAAAATAACTGAGGGCATGCTGCTCTTGACATATGCAGGTCTTTGTGGTCATGGTTGAAAGCAGCTGTGAAGAACCTTGAGGCAAAAAAACCCCCAGAAGTAGATCCTGCAAACCTAAAGTGCTTCCTTTGAGAAAGTAGGAAAAGTGCAGTGGATTATTGGAAATTATAAGGGAATCTTGAAGACATTGGTTTGGTGTGAAGCCATGAACAGAGGCCTTTTTCTCTTCCCTTCTTCTCCTGCCTTCCACTGCATTTTGTGTATATCAAGCAGGCAGCAAGAAAGTTGGAAGGAAGAGAATTGCTGAGGTGACCTACTGAGGGCTGGTCACAGCCCTGGCATGGGAGCTACCAGAGATCCATATTTATTCTGCATGGCGGCATTCCATGTGGAGGCTGTAATATTTGAAAGCATCTCATTGTGTAAATCCTAGATGAAGAAATTTTATTTTGCTTTTCAGACCAAAATTGTTTCCCAGAGTGGCTCATGGTGATCAAAAAGTCAATTCAGTCCTGGTGGCAGGAATTGTACATAAATGAAACTGACCTTGTCCTCAGGTTTACAGACTAAAATGACCAAAAGGAATGGGAGCAGAGAGAGAACCTCGTGAATGGAAATCAGTTTGACAGTGTCAGAATTACATGATTAATTCTGAGTTGGCATTTATCCAGTTGTGGTCATACTGACCTTCCCCTGCTGTTGGTCTTGCTGGCCTAGAAGGGATACAACTACCCATTAATCCAATTAGTGCTTTCCCCCTCACTTCTGCAGTTCCAGGGCAACTGGAGCAGAGCTGGAAGGTGGGAAGCAAACTTATTGTGGCTGCTCCATTTCTGGAAGAAGGCTGCTCTCATCCTTGCTTTGATCTTCTTCATGCGGGTGGGGTTTCAGCCTTCTGGCCGCCCTCAAAACTTCCAGTTTTGAAGAGAACATACTTTGTTTTTAGATGATATTGCACATGTATTGCGTCATACCCCATTTTAGAAGAAGCATTCTCTGCTCTGTGAGAGAAAGGAGAATGCTTCTTCTGTGATGGCAAGTATGATCCACTCCTTTCAAAATTTTGGCAGTGCTATGCTCACCTTTGTAGAGGTCACCTTTTTTGCTGCTGCTGTTCTGTGGTGTTGTCCACTTTTCTGTAACACTGTAAGTATGAAACGTTTTTGTTTTTTTTCTCCCTTTAGAGAGCGAGTCAAGTCCATGTTTTATCATGCATATGATAATTACCTGGAAAACGCCTTCCCGTATGATGAACTGCGCCCTCTGACATGTGATGGGCAGGACACTTGGGGAAGGTAATGGGAAGACTGAATGTTCTTTCTGTGGTTGCTTGTGGAATTTTGAAATAACACCTTCTTACGGTATGTCCCTGTTTACTAGAGCAGGTGTCGTCGTCCCCCCACCTGCCATGCTGAGTGAAGCTGATGGGAATTGCAGTCTAACTTCTGGAGGGCCCCATGTTACAGCATATGCTAGTTGTCCAGGAGCAGCGTAGATTTACTTAACCTTTTCACTGCCTTTGGAATGGGTTTGTTTAGCCTAGTGAGGAAAGACTGAGGTGCACATGATGAAACTGTTCCTATACCTGAAGTGCTGTCACATAGAAGAGGCCACGTTCTCTGCAGAACTTGATGTAATGGGCTCAAGTTACAGGAGGATGGATTTCAGTAGAACAGTGGGAGAAACCTCTTAATGGTATGAGCAGTTTAGCCATGGAACTAACTATTACAGTGGAGGTGGGCTCTCCCTCACTAGATCTTTTCCGACAGAGACTGGACAGCCATCTCTTGGTTTTTCAGAGAAGAAGCCCATTGGTTAAATGCCAGCATGTGCATCTTTCTATGTATTTTGTGGTTGATGCCGCATTTGCCTCACCAGCATTGCCTTCCTTTCTTTTTCAGTTTTTCTCTCACACTGATTGATGCGCTGGACACTCTGCTAGTAAGTACCGTTTGTCAGTATCATAATCTTTCTTAGTTTTCTCAGGTCCTGCTTATTCTCAGGCATATTGCATATTGGTAGAAAAATGATTCTGTTCCTCATACTTTCAATTTCTCCCTACTTTCAACTTCTTTACAAACAAGTAAAATGACAGCATTACTAAAACCAAGCACAAAATGGATTCCAAGCACAAAATGGATTCACAAATTTGAAAACAAAGGGTTATATCCAACACTATTGTTTCACTTACACAACACATGTTTCCATAAGGAATGGACCATGTTCCCCTTTCTTGCCTGCAGCTTCCCCAAATCTTCTCCAGAGGGTTGAGGGACCTTTCAGAACAGATTTGGGGGTGCACAGGGAGAGAAGAAGACAGTATGAGACTGGAACTCCATGTGTGCAGTGCAGGATACAGCCCAAATGTAGAAGTAAAATTGTCCATTGTCTCCCAAGACAGATAGATGCCAGCTAATTCCAGACTTGATCCATAGGAACATAGAAAGCTGCTTTATACCGAGTCAGACTCACTGGTCCATCTACCTCAGTATTGTCTACACTGATTGGCAGCAGCTCTCCAGGGTTTCAGGCAGGGAGTGTCTCCCAGACCTATCCGGAGATGCTGAGGATGGGACCTGGCCTGTTCACAAGGCCAACTTCTGTTGTTGATGCAATGCCAACATTCCAAGTTCTAGCACATTTTCTTCATTATAACAGCCTGAAGAAGCTTCAAGGGCAAAGCTAGATTGCCCCAGTGTAATATTCTGTAATATATCTTTCCTACTGATTTCTATCCTGCCTGCCCCCAAATTTAGATGTTTGCAGTCTCATGAATTGTATGCTTTCAATTACATTTATTTATTCCCAGATTTTGGGGAACGTCTCTGAATTCCAGAGAGTTGTCAGCGTGTTGCAGGAGGGTGTGAATTTTGATATCGATGTAAATGCTTCTGTCTTTGAAACCAACATCAGAGGTGAGTGGAACTCAAAAAGGTCCCTGTCTTGGAAGTATTTTGCATAACAAATTAGTCTAGAGTTGCAGCACAGAGGAAAGATGAGTGTGTAATATAGTAACAGGATTCAGAAGGGTAGCCATGTGTAGCCAGTTGTAGCAAAAACAACAAAGAGTCAGTTGTAGCAGCCTTTTAAGGATTGACAATTTATTACAGCTTAATTTTTCACGGAGCAGAGTCCATAAGAGGTATAAAGTGTAATCCTAAATTGGCAGGCATTATATTAAAAGCACTGGGGGTTGGAAGAATGGAAAATGAAGAGGGAAATAAAAGTTATAGAAATACCCTGTTCAGAGGTAATACAATACCAGATTAGAACAAGGATGGATTAACCAGATATTGTTGAAAGCCAGTTCTCATTATTCCTGACCTTTGGCCTTGCTCTCTGGGGCTGATGAGAGTTGCAGCTTCTAGAGGGTCCCCACTTCCCCACCCCTGTATTAAAGAGAGAAATCAGACAGAGAACTATGGCCTTCTATCCCCTGCCTGTAGTGGTCCTGGAAGCAGTCAGCTGGCAACTGTTAGAAAAAGAGACCTGAGCTACATGGGCTTTTCGTCTTATTCAGCCGGGATGCTGTTAACATTCTTGTGATGATTCTAGTGCAAGTTTTTGCTCTGATGCTTTTCTGTATTCATTAATAAGGCGCTAAGTTGAACATTTCATGACTTACACAGTATATCCTTGCAATGATCAAGGGAAAAGATGTTGCTGGGATAAGAACAATTCATGTGTGTCTCCTGAGAAGTTTAACCAAATGGCTGGCTCCTCTGTAGCCACTGAAAAGGAAATCAGTTCTGCACACTTCACATTGGCCAATTTGCACAATCAAATCCTGGGTTAAGAAGCCAGGATGTGAAAGTGTCATGCGTGCTCGCATGCAACTCCTTCATGTGAGCTGCATAACAGGCCAAGATTCAGCTTTTGGCCCTAGTTTCTCATTATGTGTGAACCTGGAAACTGTGGTTAATGGTTTTTCAGACAAGACTGGATGTGAGGCCTGTTGAACTGTTTCTTTAAATGTAAAGGTTCATCATTGTTCTACCCGATGTGTATGTCTTTAAGGGGCCAGAGCAAGGGCCAGAGCAAGATAATGAGACCCAGCTTTACAGCTGTGAAACATAGCAGGTGCTGCTGAGTTGTATTGATTAAGCTGTGTTGGTAATTGGGTGTAGTATATAAGGAGCAGCACCTAGCTCTCCCATTACCCTGGGGGATGGGTTGGTGGTTGGGTCTGGTTTGTTGTTGATGTATTTAGTGTAAATGGAGTTTTTGTTTTTGTAATTAAAACCTTATTTAAGTTATTTTTGAGTCCCTTTTTAATGCATGGTCTCCCCAGCAAGCTCTCTGCAGTGCTACCATACTGCAAATAGCCAACAAGGCCATGGTTTAAATTTGATTTCCAGTTCCTGGCTGGTTTGGAACCCACATAGCATAGCTTATGACTTTGCACATAAAACAAATCTCTGGTTAAAAGCTGAATCGTGGCTTGTTCAAAGGAACTCAGTGCCACCCACAAGTAGCTGCTGCATATACTGACTTCTTAAGCCAGGAATTGATTGTCCAATTAGTCTGTTTGCTCCTCCTTTTAAATATACTATGATTGCAGATAAAGGGGCTGGGCATGGTTATCAAAAGGATGGTGGCTAGTCGGCTGTAGATATGCCTGGAGGAAGTGGATTTTCTAGATCCGTTCCAGTCTGGTTTTGGCTCTGAAACACTCTTGTCGCCCTGATTGACAGTCTCCACTGGGAAAGTGATGGAGGAATGCAACTCTGCTGGTTCTCCTTGATCTCTCAATGGCTTTTGACACCATTGACCAGGTGTTCTTCTGGAGCGACTCAGGGAGGTTGGAGTTAGAAGTACTGTATTATAGTGGTTCCACTGCTGCCTCCAGGATCACTAGCATAAAATATTACTAGGAGATTACTGCTTAGCTTTTGGGCTGTTGGGTCCCACAAGGGTTCATTCTGTCTCCTAAGCTATTTAAAATATATGTGGAAACTGTTGGGAGCTGTTATCTGGGGATTTGGAGCACAGTACTCAGCTCTCTTCTTCCATTCCATAGAAATCTGAGTCCGTGAAGGTGTTGGACAGGTGTTTGGAGGCAGCAGTAGACTAGATGGGGGCCAATAAATTGAGACTGTTTCCAGATAAGACAGAAGTACTGTGTATGGGTAGTTCCCATGCCCAGGAATTTGGTGTACAACAAGTTCTGGAAGGAGTTGCACTCCCCTCTTAAGGAAAAGGCTTGTAGTCTGGGAGTATTCCCGGATCCCAGCTGGATTGTCGCTGGAGTCTCATATTGCTTCTGTGGCTAGGAGTGCTTATACCTAGCATAGGCTGATTCACCAGCTGCATCTGTTCCAAGGTCAGAGTAGCCTGGCCTCAGTTGTCCGTTCTTGGTGGCCTTCAAAAACATTCCTGTTTACTGAGGGATTTGATGGCTGAAAGAGACTGTGAGATCACTAGCTGAGATAATGTTCTTAACTGTTTTTAGATTTTTGCTTTGTTTTATCATTGCTATGTCTGCTGCTGCTGCGGGCTCCTTTGGGAGGAAGAGCAAGATACAAATCAAATGAAAAATAACATATTCACCCTTTGCCATTCAGACAGCACTACTTTGCTTTTTAAATAAGCTGTGCATTCCCATTTTCAGTGGTCGGCGGCCTCCTGTCTGCTCACTTGTTGTCAAAGAAGGCCGGTGTTGAAGTGGAAGCAGGATGGCCCTGCTCTGGGCCCCTCTTGAGGATGGCAGAGGATGCAGCTCGAAAACTTTTGCCAGGTGAGCACTGTTGCAGACTCTGAGAATTCATTTCCTCCCTTTCTGTGTTGCTGCCTTATAGGCTAAACTAGATTATAAGTAATGGGTACCAGGAACTTCAGGGGGACAAATTCTTGCAAATTGCTAGGAGCAGAAGAGATGTAGTTGGATATCTCAAGTGCGTTGAAAATAAATATTTATGCTCCTAATGTAGCCTTTTCCAACCTTGAGTCCCCAGATGTTCCTGGACCCCAGTTCCCATCATCCTTGACCACTGGACCTGCTAGCTAAGAATGATGGGAGTTGTAGTCCAACAACATCTGGGGACCCACAGTTGGGAAAGGCTGCCCTAATGTATACTGGGCCAAATGTTGCTAAAATCTGAAGTAATGAAAGTGGACTCAAGTGTCTGCTTTTTTTTATCAATGAGTATACCACAGCAGCAAAATTAGTATTATGGCTAAGTGGATAATGTGGGACGCGGGTGGCGCTGTGTCTAAACCACAGAGATTAAGGCTTGCTGATCAGAAGGTTGGCGGTTCAAATCCCCATGACGGGGTGAGCTCCTGTTGATCGGTCCCTGCTCCTGCCAACCTAGCAGTTCGAAAGCATGTCAAAGTGCAAATAGATAAATAGGTACCACTCCAGTGGGAAGGTAAACAGCGTTTCCATGCGCTGCTCTGGTTCGCCAGAAGTGGATTAGTCATGCTGGCCACATGACCCGGAAGCTGTACGCTGGCTCCCTTGGCCAGTAAAGCGAGATGAGCGCCGCAACCCCAGAGTCGTCCGCGACTGGACCTAACGGTCCATGTTACCTTTGCCTAGTGGATAATGTAATGGCTCTGATAAATATCTAAGATGAGAAATAATGCAGCTAATGCAATGTTTACTTTAAGGAAGTAGAAAGGCGCCTACAGTGCTGTATATGACATGTATTTGTCACTAAGCATTCATTGCACACTTGAGCTAAAACAGAACATACAGTCTTTGCTGTCTATTTGAATAGCGATGATCATTTTAACTTGTGGTTATTAGGATTCGCATTTGTTCACCTGTGAATGGGTTACCGTTAAAGTGGAATATAAATCCCAATCTATACAACAGAAACCTCTTTGAGCAAAGTAGTTCTTCAGTATACAGCTGTGTTCTTGTGTTTGTGTGTTTTGTAAAATCTTTAAATTATTGCCATAAACGTAGGAAATCTATTAGTTGCCAAGCCCGTTGAGCTTGATTGGACAGTGTATCAGGGTTGCTCACCAGGAGCTGGTAACAATTCCTTACGGGTAAATACCTTGCTTGCTGGACCTGCTGTTCAAATTGAGCTGTGCGTTATAGGTGACGAGGCAGACAAACGTACGTGCATTGAATTCAATGCATTGAATTAGGCTGTCTTCCCAGTAGTTGTCCTGACTTGTTTGCCCACTGTTTAGATTGTGCTGGGCTGTCACATGACTTGCTGTTAAAACTTGAAACACACCTGATAGGAGACTTGCAGGAGTATTTATGGAACCAACCTTGGGAGGAGAATCCACAGTTTGAACTGTATTACCTACACTGGGCCCCCAGTTATGCTAGTTTTGTTTTGAAGCCTTTCAGACTCCAACTGGAATGCCATATGGGACAGTGAACTTACTACATGGAGTAAACCCTGGAGAGACACCAATTACTTGTACTGCTGGAATTGGTACATTTATAGTGGAATTTGCTACGTTAAGTCATCTTACAGGTGACCCAATATTTGAGGATGTTGCCAGAAAGGCTCTTAAGACCCTCTGGAAAAATCGTTCTGATATTGGCTTGGTGAGTGGAAAAGCCTCATGTCACACTTTCCATCTAGTTTGATTTTTGTTGAAAGTATGGTCGAATTCTTTTAAAACACTGCCACTGAAACACATTGATTGCAAGAATATAACAGTACCAGGTCCACCATGTACCATAAATGTACACAGGCTGGTATGAGCTTAATCCTACTCCCAAACCTCTGTTGTTTGTCTACATCAAGGCTGAGCATGATGATCATCACCATTTTTCAGTAGCTTGTGGTCCAGATACCTTGAGCTTTTTTGCAAGAATACAATGGATGATCATATTAGAAGACGGCTTGTGAAGTTCCAATACTTGTAGAAACCTACATTGCTTGCTACCAGTCACTTCCTACCTCCACATTCTTACAAATCTTTTAAAAAAAAGATTTGCTCTTACATTTTCGCAGGTATACAAATCAGTTCAGGAATTTCCTCATTGGTCATTTCTCATCATCATCACTATCTTAAATGAATCTCTTCTGTCATGGAACTCAAGAGAGCATACATGACCCATCCAAACACTGACCAGACTCAGACCTGCTTAAGTTCAGCAAGGTGGTGGTCTCATGTGCCTTCAGACCCATCCACCACCCATTAGCCATTAGTCCTTGTTTTCACTGAAAACTGGTATGATCCACAAAGTGTCTGTCACAGGATTTAATGTGGAAATGAAATTCACTCTGGGGGAAATTCAGTGTATTCAGTTACGTTCTAGGCTTATAGTATGTTCTTGGGCAAATCCAAGAACTTGGAACCGGAAAGCAGCTGGGAATTTAAATAAAGATCAGAACAGTTGATGCCATGATAAGCATTCTAGTTTAAAAGGCTGTGTTAATGAATCATTAATGTCGCATGTTAGAGATGCCTGGTCCTGTGTTAGTTCTCCTAATCAGACTCATTGAAGTTAACGAACATGGCTAACTTATGTCCATTAATTTCAGTGGGCCTATTCTGAGTAAAAATTAGTTGACTACTACCCATAGTGTTTTTTTTAAGAATTGGTACAGTAACACACATTGTTGGCACTAAATGCATGTTAGAAGGACTGCAGAAATTAATATTTTTTTGTTATGTCTTTGTGCTTTTTGGAAGCTTGTACAGATAACAAACCAAGGATCTATTGTTTGCTGAAATGTATAGAAATGTAAACCTATGCTAATCCCAATCTACAGCTTTTAAGAAATGAGGCTTTTTTTTCTTTCTTCAGGTGGGTAATCATGTTGATGTGGTAACTGCCAAATGGGTAGCCCAGGATGCTGGCATTGGAGCCGGAGTAGATTCCTATTTTGAGTATCTTGTTAAAGGAGCCATCCTATTGCAGGACGAGGAGCTGATGTCAATGTTTCTAGGTGAGTTCAGAAAGGGCCATAGCTCAGTGGCAGGGCATCATCTTTGCATGCCAAAGGTCCCTGGTTCCATCCCTGGCATCTCCAGGTAGGGTCAGGAAATACCTCTACCTGACATCTCGGAGAGTCATTGCCAGCCATGGTGGACAATGCTCATTGGCTTCCTTCCTTCATCACATTAGAGAAGGGCTGTAGCTCAGGGATATAACATCTGCTTTGCATGCAAGAGGTCCCAGGGTTTGGGAATCTCTCTTCTCTGCAGCCTTAGAGAGCTGCTTATAGTCAGTGTGGACAAAACTGAGCTAGATGGGCAAAGGATCTGACTCAGTCTAAGGCAGTGACATGTGATGGTCTTGTTCAGTGGTGATGAGCACAATCAAGAGAATCACACTTTAAAGCTTCTGATTATGCATCGGCAGCCCTGTCTCTGTCTGCCCCTGTCAGGTTTGGGGCAGTCTTGCAGCCAAATTGGAACAGCTGCCAGGCCAAATCAGGATGCATGTCCAGGCCATGGCCCCGGAGGCTCCTTGCCCCTGCTTTAATGATAACTCATGTGCCATTTTTTCTCTTTCCCTCCTTGAACAGCAACTGCTCTGTAGAAGCTCATCTGTTGTGAGCAGAGTTCCCTTTTAAAATATTTTCGTATTGTCATCCCTTTAACATTGTTAAGCATAAAAGGAAATTCCAATGATAAATGTGTTCTTTGAAATATATGCAGATAGATTATATGAAAGCCAGTTCATTTTCAGGTGCTCTGAAATTCTTCTTCCAATGTTTATCGTTCATTTTGACTTGTCTTTCTGTAGACTACAACAAAGCTATAAGCAACTACACAAAATTTGATGATTGGTACCTCTGGGTTCAGATGTATAAAGGAACAGTCTCAATGCCTGTTTTTCAGTCCCTTGAAGCCTACTGGCCTGGCTTGCAGGTAAGGGCTGATGAAGAACAGGTATGTTTTAACTCAGGGATCGCTAAAGAACTTGTGGCTCTTCATATGTTGTTGGTCAAGCAATACTTGGTGGCCACAGGTTCCATCCCTCTTTTAATTGCTTGTGTTCTTCATAATTCCATTTCTACAGTAAAACTGAGAACCTGCACCAGAGTAGGCGTCCAATGCAGTATAACATGAATCCAGTCTTTTTGCCTGTGTTGGATAATCCTGTACTTAAATCAGAAGTGTTAAAGCAGATGAGGACAAATATCTGCACTGAGAAAACCAGCTGTGGCTTTTTCTTGCCAAGAAAACAGTTAGCAATAATCCACTTTTCGTTGTCTCTCTGATTCCGTGTGAACTGTAATTCCGCTGAGAATCTGACAAAGGCTGTTTTAGTATCTAGGAATGAAAATGAACGATTTCCTAAAACAGAGTAGCCCTATTAAACTTAAACATGTTGTTTCTAGTAGATTTCTTTCCAGACTTAAAAAAAACCTGGTTGCCACTGAGGTGTCTGTCCTATGGTTATTTTATATTCCAAGTCTTCTTACAGACATCATCTCAGTACATAGTTGGTTGTGCTATTACGGTTCTTCTCCTCCCCCCCACCCTTTTCCTTTTTTTAAAGCAGATTAAGTACTATTTGAGGGTTCTAGTTGTACACTGTGCTTGGTTTGATTATGTCTGCTATGCTCTATTCTTTCTGTTACCTCACTGGGTTTTTTCTGGTTTTATTCTTCCTCCCAGAGCCTCATTGGAGACATAGATAGTGCAATGCGAACATTCCTCAATTATTACACTGTTTGGAAGCAGTTTGGTGGGTTGCCTGAGTTCTACAATATTCCCCAGGGTTATACAGTGGAAAAGCGTGAAGGGTATCCACTTAGACCTGGTAAATGAGAAATAAGTATTTTGTATGTGACATCTTTCATTTGTTGTTTACAAGGCATATAAATACTGCAGGTGTATGTTTAAATAAAATAATTTATATACTGCTTAACTACAGTAATCTCCAAGCAGTTTACAAGGATGAAATACTGAAAGTAAATATTGGTTAGAACTATAAAATCAAAATCCAATTAAAATGCCTGCTGGAACAACAACAAAAAATGTCTTCAGTAGGCACTGGAAGTTCAGCAGGGAGGGCGGGAGTCTTCATGACATTCCTCCTAGGGGTGCAGCGATAAAAAAGCTAGCACATTTGCAAAACTAAGCATGGTTTCAAAGCAGATGAGGAGACTGTGTGTTAAGATTCCTGCCTTGCAGGTGGTTGGAGATGACCCTCAAGACCCCTTCCAATTCTATGATTCCATTATGTCATCTGGAAGCAAGTGCCATAAAATTGGGCCCACAATACTAAACCCAACGGCTCCTGTTGAATACGAGCCATGCATGCAAGCCACGGGGGACCACTAACAGTAACTCCCCCAAAGACCTCAGTAATTAAGAAGAGATATAAGGGATTAGGCAGGTATCCTGGACCCAAATTGTTAAGGGCCTTGTAAAGTTATATAAAAACCTTGAGCATGGCTTAGTAGCGTATGGGCAGTCAGTGTAAACTTTTGAACACTGCAGTTATGTGCTGGCGGTAATCTGCCCCCATCGACAGTCTAGCCCACAGCATTTTGCATCAGCTGGAACCTCTGGACCAGGCCCAAATGCAGCCCCACATAGAGCACACTGCAATAATAGAGTCTTGAGGTTACTGTAATGGCCATAGTCAGCATACCAGCTGAAGCTAGTAAAAGGCACTCCTCATCACCAAGGCCTCCCTAGCCTCCAGCAACAAAGATAGATACAGGAGACCCCCTCCCCCAAAAAGTCCAAGCTTCTTCATTCAGAGGGAGCACAACTCCACCCAGAACAGGCAGCTGTCCAGTCTCCCAGACACATGAACCACCATCCCAAAGGGCTTCCGTCCTCCTACAGTTCATGCTTAGTTTACTGGTCCTCGTCCAGATCACCCCTCCACCTAGGCAAGTGTTTAGATCATGCATAGCATCCCCTGACTCAATGTTATGGAGAAGTAGAGCTGTGTGTTGATAGCCTATTGATGACCCTTAGCCCCAAATCATCTAAAGACCACACACAGTGATGTTATATAGATATTAAACTAGATTGTTTAAGACTTTAGCTTGTACCTTGTGGCTTCCTTTTGGATGATCTCCAAGTTGCTTTGTGGTTTGCCTTGGTTATAGATAAATCTATAGATCATTAACATTTCAGTCTAAGTGGCTCCTGAACCTCTTTCTGTTAAAAAGAGGGTTCCAAATGCATATTGTTCTCTAGTGTTGCCGAAGGCAGCAGCTTTGAACAGCAAGCTACCTCTTAACGCAGAATAAAATGAGTTCCAAACTACGTGACATGATGGGGGGAAAGTTTTAAGGAAAACTGATTATTTTGTTCCTTATTCAATAATAGATGACCCCTGTTTTGAACTATTGTGTGTTCTGAATCTTTGGGAAACTGTGCAGGTGCTTCCTGTATATTGAATAAATGCATGTGTATGCAATGATGTAACTTAAGGGGTGGGATTCACCTCATCAGTTGAAACCCTGTGCAATGGGGCTTCCCCTCTCTCCTTCATGTGCCTCCTGAAATTGGTTCGGGGGTTGAAGAGAACCCCCCGAGTACAGCACAGGGGAGGGAAGATAATTCCGTCTGGAAAGCTGATAATCTTGTGCGTACAGAATATTTTTAATAGCGCAACATTGATTTCCACCCAAGCTTTTTCTTTTTTGTATTTCTGCAGAACTGATAGAGAGCGCAATGTACCTATATCGTGCTACCCAAGATCCCACCCTTTTGGAACTGGGCAGAGATGTTGTAGAGTCAATAGAAAAAATCAGCAAGGTTGAGTGTGGCTTTGCAACAGTTAAGTATTTCTCCTGAACTCTCTTCCCCTGCCCCTTTCTTTTTAGTAATGGACTAGTGTGTCCCTCTCAAGCATCCTTTTCTCACTAGCAAAAGTTAACCTACCAGAATGTGTCATCTTGGTTGGTGTGTGTGTGTTTTATTCTGTGGCACAAATATGGTACTGATTCTAAGTTCTGCTTATTTCAACAGTAGACTTGAACTCCTGATTCGTGCCACTGTATATTTCTCCAGAATGTTGCTGAAACAATTGTACGACAGATTCTGGCATATGCAGTGTAACCAATTTTCCCTCCATTTATTTTAAAGATCAAAGACCTGCGAGATCACAAACTAGATAACCGCATGGAGTCCTTCTTCCTGGCTGAAACAGTGAAATATTTGTATCTACTGTTTGATCCTGACAACTTTATCCATAACAATGGGTCATCCTTTGACGTCGTACTGACACCCTATGGAGAATGTGTTCTTGGTGCTGGTGGATACATCTTCAATACTGAAGCTCATCCTATAGACCCTGCTGCACTGCACTGTTGCAGGAAACAAAAGGAAGAGCAGTGGGAGGTAGAAGATCTAGTGAGAGAGTTCTATTCTCTGAAAAGAAGCAAGAAGTTCACTTTGACAAGAACTTCCGGTGGAAGAGAAGCAGAGACGCACAAAGACTCTGCAGATACTTCTTCAGAAGGCCGCAAAGAGCAAATGAACACTAAACAGAAAGAGAAAAGGAAAATCCCACTCCTGAGCTGCCCTAGTCAACCCTTTAACTCCAAACTGGCTGTTCTAGGGCAGGTCTTCTTAGACAATACTTGATTCCTTTGCTCTGATTCAGAGTTGTTGATTTCAATAAATATGTATTTTATTTGCACTTTTCTGTTGCTGTTTCCTTAGAGGGATATCTATCCTTAGGGGCATATCTTCAAACGGGCGTAAATTGTGTTTTGGCATACATCCACTTTGGAAAGCAGAAGTATTTTGAGAACAACAAAAAGCAATTGTATGACACTTAGTATAGCTTTAGTTCCCAGATTGCGCCAGCCCCCTGCATGCCTTGTTTGTTAATTTTTCTCTACCTCTCTATCTCTCTTTCAGAGAGTGTTCATACTCTTTAACCACAGGCAGCACGGTAAGTTTGATCTGATATTAAATAGTCATGTTGGCCTCATGCAAAAAGAAATATGGCAAGCAAGTTTTTGAACTGCATAATCTTTAGGCAAATGTGTTTAGAATACAAAAATAGGTTACATTCTCAGGTTGTGGGTGCCTGGATGCAACACCATTACCTGGGTGAGACTCGTTCAAGTAATGTACAACTTAAACAGCTGCATCTAAATAAGGTATAGTTTGAAAACTTGCCACACACTGTGCCAATAAAATGTTGTCTTGGTCTGTAGTCAACAAGATGTTTGTTTACAGCATGGTGACAGGGTGGATCTTGCAGATACGGTGTACTTGGTAGCTCTGTCCTGCAAAGTACCCAATTCAGATTTCACTCTTGCCAAGAGTTTGCTACATGGCCCTTAGTCAAACAGCTGTGCAATGACACTTTGCCTGCTGTCTGCAAGGTGGAGATAACATACAGTACTAACCTACAGAGTTGCCATAAAGATTGCTGAGATAATTATGCTGAGTGCTTTGAATTCTGACATCCTGTATACATGTTAAGTTGATAGCTGTGAGAATAGATGGATTCACACATTTCTATCATGGACATTAAAGAGAAGGGTGATTATTTGTAGTCTTGGGGCTTTCCAATTGGGACACGATGGTGGCTTCTGATTTGTATGTGGTTGTTCTGGCAAAGACATCTACCTTACTCTATAGCTGGGAGTACTTTTTGTATAAAGCAGAGTTTTTTTAAAGGGGATTTAAAGGTATATAATGCAGCTTCCATTTTAAGATGCATTGCTTTTCTTTGTTTAGAGAGAAGCAAACCATGAGTGTTGGCTTGCAAGTAACAAGAAGTCAACCTTTGTTCCCCAGTGTGGCAACAGCAAAACTGAAATATAAATGAAGCAAGCAAAAAGAAAAGGGGAAAAAACCTCTTGCAGGCAGAGACTTGTGTTTCTATTTTTATATGCTATACATATGGGGTACTTTTTATAAATAATAAATGACAATAAGTGAGCTAGTAGGAAGGCTGTAAATCCTGGAACACGTAGAGATGGGACTGGTATAAGTTCCATGTTGGCAATTTCTAGGATTTCTGCCAGATTTTAAACAGACAGTTTGTCTGAAAGGAGCAGAAAAGCTCCCATTTTGTGATTATGGATCAGCATAATTGCATAGAAGCGACTTGCATTTACTTTTTCTTTCCACTTAGATATTCTCATGTCCCATTTAAGGACAAAACCCTGTGATTTCACCTTGGCCAACCTCCCAGCTTCGTTTTACTATTTACCCTGTTGAACTTATGGAGAGGAACTTGAAAGCTTGTACGCTACTTTGTTCCAAGTTGGTTGGCCTGATTAAGGTATTGTGCTACTATGGATTATAGAATCTTTCTTGTGGGCTGATATAGCGTCCCTAAACTTTTGTGTTCACAGGGTTGCTTAGAAAATGCACGTGAAGTGCTTCAAATATTCTAATATGCAGTAGTTATATAATTATTACTAATTATTAGTAGTGATACTGTAATACCTTATTATATTATATATGCACATAATATGCTGATGCCGATTATAAAAAAGTAGTTGTTAGTAATATTTCGTACACAACTATAGCTTAATTGAAGAAAGGCTTTACATGTAGCTATCTAACAAAGCAAAATGGGGGGGGGCATTTAAAAAGAACCTCACGTGCCTTTGTGTCTGCGGAAAGCGTCGCACAAAATACCGGAAATCCTGGCTTTGACTGAAGGGAGAAGGAGATGACAGCATCGCCTCTCCGCTTCTTACGTGCTTCCCTCACACGCATCCCTTTCTGCGAGTAAAGCTGCTCGCAGTTTACGGCCAAAGACTACGTTTCCCATCAGCTCCTGGGGAGTGGGGGAAACGGGAAGAGGCAGGCGCGTACTCCTCTCCCCACCAATCAGGAGGCGGCTGGCTGTGCGCGCGGCCGGGTCAGCAGGGGTCGCTGCGGAGCAGCCCGGGAGACGTTCCGTTCAAAGCGCCTGAGAGGAGGGGCGCTTCCTGTTTAGCCAGAGGCAGGAGCGGCTATGGCGGCGGCGGCGAAAGGAGCAGGAGCGGCGCCCCCGCTCGCGGCAGCGGGCTCGGATCCCGGAGCGCCGGGGCGGACGGGAGCCTGCCGAAGGCCGGCCAACATCCTGGCCCAGCTCCGGCAGGCGCAGCTCAGTGGCCGGGGCCTGTCGCGGGGGCCGCAGGTACCGCGGGGCTGAGGCGGGCTTGGTGGGAAGGCCGAGGCTGAGGCGACGCCGACACGCCACCTCCCTCAGAAGAGGCTCCGCTCGGGAGACGGGGCGGCGGCGGCGGGAGGGACGAGGCGGGGAGCGAGGCCGCGGCCGAGCCACGTCCCATTCTAGCCTATCCTTTTGCAGCTCACTCTGGGGTGGGAAGTGGGGGGCGGTTTTCGCCCCTGTCCCTCCCTTGCGTGTGATGCCGCCCCTTTGTCTCTCCCCACCCCCAGACTCGCATCCAGGAGGCGGCCCTTCTTGGCACCCGTTAAGGCGAGCTCGGGCAATTTTATCCCATCTCCCCCACCCTCGGAAAGATGGGAGTCAGAGGCTTTCTGCCGCTCGTCTTTCTGGGCTCCCAGGGAATCCTGGAGTTTCTGCTGCGAGGCCTGCTTGGCTTCCTGGTCTGCAACTCTCAACGGCTTTTCTGTTAATAAGGCCATTGCCTCTGGCATTTGCTGAAGTCCGGTACCTTTCTCCCAGTAGCATGCAATCCAGTTTACTTCGTTGGAAAGGTGTCGTCTTGCCTTGCTCGCCGGAGTTTTTTGCGCGCGCACGGGCGTCTTGCACAGCCCCATGGCAAGGTATAACTCCCAAGCAGGAGTCAGTTGGCAGAATATAAGAGCACCGTGTTCTCCATCGCTGAGTCAACGTGTGGCAATTTTGTTGTGTTCCGAGAGGCAATCTTAAAAGTGTGATCTTTATGTAGCAGACACAAAGTCTGGCAGTTGAATTTTTCACCTCCTTTCCTCCATAACAGCTGCCACGTTTAGGAGCATTAGGAAATAATAGTGTCCAAGAACACATATCAAATACGTTTTCTTTATTTAGTAGAACTTAAGCATTGCAGGGGGGAAAAGACATATGAAGTTAATGCCATAAAAACCTGAAGTACCAACATTGCAAATCTACAATGTTGATTATCAATACTGAGCTGTGAAACCCTAATTAAATCATAAATACCTGAATAAGCAAGGCTAAAATTGGGCATCAGGCAAAAGGTGATATTGGCCTCTGAAATGGAAGAATGGGAGATGCTCAAAGGAATAGATATTTATACCCATTTTTGCCTTTAAGGGAGATAATTTTTTCTAACCTTTTTCATTTAATTGAAGACTACAGTCCACAAAATACCCAACTTCAATAAATATCTATATTTTTGCTTTTATAAGTATCTTTGTTGTTGATTATGTTGTTCTCCCTCTCTTCTTTTTTCCTGTATCCCTTTATTTCTTTTAACTGAAATCACCTAAATAAAACATAAGTATTAAATTTAAAAAATGAAAGGATTCAATAAATCATGTCCTCAAAATACATTCATTTCAGCTTTGGCAATGGTTTTGATCAAACATAATTTACTGTCATCAAAGCATAATAATTTTAGTAGCATCTAAAACAACTACATCAAATACAAACAATTGCTATTTTAAAAAAGTATCTGGATAAGAATTACATGCACATTATTAAAACCTAAATTTTACAGGGATGTGTTTGACTCATATTGGGGCGTACTAAAATTATCAATGTTAAAAATAGCATTTGCTGTGAACACAGCTTGCTTAACCAATACATAAAGGTGGATTAATAAGTCAGGCCAATCAAGGTTTTTTTTATATAATGGGAGACATAATGGTATCGGTTCAAGATAGGGAATGGGAAATAGTGATCTACCATTCTGGTATGCAAGTGTGTCCTGTCTCTGAAGGGTGTTATAAAAATAGAAAGATGCCTTATATTCCCATTTCTGTAAGTTTAGTTGGATTGCATTGGTATAAGGAAAATCAGCCATATGGACTATTGCAGTGTCCTGGAACCAGCCAAAATGAAAATATTTGCCACAAATATATGTGAAGTTTTTTGAAGAAATATTCCTTTGTATGTGATACCTCACAATACACAATATAATGTTGCAATCCAGCACTGAGCTGGGTACACCGAAGCCTGCTGTTTTCAGTTATTATGATCAAAATGCACAATGTAAATGTTAAAAATTATATTCATTCATCACTTTAAAAATGATTCTTTTCTAGCTTGAAAATAGAATTTACTTACCAGGATAACCTAACTTGCTCAGTTCTTTTTTTGTCCTTCAGTGAAATACGTTGTGCCTATCCTACTTAAGTCATTTCCTTTAGTCATTTCCCCTAAATACTAGAAGAGTTCTGGTTTGATGACTAGTGGAAAACGTGACATTGATCTTGTAAACTCCTAGTTGGGTTTCTTTGATGAGTTTTGAACCTTTGAATCTGTGCTGTTTTGCTTGTATATATTTCATGCTTGATCAGCATTCATTTCTCTTTTGGCACAATAAACTAAATTATATGGAAATTTACATCCAGAATTTTTAAAAACTCTCTGAAAATGGTGGAGCCAGAAGCTTTGTTAAGTGTGAGTGCTGAATTTAAAATACTGTTTTGTTCTGCTCACAGGGACTTCTTAAAATAGAAGTCCCTGTGAGTTGGGGGGCGGGGAAGCTGCAATAGCCCAAAGTTACCTGTCTCTGCTGCAACACTTTAGCATGGAGTTGCTACTCAAAACTTTTAGTGTAGAAGGTTCTTGTCACTGCTTTGTTGCAAGACTGGGAATGAAAAGAGAATTTGAAGCATTGATTCTTTTCCACGGTAATGGAATCTGCATTTCAATAGCATTTTCATGGGGAGGGGAGAATTCATCACTGTGTCATGCACATTGCATTTTCTGCATCGGCATCATCACTACTGCACATTACAATCACACATATCTTTTCTGGTGCAAGTGTTCACAGTACAGAAACTGGTTTTCCAGCTCAGGTATGCATAACAAAAGATACTTGTAAATCTAGTTTGTTTGTTCTTCTTGTAGTGAAAGTTATATCTGTGAAGAAAAATCATAATGTGAGGAGTCCTTCTATCTTAAAAGAGCTGTGGTGTTAATCCTGTCTAGAACCTGACAAAACTGATGGCACACATAAGCTGCCCACTTGGCCAACATCTAAACGATGTCTGTCTGTTTGCACAATGGGATTTCTAGTTTCTCTTCTCTCCCTGTAAAATCTGCTGAATGGTCCCTGAATTCCCCCAGAGCAGATTTGGGGGTTGTGTTTTGGGGGTCCATGGGGAGGAAATGAAGGGAAAGCCCCATTGTGTATGCAGGCACCTACTTCCGCTAAATTAGATCTCACATTTTGACAAGCAACCCTACTTAGAAAATTTATTTTAACCCTTCAGTGGGTATTGAAAATCTAGAGCATTTTAAGTGAGATAAGGCTTCCTAATTTTGATAAAATAACGGAAGGAAGATGAGGATAACACACTTGTGGGGAACTAGAGTAAGTTATATTTTGGATATTGAAAGTGCAGGATAATTTACAATTAGTTTATGAGTCTAAAGATAATACAGAATGAAACAACAGTATCCCATCAGTGCAAGGATTGATCCTTGCACGACTGGACTTTCCCGACACACACTCTACACACTCTCCAAATCTGCTCTGTAAGGTTGAGGTAACCCTCTAGAATTGGTTTAGGGGGCACAAGCAGAAATTATTGCACAGATAGAATGTTCATATAGCACTACGTTGGATACAACCCTTTATTTACAGTACTATCAACATCTGTGAATTTATAATTTCTCCGTGCCAATGCCAATTTAAAAAAACAACCCATTCTTTTCATTTTTATAAAGAAGATAATCTACGAAATAAAAATATAGGTGGAAGATATAGCAGGGAAAGCAATCTAATTTTCTTTTTGTATTAGTATTTTTTATTAGCAACAAACTAGTCAGCAGTTGCACATTGTTAACATACCTCACCATTATCACTACTCTGGCTGATAACTTTGCTTATTTCCTTTGCAATACTCGTATGTGAGAGCTGTGGGTATTATTAATATAGTATAGTTATAACAGAAAGCAGGGAATCTCTTGATCTACAGATTTGATCTAGGTGGCCTTAAAAAAGATCACATTCAGAGCCTAGCTGTCAGTTTTCAATACTATTGAAAATATTGCTGGTGGATTATTATTTTTTTTAAAAAATGTTTTGTAAATTTAGCACTAGACATTGGCCTACTAGAGAATGGTAAGAAATTTTAGGTCTGTTCTTGAATGGGAAAATCTTTAAGCAAAAGAAATGATGGGGTGGCTTGGTTTTTACTACTGTTTACAATAGCTAAACTATGTTAACCAGCTGACGAATGAGGAAAAGCTTAACTCACAATGATATCTGAAAACAATATTTCCCATTTTCCTTAGGGTAACCTTCAAAGGGAGCCTGGGAGATTATAAATCTGTCCTCCACCCCACCCCCAGCTGTAGTGGCAATGTTTGCTTCAGTTAACCAAGGTCAAACATTTTTAATGCTGATTTCAAAAATCATGTTTTAGCAGCTGTACATTGGCTTGACATGTTCATCAAGCTATCTACCACAAACTCAAGTCCTCATTCCTATTCAGTTACCACCTCCACCAATTCAGACTCCTTATGTGAAATTTAGAGAGAAAAGTGCCCCAGTTTGCATCAGTTTACTTGACTACATAGTGTTACATTTGCCATTTTACTGCTCATTCACCCAGTTTAGATAGGTCCTTTCAAAGCTCTTCCTCATTTTTGTTTTAACTATCCAGATCATTTTAGTACCATCAACTCTAAATAATTTATGAACAAGTTAAAAAGCATAGGTCCCAATATCAGTCGTTGGGGAATTTGCAGAAATCTGCTTTGGCAAGTGTTAGGACAATAAGTAAGTTGCAATGAACATATGTGGATTTAATACATTCACAAAAGTACAATTTTCAGTGAGTAAACCATACTAGTCCTGTTATGAGTATCAGAGTATTTGACTAAACATCACTGGCCCCATTCTTCAAAATGTTACAGTCTGCTTGGCACTAAAGATCTGTTGTAATTAAGGTCACACAGTGTTGCCTGTATCAGAATACAGAACCCTCTTTGTATCCAGATTTTCACGTGAATGACAACTGAATGTCCAAATCTCACTTACAATGAAAGAACTTATATTCTTGTGGAAGCATTGTTGACACCATTACCTGATATTTAGAATGCTTGCTGGAGAGATGGGGATAGTGTTTAATTTCTAAAGAAAGACATCCAGGGACTCATACCATGAGTTTTATGAGCCCTCCTCAACAGAGTGGGAAGGGTGAGGAAACTTGCTTAGTGGAAAGGAAAGGACGTACTGTGTGAGCTCAGGGACACTTTTAATGTATTCTAGTGGGTCAGTAGAATTATCTGTTGGCTTCCAAGTTTGAAGGCAATTTGTTGTTCCTTCTGTATCAAGAAAAAGAAGTTTCTGCATGATTGGGGATGCCTGAACAGACCTAGTGTAATAGTGAATATCAGATACACAGTTTGGGTATAGTGGCCAGTTTCCAAGACATAAGGTAGCATGACACAGTATTTCTGTCAGCAATATATAAAATATATCTGAGAAATGTGTCAGTCTCATCTTTATCTTGTCTTGTAGCTCACAGAAGCTTTGTTAAAGGAAAGAGATAAACAAGCAAAGTGGAATGGAATTCCCTTGCTCTTACAGAAGCTGTATGAGAACAGTCATCCCAACAGTGATTTATCCCAGTGCCAAGGCATCTTAAAGGTAATGTTTCTTACTAGCAGACTGATGCATGGAGCAGAATCCATTCTCAGTTTCCTCTGATATTTTAAGTCAATTCATAAGTTACGTGTTAGTCACAGATTCTTTCAGTGGCCCCTCAAATGCATGTGTTTAGCTATTTCCATCCTGTGCATAATTATATGGACTGCTATCAGAGCCCTCATTTGTTGTCTCCCCCACTCCCAGCTAAACCTCCTCAAAGCTTTAAGCTTTCTTCGTACAGAAGATTCTCCAACCCTTTTTTTTCCAGAAGAGTAAAAAGGAATTGAGTATCAAGTTCTGCTCATATAAAGTGAATTTCAACAAATGTGTTTCACATATTTACTTAGAAATCATTTCTTTTCCCAATCTTGCATGTTTGGCATTTCAGACTACATTGATAGAATAATTAAGTTTGTTCTGTTTTCTGATATCACATTTAGCTGCTGATGCAGTGAATTAATCTGTATTTGTATATTTTTTGATGAAATCGGCTATCTGGTGCTGCAAATTGATGTTTTGAAAATCTCATAAGTACCCTCAGTAACCTTCTGCAACTACTTTGAATAATATGCTTTGATATGAAGTATCTCTCAGTACTTGCAACTTTAACTTTTGTTCCCTGCCAGGAGATTTCTCCCCTCCTTTCAATGGAAGCTATGGCATTTGTCACAGAAGAGAGAAAGTCTGCTCAAGAATCCACTTTTCCAAATACATACACATTTGACTTATTTGGAGGAGTTGATGTAAGTGGTTTCTACTTTTTTTAAAAAAATGCTGTAGCATATTGTCAAATACAGTAACTAACACATTGAGTGAGGCATTGGTAGTAGGAATAATTAAATACTAATACTCTTGTTCAAGACAATAGTACAGCCATAGGAAGGTTTGGTTACCCAAGAAAGCCAAATTTAAAATGTAAGGAAGGGATTCTTCATTACAATAGGAATATTGTGTTTTTGGAGACTAAAGTAACTTGGCCTTTTGGCTTAGAAAATGAAGGCTTAAGAGAAAACACAATTTCACTCTACAAGTTGAATAAACAGTCACAGGGTGCAACTTTAACCAAGGTTAAAGTTATGTGATCTTGGTGTGTTTCTTCCATTCTTTTGGATTAGGGGGGTGTAAAGCAGCATGGATCTGCATCACTTTATTGGATGCTAGGAAGGAATCTCCCTCAATCAGACTGAGTATCACAAGGAACGGGAATGTTTTCTCTCTAGCAGGAATGACTAACTAGCAGTCCATGGGGTACTTGTAGCATCAAGAGAGGTAAAGATGGAGGGCACCAATACAGAAAATCAGAAGAAACTTCTAGAGTTGAGAACCTTGGCCCTCTGGGTTTTTTCAGACTACAACCCCACAGTGTTAGAAACTGAGATATGAAAGCTAAATGGCAAGTTAAACCTAGGTTATGGGTGCAACAATGGAATATCTAGGTGTGTTCTTTTTATAACAAGAATTCCGAAGCTGAAAATGAATTAACTGCAGCTAAAATATTATGTTCATTTTTTACATGGTCTAGTCCTTCACCCGCTCCCCCCATATATTCTTAAGAGGGTCTCTTCTCCAGTCTTCAGAGAGTAGCTGGAAGTGGGGAGGCAGAAATATGTCCCCCTTTCCTTCTACTCTGCAGTTTTAATCTGAAATCTTAGGTGCAGTACTGCACCCAGAGCTCAGAAATTGCTCACTCTAGTGAAATTCCCTATCACAAAATGTGCCTAGAACAGTGGGAGTTTTGAACACTGCAACTCCAACAATCCTTGATCATGCTTATAATCTGGAGGGCCACAGGTTCTGCACCCCTGCTGTAAGTGGCCCTAGAAGTGTGTGACTTATTTCACCCAGTATATTTTGAAGTAAGACTCTTCATCAGAGGCACTACTTTTTTGTTGTTGTTGCAAGGTAAATGCGTTCTATATTAGGCGTCTCATAACCTGACTGGCCAACTGTCCTTCAGCATTTCAAAACGTTTATGGGGCACCCATAATTTCAGTGCTAAGAAAGTTGAGGGTTGTCATGGCTCAGAAGTGATATTCAATCTTCTTGAGAGTCATAGGATCCTGACGTATATAATTAATACTTAGCCTCTTGAATCCAGTATATTAAGTACAAAGTGTCTAGTTTCCTTTTGCATATTTCATAACCAAATCTTTAATCTTAATAAAGCTTCCATTTAGTGGGAGGCTGGCTCTGGCAATGGAACCCCTTGTCAATATATGAGTGGCCGTAATGAATGGGTCTGTGATAGAGCTGACTAAAAGTTGTCTATAAATTAAACACAAGGTCATAGTTAAAAGCTTGGAGAGCAACATGTCTGTATCTTATAGATAAATTTAGAAAAGCACGTTCTTTTATTACTACAGAATCTTAATAGCTAGCTTGAACTAATATTGAAACTAAGCTATTTCACACTAAAATATGGAGCTGCCTACTACATCAAAATCTTTTAAATCCTCTTCCAAGTTCAATGGGAAGTTACAAAAACCTTTTGTCTGTATAAGCTACAATTTTACAACTAATATGCGCAAAGACTGAGTAGTGATGCCGGTTGATATAACGTCTTGATCAGATAAGCTACAGGCAGCGCAGATTTTGCTTTTAAGTAGCCTATAGCTTTTAAAAGTGGCAATGTATTCAACTTCTATGCAGCCTTCACAAGGAGAGGCCACAGGCATATATTATAGAGTCCTGTCCTCCTTAGTGATAGAGGGGTGGTTCGTGGTCCAGTCCTGTATGTTGTGCTATACAATTGCATCCTGGGCCACTACTGAAAGAATAGACTGGATGCCAGCCCTGATTCTTGCTCTGGGAAAGCACCAGCTATTGGTGCTACTGTGTCAACTGATAGGGAGGACAGGGTGGCTTCCATAAGGTGCAGGAATGTGCAACGGCCATTTTCAAGGGCAGGAGGTGCCCCATAGTCCTAGAGATAGCTTTGCTACAATTGTCTGGAATGTTTTCTGGGTGACATTGTTTCCTTTTACAATAGTTGCTTTTGTCTTTTTTAACCCCTTATCAGTCTTATCCCAAGTCTTTCTTTGAAATGGAAAAGAAGGGTAATATAAAAGGGTGTGTGGGGTGAATAAAAGTATCCATTCTTTTTAATTCACTTGACTTATATTTATGTAAGTGTGTTACTGTATTGAGTTTTCCCAGTGTGTATATTCAGTAAATATTAGTAAGTATATGTGTATCTTTAAAATATTAATACATGGCAGGGGGAAAGCTTGCCCTGCAAATGTAAAGATCAGTAGACTATCCATGTCCTCTGCAAATGGCATTGCCTCAGAAGGGGAGAAATGTTGTGGGAACTTTGCACCAACTTTGCAGCATGCACGAACGTACTTCTCATTCACATTAAAACTATAGTTTCTTTTAAAATGTCATTGCATTGCTCTTGAAATATGACTATTGTTTTGAAGAGAAGCATAGTAAAGTAGGACACTGGATGTTTTGTGCAGTACAATAGAGCGGAATTGTCGTTTTTTAAAGTAGTTTGCTTTAAATTTCAATATAGCCCAAAAATTAGGTGCATTTTTTATTAAAATGCATCTATATAAAGTTATTATGTATCTAATTTTCACAGCTTCTAGTAGAAATACTTATGAGACCAACTCTTATTACACAAAAGAAGAAGCAGAAAAGTAAGTCAATAATATACTTCCTTCACCAAACCTTGTTTTGTTTCCTTCTCTTCTCGTGTCCTGATAAAATAATTGGTCACTAAACCAAGTACTGGTGGCAATACTTGTTTGCTAACATTGTGTGTGTGTTTTAATGATGTATGAAAATGAAATTTTACCACACAGTTTCTTAACTTTTATGGTTGCAGAGGTGATAAATGCTGGTAAACCATGTTTGTTTATAGGATTAAATACTGCACAATAAACAAAGTATATAGGCAGTGAACATAGCACATCCATAAAACATCATTAGACTACTTAATAACATCTGGATAGTGATGCACAATAACCAGTGTTTTAGAGGACCCGCTCCCCAAACCCTGGAGGCAAGCCCAAGTCTTGTTGGGTAGCAGTAGCCAAATGACCAGAATTAAACACCAACCACTGTCATCACTCCTGTGAGTCCACCAGTTTTGGCTAGGAAAATCACAGAGCTTTACAGAACGTCACCTAAGATTTGAGAAACAAAATACTAAGAACCAGATTTTCTGTTCCAACAATACATAAGCCTCCAGGAAGTTATTCAGTAGCAGTTTGTCTGAGCAGCCAAGTCCATGGATTTAGTTCTAGAAATCTTACTCAGAAGAACGCACAGGAAATAGGTGAAGTAGATTTCTTAAAAATTAAATTAAAAATAGCTTTTTTAAAAAAATAGACTCCAGTATCCCAGTGAAAGTATAAGAAAAAACCATTGTTAAGACTACAGTTGTGAATTACAAGACAGGATACAAAGCAACAAAAGCTAGCTTTCTTAGGCTAATACAAACAATATCAGCAAAGGGACCAGCGCTGCTTACTTATAATAATAGGTACAGAGTTTCACAATCCAGACAAGCTAAATGCCCTTTCATTTAGAAGCAAGGCTAGAATCACGTGGCATATATATAGGCTCATAAGGTAATAAAAGGAAGTCAAAGTCTCACAGTTTCTTGTTTCATGTGGTGTTCAGAACAGGAATATCACATGATATCTGCAGTATTTCTGTCAGCCATATAAACTTGATGTGAACGGATTGCCTACCTGCCCTAATAATAGTTGTCGTTCCTCTGTGTGTTCAACTTCGATCAGATCTCATTTTTATTGGATTTTAGCAGCTGAGATACTTGCTGGATTTTTTCATTTGGGCTGTTAAATAGTGTGGTGACGTATGTCTTTGTTTGTGGTTGATTGTTCAGGAAGCATTAATCAGTTTTTTCTATTGCAGTAAGCGATGACCTCATCAAGGATTGTTTAAGCATATTGTACAACACTTGCATATGTGTAAGTTATATTTTCTGTTCTGTCAATAATTTTTGTTTTGTGATACAGCTAGGTTTAGGGGATTCTTGGTCTGACAGAGAAAAACATTCAAAGCATTAAATCAATGTTGCATGCTGCAATATTCTTGATGCTAAAATTTCTATTGCATTTCACAAATTGCAGTGTAGCAAACCTGTTGCTGCTTGCATTTTGTCTAAACATCTTTTAAATAAGGACTCATTGCTATTTATTGCTGAAGTGTTTTAAGCCTTAATGCAGTGGCTTGCTGTGGGAATCTTGGTCAGCATTCCCTGTTTAAAACTCTTTTCAGTTATGTATGCTTTTTAAATTTTATTCTGGAACTGTATGAGTCATTTTATGTTAGTGGTAGTATTTGGACTGGTTTTTTTAAAAAAAAATAGAAACTTTTTATCAATGTAAAATTAGTGTTGAAAACTAGAGTTGAGTTCATGACATTAAATGTTGCATGAAAACAAACCAATAATTCCTGTCATTCACATTACATTTGTATGCATTGACAAGACTATTGGATACTTTACTTAGCTGGTATGCACTTTTATACTCACGTCATTTGAGCAGCCTAGCTTTCCCTGTTGAGAATTTATTGCTCTTTTACTTAAAGGCAAAGAAAGCTGGAAAGGTTCAGAATCCTATGTGGAAGGAAGGCACTTTTCTCCATTCCTTTTTTAATTTCCACTTTGCTGCCTCCTGGGAGAGCTCTGTTTTTCTATATTATTTTAAAATTATATGTGATGTTTGTCTCAGCAGTGTTAGCTTTTGCTCATGTGTATATGTGGTTTCTCATTATTGTAGACTGAAGGAGTCACTAAACGATTGGCAGAAAGAAATGATTTTGTATTGTTCTTGTTTACATTGATGACAAATAAAAAGACATTCCTGCAAACAGCCACCCTAATAGAAGACATCCTGGGAGTAAAAAAGGTTTGTTGATAATGTAGCCTATACCATCATGTTCTCATTTAATCTTGAAAACTCTTTAACAGCTTGTAAGTAGAAGTCCCTTCTCAGTTCAGTAACTGGAAAAAAAATATTGTATCCTAAATGGAAAAAGCCATATTACTTGCTCCTAACCTGTCTTTCCTTTGTAATGTTTAAGAGTATCTTGGCAGCACCTCTCCTAACTGTAAAATGAAATTTTGGGAAGGCATCATGTAATAGCAAGGCTGGGTACTTTTTATTGAGCCTGCTGAAGTGAGTCCCCATTATACATCTCTGCATGCACTGCTTTGCTTACCCCATTCACGCCTTAGCTTTCTGGTCTCAAATAAAGTAATGTTGTGGGTAGCACTATGGATACTGGAATTTACAAAGAAAATGGTGAAGCAAGTGTGTCCAGAGAATAGTGACTAGGGTGGTGTACAGGGTCTGGAGGGACAGTTGGAAAATGGGTAGGTTTGGTGTGGATAAGAAAAGGTTAAGGGGAGACATGTCTGCTGCCTTCAAATACCTGAAGGGCTATTGCATGCATTGTTTTTTGTTGTTTGAGAGCTAAGAGCTGTTGGACAGTGGAATGGACTGCCTTGGGTGGTGGTGGGCTTGCCTTCATTGGAAATAGTTAAGCAGAAGCTGGGCAAGCAGTTGTTGGGGATGCTGTATTTAAGTTCTGCATTGCAGATCCTTCTTTGATTAGGAAGTTGGATTAGGTGATCTCCAAGGTCTCTTCTGATTCTGAAATTCTGTGATTCAATTTTTTTATCATGAGCTTGGAAATGCATTTATTTAGCACTTAAGTTTTATCAGCAGATTTAATTAGATCTCCCTTTTCCCAGTTAAAATAATAGCCGAGGCTTTCAAGAGAGAAAGGGGGGAGTTTTTAAAGATGAGACATTAGTTCCTGACCCCCATTATGTTTGCTATTTAAACCGTATTTGGGTTTGCACAGAGACAAATATAGCATAAAGGTAAATGCTATTATTTATTTGTAGTACACAAGCTAAAAACTTTGGATGTAACGTTTCATGAAACTTGTACACTTTCAGGAATCTGAGGAATTTACTTATGTTCTCTAACTTGTGAGATTAGTTGTCAGTTGCTATCAATACTTTTCAGCATTGTGCCATTTTAAAAAATTGCTTAGCAAAGAGTAATTTACCAGTTATAATTTTAAAATATGTTCCCAAAGGTATAATTCATTCAAATTAAAATGAGATACAAGAAATAGAAGGAAAACCAAGAAGCAGGGGACTGCAGCCAGTCTCATTTTATACCCTGCACTCTCATAAATGCACAGATGTCCTTGAGACTCTCAGTTTCATTATAAGATAACTCTGCAAATTGTTTAAGCTAGAAGCATATTGCAAAACTGTTCTTTTCAATATTCAGTATTATTATTTTAGCTGCTAGTGCTAAAAGAATTAAATTCTTTTAATTTTCTAGAAGTCCAGAAAGTGGGGAGGTAGCTTCATACCCCCATCTAATTAAAGAAAAATAATAAATTATTCCTGCAATTAATAATTTCCAGCCAATCGGCATGGAACAATATGCAGTTTTGTGGTGAAGTACAGTATAATTTGTGGACTGTTTATTAATGTTAATAATATATCAGAAGTAAGTGTTGATAACTGCTAAGAGGGTCTGCCTTTGCTGCTGTGCAGCATGATCTCTCAAGGTTGTTGTATGGCCCAACTAATACATTACTTAGATAGAATAGGAGCCCCTGGAAAACTGTTCTCCTATGATAGGCTTCCATGTTGCCTAGGTAAAGTATTCTGTTCCCGCCCCAACTTGTCAAGGTTGATAGCAACAGCCCCACATGATCAGAACTTCTGTACTTTGCTGGGGTGACTCCTTTGTACAGACGTATACAAAACATTAGATCCATTTTAAGTACTTGCTATACAGAATCTAATGAGCCACATAGCAAGTAATATAAAAAGTAAAACGGTTACAGTAAGCCCACAACTTGCATGCAATTTACTTGTGCCCATTCAGTTTTACATGCTTGGCAGAAAAATATTTTTTTTCAATAGAAAGGGGGTGGGTGTCTGGGAAATCCCAGCTGCCATTGAGCTCAATGTGTTTTGACTAGATGTGATTTTTGGCTGTAGGCATGATCCCTGTAACATAGCCCCACATAAATTGCAGACTTACTGTAGTTATGTTAATGTTCTTCAGAGTGGTAAATTAAGAGATTCCTATCTCTATGTAATGCCCTATCTAGGAGTTTGCCAAAAAGTGTTAAGTGAGGTGAGGACAGAGGTGCACACCAGCTCCTTTTCAGACCTTCAGCTGAGTGCATCTTAGGTTCCTGACTGCAAATGCACTTTGAATTGAATATTAATGCAGTTAGACTCCTTGTAAATGGGAGCCCTGGTTTCCCTATCAGTATTCTAAGCACATTCAGCTGAATATGTTCAGGATTCCCCTTTGTCTTAGGGACAAAATGAAGTGCAGGTTAGCATGTTTAGGGACATTGAGATCAGTGCTGCCTTTCTCCACTTCTAGCTAGTGGTTTCAGATGGAGATCAGAATAGGCTTTTAATCTGCAAGAATCTTGGAAATAATATCTTTGCTAAAAAAAAATTAAAAATCATCTATGGGTCACTGGCAGTCAGCATATCACTTGTCATGTTTTAGGAAATGATTCAGTTGGAGGATATTCCAAACCTCTCCAGTCTAGTCTCTAGCTTTGACCAACAGCAGCTTGCAAACTTCTGCAGGATCCTTGCAGTTACAATTTCAGAACTGGACACAGGCAGTGATGACAAACATACACTTCTTGCAAAAAATGCTCAGCAGAAAAAGAACATGGGTCCTTCTCGGGCGGAAATTAATCAAGGTAAAGCATCCTGTTTCTGAAAGTAATATGTACTCAAATTGATATGTACTCAGTTAAAGTATTTTAAGATGGAAGTAAACTTGATTTCATTTGGATTTCTAATAATAGTTCTTCCATCAATTTAACATTTGTTAATCCTGTTTGCTTCTTGTCATAGCTGCACTCCTCAATATACCAGGCTTCATTGAACGACTGTGTAAACTAGCAACCAGAAAAGTTTCAGAAACAACAGGAACTTCAAGTTTCCTTCAAGAATTGGAGGAGTGGTACACCTGGCTAGATAATGCACTTGTACTTGATGCACTAATGCGTGTGGCAGGTGAAGAGACAGAGCAAAGCAGCACAGGTACCTGCTTTTAAATTTACTAGAACAGCCATTTAATAATCTGGTACCTTTATCACCTGTAGATCTGCGTGTGGCCTTGTCTTGCACTGTACTCTTGCTTTGACATTTTCGTACTGGAATGGAAGCATGTGTGCAGCAGTCCCTAAAGACTGAAAAGACTTGTGCAAATACCTCAGGATGGTGTATTCAGTTTCTGCTACATTGGAGAAACTTAACATCTTCTCATTTCCTACATTTTTGTTGCATTGATAACTATTATATAACTACCTCCTTGCCCTTTTTTTTGTCTTTTAGAATCTTCAGATGAGAGTGGATTTGCCTCTACTTCACCAAGGAATCAACTTCCACAGACCATGAAGATTATGCATGAGATTATGTATAAACTGGAAGTTTTGTATGTCCTCTGTGTGCTTTTAATGGGCAGGCAAAGGAATCAGGTAAGATTCTGCATCAGAAGTATATAGTGAATTGCAAGCAGTGGCTCTGAAAATTCAAATGGGGGTCCAGCTATTTAAAATCCTACAATCTTTTCAAACTCTAGACCGCTAATAATCTTATCTTGTAGGAAATGGATGCTTGTTGATTCATGTATCTTGCACAGTGATCAGCTATAAGGTTTTTGGTTGGTGATCTAGTAAGAATTTAATTTGTATGTGCCTTTATGTACTTTTCCATTTGGCAAGTACTTTGCATTAAGATAGGCAGCAGTTAAGGCACCCTGCTTTATGCAAATACTTTGAAATGAGGCTTTTAGCTAAGGAAGTCCATGCCATGTTTTATGCCAGTCTATTTTGGGATCAACAAACTCACACTAAAAAGTTTCACTTTAAATTTTGAAATTTGGTGCATTATTGAAAACAAGTAGATTAAAATGAAGGGTGCAGCCACTGCAGAAGCATTCTTGAAACAACATTTTCTTCATTCCTATTCATTCCTGTGGGGTGTGCAGAATAGAAATCTCTAATGGATATTGCTGGATATTGAAATATATATTTTTCAGAGTTAATTTTTTGTGTGTGTGTGTGTGTGTAGATTATGAGTTTTATATTTATATATATAATGGGCTATATTTTGTGGGGAGATGGGGGAGCTTTAAAGAATAAACTGGCACAGTTTATGGAAGATCTTAAAACAATATACCTGTAGTGAATATACCTGATCATTCTTCTTGCCTAGGTTCACAAGATGATTGCAGAATTCAGATTGATCCCTGGCCTTAATAATTTGTTTGATAAATTGATCTGGCGGAAGCATTCAGCATCAGCCCTTGTTCTGCATGGGCATAATCAAAACTGTGACTGTAGCCCGGTGAGTATTAGGTTTAAGCTGCTGCATAGAGTATGTTCTTTTGAAATGGCCCTTAAGAGCTCATATGTAATAGCTGTTAATAATGTTGATAGCTAGCCTCTTCAGTTGTTTTTCATACTAGTATTTTTTTCTGATTGCAATGGTAACAGCATCACTCTCTAAAATGGCTTAAATATTTTTTAAAGCCTGGAAGTCGTGAGTTGATGTTTCTACCAGTCTGCTAGGAAGGATATTCTGTAATGTTTCTTATAAAATAAATTCTCAACTTCTTTCTTCTGTAGGATATTACATTGAAGATTCAGTTTTTGAGGCTACTTCAGAGTTTTAGTGATCACCATGAGTGAGTATAGAATATGTTTGCCATAAACTTTGTGGTGGCACTTCATGTATTGCTGAATTGATGGAACATCATATTTGAAGTAACTCGGATAATTTAGAACCTCCTCAAAAGTAACATACAAAGAATATGTAATAGTTTTGATCATGTTTTGCTGTTACACTTCCAAGAAGTGAGTGAAAAGATATTGGGAGGTATCTGTAAAGCACATTTTGGGAGAGACTATTCAGTGGCTGCCAGCATGCAAGGGACCAAAAAATGGAATACAGCTGTTTAGACTAGTTTTGTCAGAGGACACTTTCAAAGGCACTATGCGCATGAATTTTGAGATCTTAAACAGATTGTCCCAAATCTAAACTTATATTTAGGGCATTCTTTATCAAAAAGTTCAGGGGGAAAGGAACTGGAATTGTGAAACTTGGCCTTCTGCTATTTTAGGAATTCCTTTTTCACAATTTCCTTTAATATGACCGTATTCAGCTAAATAATTACGCAAGCAGAATGATTCCTGCTTGCGCAACAGAAGTTTGCCCCCACACACACACACACCATCCCCAAATCTGTTCTAAAGTGTTGGGGGGAAACCCCAGAACAGGGGGAGATGGGGGAAGGGGAGACATTATGTTGCACAAGCGGAAGTCATTCTGCTTGTGCAAGGAACTACCTAATGCTACTTTGAATGCAACATGTAATTTATTCTGTGGGTTCATTCTATGGATTCTCAGGGCTCAAACCCAAATTGTGAGATTATTTGTCCAATATAGAGTTAAGTTTCTGTAAAACTGAATAGAACCTTGATACCACAGAAGAACCAGCATAGTTGTGTGCATTTTTGCAAAGGGAATATAGATGATGCATTAAAGAATCAATGTTTGTAATCACTCCTTCTGTCCTGATTTTTATAATAGGAACAAGTATCTGCTTCTAAACAGCCAAGAGCTTAATGAACTGAGTGCAATATCCCTCAAAGCCAACATCCCTGAAGTAGAGGCAGTTGTCAACACAGACAGGTAGAGAGAAGTGCATGTATGTTTGTATCATTTGTTCTTTCTGAAAGTATGGCAAGTATCCTGTTTTACCAGGCCTGTCTCTTGAACCCTTGCAATAAGTTGGGTTATCTCTAACTTTGTTAGTATGTTGAACTAGCAAAAACGTGAATCACTCACACAATGCAATGGCATCTTTCTGAAGTGTATATTGGACATCTGGGTGGGGCCACATATGCCCTTTAGGGATAGCTTGCAGTCCTTTACAATCTGCTTCTACCCCTAAAGCCAACTCTGTCCCTTTTGAGGCAGAACTTAGGTCTGTTTATTCAGACCTGTGAACACTTAGCAGCCAATGTTGGCTGGAGAGTGAATGCATAAGCGATGGATTTTGAGAGTGGAGGTTGCAAATCATAGGTAATTTTGATAACTGATGGGAACATTCATGGGAAGCAGGAAAAGGATCAAATAGGACTTCATAAGGAATTTAATTAGCATATTTAAAGTATGCATACACTTATACAAATGAACATATTTATTTATATAATGCCCTTTATACCTATATTTTTGCTTAAATATTTGTTACATACAAATTCCAAATTGGGTCACGCTGACTTCCTAGTGAATTGCTGCACATTCTGTTTATGAATGTAGCTTGTGCAATGCTTTATGTTACCCCGTTTGAGGTATGGGACATTCTTTCCATCTAAGAGGGAACAAGTTTCACAGCTTCACCCTTTTCATAGAAACAACAGATTGAGTTTGTGGGCAATAGCAGCATACATTATTTTTTTTAAAAAACAAAACAAGTAGTAGCAAGATGTGGTCCTTACTGCCCCCTTTCCAAGCTATTTGGCCTGGAAAATAAAATTGCTGTAGATGTCAGTTTGAAGGACAAAGGTGCAAGCAAATGGACTTCAACTCTCAGATTCCTAACATTTGAGGATTCATGGGACTGATTATCGTTCATTTGCCTAGCAGAGAGTTCAGTTGATATGGAATGATAAACCGGGTAAGGTGGCCTCTGTGTTTTAGCCACAAGCCAACACCATTCTGCTTTTGCTTGTTTTCATAACTTCCCTATAATTACACATTGTGTAATCTTGTACATCTAGAGACATCTGGAACATATAAGTATTTCCATATTGGCTACCAAAAACTCCTGGGTGTAATTTTAAAAAATTGAACTAACATCTGTTGGGTTAGAATATGCAAGTTCTGAGTTTGTACAGTTCTGAATGCTGTGTAATGGAAAAGTAACAACCCGTTCTTGTGCATGTAAGCTCAGAAATATCCTACATTCAGTGAGGCTTAGATTTAGACTGTAGTCATGTTTCATTTTATTCATAAAATATATACACCACTTGATTACAAAAACAAAACAAAACCTCAAAGCTGTTTACAAAAAGCTAAAACAATAAAATTTGTAGTATCTGTTTGTGTGAGAGAGCACAAGGTTTTTACAAATGCAGGTTTTCTTCTTGGGCACTTAAGATTCAATCCCATTGAAAAGGTTTTTAGAATTACAATAGAAAATTCATTCACCAGCAGGGGGTGTTAGACTGTAATGTTCCATGGAGTCACAGTATGTCCAAAATACACCATCCATTTTGAAATGGTTGTAGCATTGCAAAAGCTTGGCATAGGTTTACTCAGGTATTGCTGTATAGAACTGCTAGATATTTTCTTAATAAATTCCCCTTCAACCCATTGGTTTACTCATTGTAATTTCTCCCCATGTTTTAGGAATTTAGTCTGTGATGGGAAAAGAGGCTTGCTGACCAGACTTCTTCAGGTAATGAAGAAAGAGCCAGCGGAATCATCATTCAGGTGGGCTCTGTTATTACTACATTAAGCATAGTGTTCTGTTGTAGGAAAACTTGATCTTCAGAGTCCAGAGAGAAAGTGGATCCTTGCCAACTATTTAAAAACTTCAGTTTTGATTAGTTTTGTCCTTGAATTGAAAAAAAGTGAGGCCAGCAGTGCTCAGGGATAGGAGACCTTCTCTCAACATGGTTTCTACCCTGCCCATGACCTTAAAGTTGCCTAGTCTCCAAAGATGTCTTAGTTGTTTAAGCTTTGAATCCTAACTAGTGATACACATAAGGAAGATCCACATATATAGCCAGTTTTGCTTTGCTTTCCTTCAACTGTTCTCACTATCAAAAGAGCATGTCACATAAAACTGTTTCCACTTTTTATTTACAATTAACCAGATGTTTCTTTCTTAATATAAGGTGTTAATTTTATTTTATGCACCAGGTTTTGGCAAGCCAGGGCAGTTGAAAGTTTCTTACGAGGCGCTACTTCTTATGCAGATCAGATGTTCCTGCTAAAGAGAGGGCTCCTAGAGGTATTCTAAATGTTTACTAAATACATATGTTTGTGAAGCATGCTTCTAAACCCTTAAACCCTTGATTTCTTAGAGAACATGGAGTCTTTACTAAGAGTTAATCAACTTGTTAGACATTGTCATAATCTAGGGTTCAGTCCAATCTTCTGAAGTTTGTCACTTTACTGTGCTCTGTGTCTCTGAAACACCACAGTTATAAATTATCAGGCTTAATCCCCTAGCAAGTCAAAACACCTTCCCGTAACAAGTATAGGAAGTCAAAGCCATTTTATTTCTGCCTGCAGAAAGCAAAATGTGAAGCTTATTGTCTTTATGGTAATATTTTTCTCCTTGCCAGCATATTCTCTACTGCATTGTAGACAGCGAATGCAAGTCACGAGATGTGCTTCAGAGTTACTTTGATCTTCTGGGAGAACTGATGAAATTCAACATAGATGCTTTCAAGAGGTTTAATAAATACATCAATACGGATGAAAAGGTAAACCTAAACCCCCAGAGTCCCAAATGAATCCTCAGCCTTATAATATATTGGATGCTGGCAAAGCCTAATCACTCTACTTTTTTAGTTTCAGATATTTTTGAATCAGATCAACAGCTCACTGGTTGATTCCAACATGCTGGTTCGTTGTATTACTTTGTCTCTAGATCGATTTGAGAGCCAGTCAGATATTAAAGGTAACTTTGTGGTCTGTTCTGAGACCAAGAAATTGTTTTTAAAATATGGGCTACTGTGTCTATAACCATCAGGGATGTGGTGGCTTCTGAAAATCCTTTTGGAATTATTGGGTGCAATGATTGGTTCCTGGTCCATGGCAAGCAGGTACATACAGGGTCTGGCTTTTTCCCCATGCTGATTAGCAGTGGCATATTTGCTGCACAGCCAGCAACTTCAGAAAGATTTTCAGCAGCCACTAAGGCTTAGATGAGTTGATGATAACAAACAGGTAAAACTCCTAGTATCTGTTCACAATAGATAAGCACCCATTGTTGCTACTGCTTCTGTTTTTGTCTGAGTTTCTTTGAAGTTAAAAAAGTGGTAATTTTAATGGGCACTTCATGTGGTTGCTTTTCTCAATTAACGAACAGTGGTTAGAAACAAATATTGGCAAAGCTGTTAGTCCTTTCAAAAATGATTCTTGGCTCAGCTCTTTCAACCTAACAAATGGCTTGTCTCCTACAGTGGCAGAAGTCCTGTCTGAGTGCCGCCTGTTATCCTACATGTCACAGATGTCCATGAGGATGTCCTTCCTTTTCCGGCTTATTAATATTATTCATGTACAGACGCTCACACAGGTAAAAAGCTGGCACTGGCACTGATCTGCCATGGAGCATGTGTAAATAGATTTTGTATCCAATGTGATGTTTTCCTTTAAGTTCCTAACCTGTTGGACTCTTGTGTTCCATAAATGGACTCTGGGAATATCTGTTAGTTTGAGCCTTTTATATTTTTTATCCTTATTTTCTTTACTATAGGAAAATGTAAGTTGTCTGAACACAAGTCTAGTTATCTTAATGCTGGCCCGAAGGAAGGACAAACTTCCCTTCTATCTTCAGACACTGCAAGAGATGGAATACACCAAGAAATACCCTGGATTTATCCTGAATAATTTTCACAGTCTTCTGCGTTTCTGGCAACAGCATTACCTCAATAAGGACAAGGACAGCACCTGCTTAGAAAATGTATGTCTGTTCCAGTTGCTTTGGAATATGCTTTTTATATTTTGTAATTGCGGCCCAGTGGGGAAAGAGTAAAAGAGATAGATGATGTAATGACAGTGCTAAGGCAGTGTAATACAACAGCAACATGAGTGTCAGGGTGTATTTTAAGAATATGCGAGAATTGAACACTCTTAGGTGGCTGTGTTGGGCTCTCAACAAAACTAAAGCATTTTTTGGTTATTGTAAGTGTCGCAGTTTCTTGGTAAGCCAGAACAGACTGTGTGCTGCCACAGAAACATTCTGCTTCCTCAGATGCAGGCTACATCTGCATTGAAAAAGTGAGAACTCATGTTTTGTGTAGGTGGATCTAAACTGGACTGAATTTCTTAGCTATAGTAAAACAGTGCTTTCTATGTACCTATGCATTTGGTCCATGTTAATTTGAAGCAATAGCCCAGCATTGTCTGGTACTTTATATAGTAACTAACACACACACACATACATACATCCACACACACACACACACACACACACACACACACCATGATTAGCATGGAAATGCTTATGCTGTTTTTCTTGGCCAGTTGTGGCATAACATTTTTCCATTGGAAGGCAGTTTTTATAACTTTTTATAGTAAAATACATATGGAAAACATTATAATTTTGGTCTCCCTGGAGACATCTGGCCGATTACTGGATGGGGGATGTCCTGGTTCAGGCCAGAAAGATTGTTGTGCTACTGGGCTAAATTTAAAGTTTCACTTGTTGGCATATAAAGCCCTAAACAGCTAGGAACCAGGCTGTCTGAAAGATCGCCTTTGCTGCCTGTCCACTGCAGTTATCTGTGGTGCCATGTGTGCTGGAGTTTTGTTTCATGGTAACTCAGAAGTCCTTCAGCACAGGGGCATCTGTCTTGTGGAATACAACATCTGTCAAAATTAGGCAGGCTCCAACAATTGGTTTATATGCTAAAAAAACTACTTCAGTGGCTTTTCCCAGATTTGATTCACGGGCAGTATCAGATTTTTTTGTGGGGGGCATTATATTTATTATACATTGCTGTGATATTTGTTCATATTCAGCAGCTTATTTGGAAAAATTATGAAATTTATAAAAAATTATAAAATGGTCATACTGATTGCAGAATTTCTGCATTCTAAGAAAATTTGCTTTCCTTTCAAAAGAACATGCTCCTGAAAGAAGACTGGTCTAAGTTGCTCTGAATTCAATTTGAATTCCTAGTTTCCCTGTGTTTGATAATGGGTGGGGCCAACATGAAGTTTCTGTTCTTGGTAGCAAGTTAGTTGCTAGATACAGCTGCATTTTAGTGGTACTTGCTGTTGTGCTGTAGCATAAACTTTTTTTTCTACCTTCTTTACAGAGTTCATGTATTAGTTTTTCCTACTGGAAAGAGACTGTATCTATACTGCTTAGCCCAGACCGGACATCACCTTGTGCCATAGTTAGCTACATTGACGAGGCATACATGGACATGGACAGAGATTTTGCCGAGGAGTAATTCTTCAGGCTCTGGCTTCCAATGGACTGTGCTTCAGAGGGAATCTTGCAGACAATGGATTTTCAGGGATATGCTGTGTGCACAAACTTGGAACTATGGAATGTTACCATGTTAAAGTTTTCTCTCTCCATCCCCTGCTCTCAGCACTGTTTTGAAGAGCAAGACATCACCAACTTCCTAGTCAACATATTCAGGGAATGCTTGTGTTCTGTCCGAAATTGTCTGCAAAAAGCCCAGTCTTTTCTGCTCACTGTGGCTAGAATCCTTTGAGTTTGATAGATGGGATCTTTCAGATGTGCAGTTATTAGCTGTGGCTTTTTATCCTGGCTACCAGAATTAGATGTTAAAAGTGCAGGCAATTTTTTGGGCCATCCAAACAAGCCGATTTTTATGAGCACGCCAGATGCACACCAGCCACATTTAAGCCACTTTTAAAAGTTTCTATTTTTATTGCTTTTTCCTTTGCATTGGGATATAGAACTGATTGTGTGTGTATTTTGTTTTTAAATTCTTGGAGATAATAGCTCTCTTCACTTCTTTGCAAACTACTTTGGGATTGTCTCCTACAAAACTTGTGTCCAAACCCCTTATTTTATCTTGTTGTGGTATTGCATCCAGAAGTATCTCTCTCCGTTCTGTGGAAATCTCTTGTCTTCAGCTGATTTTACAGTGTGGTCTAGAACAGGCATACATTGTGGTGATGGGGTTAGTCTTGGGAGCCTAGCTTTGACTAGGCACTAATGAATTGAAATTAACTGATTTCCCCCACTCTAAATATTGCAGCCTGACCATTTTGTCAATAAATAACCAACTCAAGTTGAAAATTTATTCTGCAGTCCTGCTTTGGCTGACCATAAAATCCGCTCTTGAACTTTTGCTATTTGGAAACCTAACACTCTAGGCTAAAATAGCAAAATTAACACCTTTTATTCCAATTGTGTATATATATTTATTTATTGTTCCTGAAGTGTAATAGGTACTGGAATTGGCTGATCTTCTCCTAATGATACATGTATTAAATGCTGCCCAGTGATTTTGGTTTGGGGACAAATTGCTCAACAATATCTGAGTTTGCTCTTGTAACTGCTGGCATTTAAACAAGTCACTTGGAATATAAGCTAATATTTGAAGTCAGAAACTTTCTGAACATTCTTTTCATTACTGTGCTAAAGCACTTTAAGAAGCTTTAGCAGCCCTTTATCTCCCTCAGTTTAAAATTACTTTGATTGTCCCTTAATGTGTAAATGTATACTTCTGGGACATACTCATATAGCACAATATACCTCTGAAAAGTCTTGTGTTAGAATGCTATGGCTATGTGGTATTTTCCTCTATGAAGGAAAACCTTAAATATCAGAACCGGTCTTGGTTCAGAAAGGTAATTTCCAGACATGGAACTTAACAGTAGCTGGGAAAGCGGAGTGCTTGACTAGTCTCATCATCTTTACCCTGCACTTTTTGCTGCACCTTATTTTCAGATAACGCCATGGAAAGAACAGCTGGACTGCAGCAGGTTTGTTTACAGATACTATTTTAATATATATTTGCCTCATAAAAAAACAAAGGCACTTGCTTCCAGAATAAAAAGTATAGTACTGTTCTATCTCACAGTACTAGTTGCTCTTTGGTTTAAATCAGGCGTCCTCAAACTCGGCCCTCCAGAATTTTTTGGCCTACAACTCCCATGATCCCTGGCTAGCAGGACCCAGTGGTCAGGGATGATGGGAATTGTAGTATCAAAACATCTGGAGGGCCAAGGTTGAGGAAGCCTAGTTTAAATAATCTAATTGGTTGGGCATCTATTAAAGGAACAGTGCAGCACTTTAAGACTGACCCAATCTGTGTTCTCCTTTGTGGTATGTTAGAAATTAAAATGGAAATATGGGAGCAAATTATGTATCTGCTGTGCAGGAGCAGCCAGCCCACATCCTTTTTGATTTTTTATTTATTTAAGGATATGTTAAAATTTTCATCCCAAGGCACAATTAAACTGGCTTTACCTGACTCCACATGCCTTTGACAGTTATCAAATGAGTCCAAGTGTTGAGGTAACTTTTTATAGCAGACATTTGCTTCTTGGTTTTAACCTATTCCTTCTTGGGCTCATCCTTTTTCCCCTTCCCCAAATTCTAGGTTATACTTATGCATTGATCCTCTAAATGTAGTAACCCTACACTTCAAATTAAACGCTATGTATTAAAAGGCTCAAATGAGACTGGATGCCTTCTGAGTCGTTTTAATTATTGCATCCAGTCTGCAAAGAACTTACTAATTTTCATCCAGTATATATGACATATTTCCTTGTAATTGAATGGTCAGGCTGCTTTGTTTCTTTTATGCATTTGACTCAGGTGAGACTGATCCTTAGCTACTCCTGGGAGTGGCTTGGTATCGCCCACCATGTTCCTCTATTTGTTTCCAGTTTATTGGTCTAGGCCCAGGGGTAAGGAACTTGCAGCCCCTCAGATGTTGCTGCACTACAGCTTCAATCAGCCTTGGCCATAGTGGTTAGACCTGATGGGAGTTGGAGTCCACCAACAATTAGAAGGCCACCTGTGTTCCCTATCCCTGTTACAAGGTGATTGCAAGGAGTTGAGCTGGGGTTTTTGACTCAGGCTGCACCATTTGCCTTTCAGTTCTTACAGGGAGCTTGTATGCCTGAGAGATCTCCCGCCACAGCTTTTCTCATAGAATCTTCTTTGCAAATGTTTAGAGACTGCAATGGTAGGCTTGGATTTAAATGCAAACTGCTTCAAGGAGTGATACCGATGAGTGACACTTAAATGTGGCTGAAAAACAAAAAAGGTCACTGTTGGCTGTGTTGGCTTTGGTTTGGATTTTTAATCACTAAAGGAATGGAACTGCTGTGTGGCAAGAGGGTGGGCCTCACCAGGCCAACAAATGTTCCTGGAAATTTAAAGTATCTCAAGTGGATTAATGTTCATGCTGCCCAGATTAATGCTGATTTACTAACAGCACATAAATGTATTAAATGGAAACTATTAAAATAATTTTATTTTAAAAAAATATGCTAGTGAAGGTCTTTACTTTTTCTGCAACAATTCTCATAGTCACGGAGCTCTTCCTATAAATAGCATGGATTGGGTATAAGCAAGTGGACTTCACAGTTGTAATGCTCAGGTGGAGGTTTGTGAGTTGATGGGTTAACAATAGACACACTGAAATTATCAACAGGTCTATTCTTTGTATGGCTGGAAGTGATTACCACCCTTTTTCAGCAAGTCTTAAGGACCCTTATTCCAATTCTACTTTAGTGTAGGATCTGTTGGCATACTTGTGTGATTGTGCATAATTCTGCATGCTTTGGGAACAAGTACCATTAATGTGGAAGCTTGCAATCTGAATATGCTTTGAGAAGGGATAGTTAAGGGGAACTTGGCTGCCTCCTAACCACCTTCAGTAGGGATATGTCTGCTGTAGAACGTAGCATGGTATCTTTGCAGCCCTGGGTCAACTGTATTATTACTGTTGCATAACTATCATTAGATGCCGTATGTCTAAGAATTAAAAACATTGGCTTCACAATGAAGGCTGCTCTTTGTCAGGTAGCACAATACATTTCCCCTTTGTGTGGGTTCTTGAGTTATTTTTCCAAAAGACCTTAGAGTGTCCAAAAAACCTTGATCTATACATACTCCATGATTGAAGTTTTCACATCTGACCATGTTTCCTTACCTGCTGTACTTGAGAAAACACCTCTATCACCACTGGAAGTCAATTCTCTACCGGGCCATCCTCCACTAAGTAGATGGGGAAAGTTGCCTACTGATGATTCCATGATTCTTAGAAAAGGACTTTGAAAGTTCTTCCTGCCATATTTCCATTTTAAATAGAGGAATTGTCATAGTGAGAACAATAGTCCACCCAATTATAAATAGGTCACAGCCTTCTCATGAATGCTAGGTTTTATTCACTACAGAGACGGTGATGGCTGTTGCAGCCATTTACATCTACACAATGACATACATGGTGAGAGAAGGGATGTTGCACTGCAGCTTCTTATTCTTCATACTGTTAATAAAAAAACAGAAAGTATGTTTCAGAGTAGCTTGCAGGAACTTCGCGGAGTCCCAACCGCTCCCTCAGTCTTTTCCTTCCAAGTTGCAACCCAAGGATGCAGCCACTGCTCTTGAGTGCTGACTTGTCCTACTTTCCTGGAGTGGTAGAGCTTGGTCATCTTCCAAATAATATTAAACCATAGCTTAGCACTATGTGTGAACCCTGTCCTGCACCTTAACTATGAATTGTTTACTGCTAATAAACCATGATCCAAAGCCATGGTTGTTTGTTGGCTTATGAATCCTGGTTTGTTTTAACTGGCTTGGTAATATGTGAACCCAGTAGCTTAATGCTGGCTGGTTTGTCTACCCCTTTCCAGAAGCTCTCCAAACTACAGAGGCATAAGGAAAGAGCAGCTGGAAAATAAAATAAACCAGATAGACAAGGCATGGCTTATCATCTGGCTTAGTGGTGGGTGGGTGTGGTCCAAGCTATCTAGAAACCACTAGATTTAGCTGGCTCGGTTATTCTCTATCACTAGCATTCAAAACAAAACGATTTGCATCCCCCTCCAGTAAGCCATCCTCACAAGCTTTGTGGTAGCTTAGCCTTTACCTTCAGAGGTACAACTTCCCTAGTGCGAATCCGCAGTTTGTTCACTTGTGTCTCTGCGATATCTGCCCGCTCTTCAGCATCATCCAGCTCGTGCTGCACCTTGCGGTATTTCACAAGGTTGGAGTTGGCTTGCTGCTCCTAAGAAGGAAAGACGGGGATGGATGTAGACAGCAGAACTGGTAGTGGCCCTGTGATTAGATACCCCTGTGGCAAGTATGGTCTGCTTAGACACATGGAAAAAGGTTTGCAGGCAGGTGTGAGTGTGAATTTGCCCTTGTGCCTTCAGAGCCTATAGCATGGCTGGGAAATCTTTTTTAGCCCAAGGGGTAGCACTGCCCTATGGACATCCTTCCACAGGCCATATGCTAGTGGTGGTAAAGGCTACTTTCCAGCCATACAAAACACTTAAGGAAGGCTTGGAGCAGGATTGGTGAAGAGTGTGGCCTGCAGAGAGTTCCAAGGGCCAGATACTAAGGCCTGGGAGCCACATTTCCCCCCTGGGGGCCAGAGGTTCCTCATATATAAGAGCAATAAGGTGCAGGGGCAATGAAGGCTGATTTGCCCTAAGCACATGAGAGTGACATTTTAAGGTGTCAGAGCTCCTGTTGTGTCACTTTTTGAATATGATTCTTGCTTTGAATTAACTGCAGCAACACATGGGGAATGTAGACACTAGGGTTCCCACAAGACCAGAGGGAGCTGTGAGTAAAGACAGCACGTTTTCTGCTGCCTGTAAGTCTCTGCCCATGCAGCGCCACACTTACTGCCTCCTCAAACTGGCGCTTGTAACTCTTGACTTTGCTCTGCAGTTTGTCAATCAGTTCCTGCATCCGTGCCAGGTTCTTCCTGTCCTCTTCAGTCTGAAAAGCAAATAGCAAAGCATGGGATACCTCAGCTCTTCCTGTCAGTGATTCTCTCCCACACTATGCACAGGGATTTTCCCCTTCTGCTCCCTTGGAGCTTCACCTTCCCTAGATTAATCCAGCCCCTCCTTGATCTCCATATCCAGTAGCATGTGGTCCTCCATATGTTGGAACTTGCCACATTTTTCAGTCACCCTTGCATTGTTGGGATGAGGAAGGGGAATACATGGGGGCAGACCTTTAAAGCCCCCCCCCCACTTATGGCGCAGCTCTACTGCTAATAAAACAAGGGGCTGGGAAATTGGTGTGAAGATGCTGAGGCTTGTACCTGATAGGTCAGTTCTTTGATCCTGCGCTCATACTTGCGAATACCCTTCTGAGTCTCTGCATACTTCTTTTGTTCTACATCCAATTCACCCTCCAGTTCACGCACCTGAAAAGAACAAATAGGGTGGCTTAGGTTCCTTTACACCTGTCTTTACTTGACTCAGAGAAGAAACCTAGAATGAAGGATATAATTGTCACACTCGGCAAGGAAGTAGGAATTCATGTGGATGTTCGTATGTCACACTAGGAAGACGTTAGAGGGGGACTTGCCTATACTCCCACATTCTAGATCCCTGCAGGAACCTTGTAGCTGAGATTTTGTCAACTCAGGGCTGAGTACCCTGAGCATCTTGTCTTCCTATGACAGGATATAACTGGAAGAGAAGAGGCCAACTTGCACTATTCTCCAGGCCTATCCTTGGTCAATCCCTCTCAACTAGGACCTTCTCTCAAATAAAAACCTAGCATCTTTTAGGGATATTGGTGAACACAGTATTTCATTCAGTGTCAAGGGAATTCAAAAAATGGTACCAGAACAAATCATGCAAGGGCATTTGGCAATTTAATTTTCTGCATGATTTTTTTTAACCTACCCATGAGCAATAGAGGGGAAATGAACGCAACAGGAAATGGTTGAGTTGGAGCCTCCTAAGTCAACACATTTCCAAGCTGTTTCCTAGAACCATGAGGGCTAGAATCCTCATATTATTGGAATGACAAATTCTCCCTGCAGATGTACATCATGAGTACAGCCCAAGTTATGATGAAGCATTCTTGGAATGCTTAGCATAGCAGGTGGTGGGGCTCAAGCTTGTATGAGTGTTAGGGATTTAGGATAAGCAGTTCTGGGTTGGGCTCAGAGGAACACTTTGCAGCATTCAGTCAGAACACCAAGAGTGGCATTGGGAAAGGATGTTGCTGGAAGGATCTATCCAGTGGCTTCAGATCTGGCAGAGTTCAGATTTCTATTAATCCCTCCTCCTCCTTGCCTTGTGGATCATAGATGGCTGCTGCAAGAAAAAATGTTACATTCCCCTTGTTCTCACCCTGGCTTCCAGTTTTTGGATCTGCTTCTTGCCTCCTTTCAGGGCAATCTGCTCAGCCTCATCCAGCCGCATTTGCAGGTCCTTGATGGTCTGTTCCATATTCTTCTTCATCCGCTCCAAATGGGCACTTGTGTCTTGCTCCTTCTTCAGTTCCTCTGCCATCATGGCTGCCTAGTGGGACAAAGGGCAAAGAGTCCATGTAGCATCTGGAGGTCTGGAACAGATGCATATAACTACCCTCTCTTGCACACCCGCAGGGTGAGATAGCCCAGCGTACATACTAGCACAGCTTAGGCCTACCCAGACACAAGTAAAAGTGAACACCTCTGTATTATCCATAGCTGTGTTTCAGACTCCACTACCCATTCAACCAATCAGGTACTGGGTCTAATTTAGAAGTTTCACCCATTAAGTGGAATGTTGCAATCCTTATAGCAAATCCCTCCTCCGCAATCTGTCTCCATGCTCATCAAGTTCTTCACTTATGTTAACAGCCATTGTCTATCCCCAACTGGGAGTTCACCCTGGTTTATTATCTCCTCTCCTCTGTACCAAAATTACCAAGGGTCAGCCCCTTAGTTCCTAAAGCAAAGATAGGTAATAGAGTGTCCTCCAGATGTTGTGAGCTAAAACTCCCATCAGCCCCAGCCAGCCTGGTCACGGATGATGGGAGTTGTAGTCTACAAGACCTAGAGGACACCACTTTGGCTATCCTTGTCCAAAGGTGCTGCAGATCACTCACCTTCTCTAACCCTCAGGTGTCCTGCCTCTCTTGTCCTGCTACTTCAGCAACACCTTACCACTGACCAGGCCATGCCTTCCTCACATCATCTACTTCAGCTGCTGATTCCTAAGTGCTGTGGCAGCATCAAGAATGCCACCTACAAAAAGGGATGCTGTAGGCAACCACCTATTAACACAGAGGCATTGCCAGCTCTAGCCAGTCATTACACAGAGAGCATGGAGATGTTCTGGTGAATATGTGATAGTGAAGCTGCCAGCTCTGTAGGTAATTTTGTGTAATGAGTCAAAACCTCTGTTAACTACAAGAGCTGAAACAAATGTTTTATTGAGTGGACAGCTGTCAAAATTTGGACATTTTAAAATGTACGTTTCACATTTTAGATTGATATCCAAAAGCCAACATCTGACTTTCAGAGAATCAGCATTTGAAATTGGACTGCTTTTTGTTTTTTGTCTGTTCAAAGGGTGTTTCTGGCTTAATATATACTAAACAAGCATTATTGTAACAGGAACAGTGCAAGAGTCCCTCTCAAGGGCTTCCAATCTCTTACATCCGTGATGGCTTTCTTGGCCTTCTCTTCCGCATTCCGGCATTCCTGCACTGCCTCCTCCACCTCAGTGCTCAACTGGGAGATGTCTGCCTCCATCTTCTTCTTTTGGTTAATCAGACCTGTGTTCTGGGAAAGAAAGGGACCGTGGAAATGAACTCGCCATGACATTAGGAACAAAGGGTGCTAACAAATACTCCCTCTAACCATGGGTTGTCTGGTCTGACTGAGAAGCAGCTCTCCAGACTTGCAAGCAGAGAGTCTTTCCTGACCCCTGCTCCTTTTGAGCCTTTTAACTGGAGATATCAGGGATTGAACCTGGGAGAGTCTGCATGCAAATTGGTTCACTTTAAGTTCCATGTTGGAAAAACAGGAGGATATAAATGGAGTAAATAACAAAATGCAAAGAAATAGATCTCTTCCTGGGCTTTAAAAAAAAACCTAAATCAAGTTTATATTCCCCAATGAGATAACACCCCCTTTCTATGTAAACAAGAAAATACAGGGTCTTCTAGCCATATCCCCTTCTCTTGGAGTGGGAGCTCTGGATTTAAGATGGCGGCTGTAACAACTTCTCCTTCGTGAACCCTCCGGATTACAAACCTTTTATAGCCTTTTATAGCTTTTTACTGCCGTTTTTATAGTTGTTTTATTAGACTTTTAAATTATTTTACTTCTGTTAGAAGTTTTTAATCGTTTTACTTCTACGGTTGGCCTGTTGGTGCCAATATACGTATCAACAAGGATATTCAAACCCTCTGCTGAGAAAGCCTGTCGCTGATTAGTAACGCCGCCTTGAAGACTGGGCTATGTTGAGAAGTGGAGGAGGAGGAGTAGCAGAGGAGTTGCGCCCATAAAAGATAAGTTCTCTCTTTATCTCCGTTTATTCTACTTTGAACCTCCGTAGTTAGTGAGACAGCGACAAATGGGTCATGGCAAGCGACCAAGATCTGCTGAGAAAGGTTGCTCACCTCCAAGAGTAAAGCAGTCGAAGCTTGAATCTCCCCAACCATCTACTAACAATAACAGCAAAACAGAGCAAGTAATTGTTTCTGCGGTCGAAACATACAACCGCTTTTGGCCTCTGTATGATCAAGGAGAGCCGGAAAAGCTAGCTGATCCAGCGGGGACGGAAGCCATAGGGAAGCCCTCCTCCCTGATACCCTAATTACACCTCCGTCATTGAAACGGGACGCATTAGGGCAAACTGCCCATGAATTAGTACCTGATCAAATACAACTGGTAATCAGGACTTTAAGCTTCATTTTCAAGGAATTGGAGGATTTCTTTGACATTGAATAAACTTTCACGGGCCCTTCTGGCTCATCTACCTTCCTCAACTGAGCTATCTAATTTGCATCAATCTCCTGTGCAGCTTGTAAGTGCCTTAAAGAGACAACCTGACCAGAAATTTCACCTTAAGAGCTCAAGATGCAGGCCGCCACTGCCCCAAAGGAATAGGCAATCCTTGATTTTTCAACCTAATAAAATATGTCTAGCCATTTTTTCCCGTGACGCCCCCAGACTTAGGTGGAATAACCTGAGGATGGCTAAAGGGTACCTACGTGATTTGTTAAATATTCCTTTTTCCCAGATAGATCTTATATCTGTAGTACCCCTAATTGCCACGCCCTGGCCAAGGAAATTTATGCTCTCCTTCCAGTCTGCAAGGATTCCACATCTCCTTGCAAGAGAGAAAGATCGGCTGGCACCCTGGGAGATTGTAACAACAAGAGTCTTTAAGGACACGAGTGTTAAACCTCTTTTGCCAACATCTTAACCGGCAATGAACGCTCGTTTCCTCCTTCTGTTCCTATAATAAAGGGGAAAACACCTAGCTGGGTACCCCCTGCTCCATCTGCGACCTCAAGTGCCCATCTAGCTACACTGAGGAATGATCCAATTGCAAGCGGAGATTGGAATATCCCTGAAGAGAGAAATCTTATCCTCTCCTATGGAAAACTCCCTTCAGAAGAACAGCAGGCTATTCTCGATAGATTGGATCTACTCAAACAAAGACTCCTATCGCAAGGGGACCCCTCTATGCCGATGAGAGAGGAGAGCAGGCACTCCACGTCCCACAAGGCGTCTCCATCAAATGCCCTGATAATCTCTCAACCTGCTACTTTGTTACCCCTACTGATCTGAATCAGCAATCACCTGTTGACCAACAGCTCCAACAGCACCATTCTACCGTGGAGGAAGTTGATAAACTCAATACTCCCGTCTTAGACTTTATGTCCAATCAAAATATGGAAGTTGACGATTCCTTTGCCTCAATGCCTGAGCTAGAATCTACCCTGTCTGAAGATCACCAGGAAATGACTATGCATGTACCATCTCCGCGTTCACGTCCTTCTATACATCTGCGTGATAATTCTTCTCCAGCTGCGCAGCAACTACAAGTGATGACTGGAACACCTCCTAGTGCTACCCTGGTTAAGACTGATAACTCTGATGGATCTACTAGTATAGCCCATCAAAGACTTGCTACTACTCACCTCAATGAACAGCATCCGACCTCACCAACTTTGCCTAATTCTTCCTCCCCGGCAAAGCCCTTCCTGCCTGTTAATGTTACCAAATCACGGATTCAATCAACACAGAAGAAGACTTTATCCGCACAAACTAAAATTACTGATTTCCTTATGGGTCCTCGCTCTACCTCCAAGAACCCATTAAACAACTCAAAGTGACAATTACCGGGACAGCACAAGGACCCGACATTATCAATACTTAGCTGGAACATTGCTGGTTGGAGAACCAAAAAATCAGACCCCGAATTCAGGAAGTACATAAATTCATTTAACATCATCCTATTCCAAGAAACATGGGATGAGGAAGAGATTACCATAGACGGTTTTGATCTTCTAACACTTCCGGCCTCCCCTTCCTTGAAAGGTGGTCGCCCCAAGGGGGTCGTTTGATTGGGATCTCACTCCAACTTCGCGCCAAATTCACCCTGGTACGGGCTTCCCGCCTTTTGCTCTTTCTGGACTGATTGCAGAAGGGAAGTCCTCATTACTAATTACTAATGGTTATCTCCCCCCCGAAGGCTCAGCACCTGATCTTGATTGGAGATGGGAATCATTTGAAAATCACCTATTGTCATGTCATACCAAATGCCCTAACTCGTACTCCTTAATTGGGGGAGACTTTAATGCTCGAATTGCCACAAATTGGGACCTACTAATTAAGTCCAAATGGTGGACTCCCCCATGTTTGGGCAACTTTGACTTGGAACATGCTAGAATTAGAACTTCAAAGGACAACAGAGTAAACAAAGCTGGAGTGACCCTTTACCAAATGGCCATTCGCCTGAATCTAGTATTCTTGAACGGCACCTTCCCCCGATATACCGGGGAGTTCACTCACCTGGGACCAGCATCTAACAGTGTTATCGATTACCTCTTGATCTCCGCAAATTTGGCCGTCAATGTACTCTCCTTCCAGGTTGAAAACCAACATTTCAGTGATCACCTCCCAATAGTGACCACTTTGTCATTGTTCCGGTACCAGAAGGACTATAAACACTCAGTCCCTCTGGAAACCTCATCAGCGACCAAAATAAGTGGGATCAAATGGTCGGAGGCTGTGGCCCAAAAATACCAGGATTTTTTCCATAGGGAAATCACTGCCTATCTACCTCAAATAGCTACTGATTTACAAGATTCCAATTCGGTTTTGAAATTTTTAACCTTCTTACAACAAACCTTACCACTTTTTTACATTACCTCCTCAAAAGGCGAAAGTAGCGCATTGCAGTGCTGGGGCCCCTTGGTTTAATACCTCTTGCAAACAAGCAAGATCCCTTCTTCGTTCCATCTATAATGAATACAAAAACTCTAATGCCCAGGCTCTACCATCCTCCTATTTACAAGCCAAAAGAGCATACAAACAGACTTTAAAGCTGGCCAAACGTGAGTGGCATCTAAAGCGTTGGCGAGCCTTGATTGCGGCCTCTAGATCCCGCAGACCACAGGAATTTTGGGCTTTGATAAACAAAAGAGGAAGGAAGTACCCACTGACGATTATCCCTGCGCCCACATGGGAACAATTCTTGAGCAAATATTTCTCCTTGGCAGAGGAATCCAACTCATCCACTGAATTCCGAGCCGACCATCTACCTTTGTGGCCCTCTACCGACCCAGACCTGATAATGGACTTGATATTAGATCTGAAATCGGGCAAAGCCCCCGGGCTGGATCTAGTCCCTGCTGAGGCTATTGTTGCGCAACCGAGGTGGTGGGCTGAAATCCTGGCCAAAGTCTTTGATGCAATTAATTCTACGGGGCTTATCCCTAGGTCATGGAAGGAGGCCGTGATCGTGCCAGTCCATAAAAGGGTCCCCCTGCTGACCCGGAGAACTATCGGAACATCAGCCTTTTGTCTATCATCGGGAAAATCTATGCAAAATTTTTGCTGTCCAAGCTGTCCAATTGGGCAAACGACTCAAATTTGATTGGCCACGAGCAAGCGGGCTTTAGGAACAATTATTCGACCACTGACCATATGGTAATCATGTATCATCTTGCCAGAAAATATTCTGCCCCGAGTCGGGCGCCTATGTGTCGCTTTCATAGACCTAAAGGCCGCCTTCGACAGTATCCCAAGAAACTGTCTATGGAAGAAATTAGAGAGATGGGGCATAGATAGAAGGCTGTTATGGCTTATAACCCAATTACACCATGGGTCGTCGGCTAGAGTGAGACTCACACCGGCGGGAAACCTATCCAACGAGGTCCCAATAAATAGAGGTGTGCGCCAAGGTTGCATTTTGGCCCCACTCCTTTTCAACTTGTTTATTAGCGATATGAAGCTCTTTCTGAATGAGTCTCAAGCCAACATTCATGCCCCCCCGCCTAGCTGATTTTCGCTGCCCTCTGCTCTTATATGCCGACGATGCAGCGATCCTTTCCTACTCTAGAGTCGGTTTATGCAGAGCTCTAAAGATTTTTGCGGCTTATTGCAAACTCAACCATCTGACAATTAATCATGGGAAATCTAAAGTCCTGGTCTTTACCAGGTCCCGGAAAACTTACAGCTGGAAGTTAGATGGAGTCCAATTAGAACAAGTTTTCAAATTTAAATACCTGGGAGTCTTTTTTCACTACAACCTAAGCTGGAAGCCACAGATACAGTATTTACTAAACAAAGGGAAAACAATACTTTATACTCTACTCCAATTTTTTGCGGCCGACGGAGCCTCCCACATCCCTTCTGCATTGAAGGTGTACCATGCAAAAGTGGTTTCCACCCTCTGTTATGCTGCCCCGCTCTGGGCCCCAGGGTCCAATTTAACATCGTTGGGGACATTGCAGAATCAGTTTCTCCGTCGCCTCCTGAAACTCCCCATGTGTGTGAGCAACGCAGCCATACGTCTGGAGTTAAGGATTGCATCATTGGGCGTCTGCTTGTTATCAGCTGGCAACACTCAGTGCCCTGGCGACGACTTTCAATCTAAAATCATGCCAATTGAGCAAAAAGATGAACCAGATAGGAACATTGAAATCAACACAACCGGGTGTGCCCCAGGTAATCTCACCCTCTCATACATGTCATTTTTCATGACACACAATTTTTCAAGGTTCATGTCTCTACCGCTGAGCAATTTGGTTTGGGTCCCTATCGGTGTGGAAGTGCATATTCTGTACAGCATAGCCAGACTATTCTGGGCCCCTGGTTGAGGCCTGAGTCTGCTACTAGACGATCCACTGTGCAATTCCTGATCACCAAAACCAATCAAAACTAATTAAGGGATCCGCTCTCTTTTCTATCGTTGGAGCCTCCCTGTATCTGCTGCTCAGACCCACCCTCATGGTGTACCTCTGATATTGTCTTATGCCTCTTGTATGTTGTACATTTGGCAATAATAAATAATAAATAAATAATCTACATGCAGCTATTCATAGGACACAGTTTCCCATGAGCCCAAGCGAGAAATTATCCCCAGAAGGGAGGTAGATCAAGAACCCTGCATTTTTTCAGGGCTGATTTGAAACAGTTCACTTCAACCATCTATTCAGCACTGAGTCCAGCAGTTGGTATCTCACATGGGACCTCAGCCTCTGCCTCACCTGCGAGTGCAGCAGATTGACTCTTTCTGTGGCCTCCAGCAGCTCCTGCTCAGCCAGCTTCCTTCCACGCTCAGCTTGCTCCAGGGCTGCACGCAGCTCCTCCACCTCGGCCAGCATCAGGTTGTTGCGCCTCTCCAGGGCAGCAGCCTGCTCCTTCAGGTCATCGTTATGGCGCAAGGTGTCATCCAGTTCTATCTGCAAGTCCTGTCAGGCACCACAAGAAAAAAAGGGGTCTGATTAATATGAGAGAGAAGCAAGAGCTATAAGGAAAGAGGAGTGGGGAACCTGTAGCCCAACAACCACATGAGGCCTTTGGCCTAATTTCATGCAGGTGGCAAGATGTGGGGGTAAGCATGTAGCAGAGAGAAAGAGAGAGAGAGATTGCGCACTGTGGCCCTATTTACCTCTGGATTTGGCCCACCTGCCATCAGCAGCTTGCCCCCGCAGGGCCAATCCAGTACACTTCCTGCCTAAGGCAAAGGGCAAGATGGCACCCCCCAGTTCCACATACAGAAGTCAACTAGACTCACAGTCTAATATTACTCTAATATTGGTAATGGAGTAGCATCTTCCATGGCACTTGAGGATAACAGGCTAGTTAAGAGGACACAGGACAGGCAGCATGGCAGACACGGCTCTGTCCTTCAAGGAAATGCTGTCCATCGACAACCGCCACCTGAGGGGCCTAACGGTAGAGCTGGGCTTGGGGGAATGTGATACCAGGGGTATCTGTGGAGCAGCCATGGAGAGAGGCAGAAATACAGGAGAGCTCCAAGAGGCTCAGTGAAGACATGTTTCTGACATGGCTGACCTTCATTTGGGCTTGGAGCTGCCGCACCAGTTTCTGAGACTCGGCAGCCTGGCGGTTTGCGTGGCTCAGCTGTATCTCCATCTCATTCAGGTCTCCCTCCATCTTCTTGCGCAGCCTGATGGCCTCATTTCTGGCTTTGGCTTCTGCATCAAGTGAAGCCTGCATGGAGTCCATGGCTCTTTGGTGGTTGCGCCTGGGAGAGTGAAGAAAGATGCTTAAGAAAAGAGGCACTTTATACCTACAAATGCAGTACCGGTGAACCTTCGTCACAACTTTTGTTTTCTCAACGATGCCTCTCTGTGTAGATTTGCTCTGTGTTGGTTATGAAGGCTTCAGAAGGCCCAAACCTATAAAAACCTAATTAGTTTCACAGAACAGCCTGCCACACTATGTTCTGTACCTACCTGAGGTTCTCAAATTCTTCATCCTTCTCTGCCAGTTTCCTATCGACATCAGCCTTGATCTGAGACAACTCCAGCTGGATGCGCAGAGTCTTGCTCTCCTCGTGCTCTAGGGCTCCCTAGGAGCAGAAGGAAAGATAAGTACTTCATGAAAAGGCTCACCAGAGTCCCAGTCCCCTCAATCTGCTTCAGCTTATTTTTGAAAAAGGCATCAGGGGTGCTGAATAGCCTGAAACTCATTAAGATATCTAATATTTGTGAGAGACTTTGCCAACCCTCTCTCCCTCATTAACAACTGTTATAATGAACTTAAAACACTCCTGTTTACCCAGGTGTTTGGTTGCTGTAAGATAACATTAATTGTTTCTAGGAACCTTGAACCTTATTAGCTGTGGGGCTATGAGATTGTTCTTAAATGTTGTGTTTTTAATTTAATTGTGTTAGCATTTTAATATTTTGGTGTTTGCCACCTTGGGCTTCTCTAGGAGGAAGGCTGAGGTAGAGATTTAATAATAAATAAAATAAAATAAAATAAAATAAACCTGGCACCATGTTGGCAAAGGCCAGAAGTGTACTTTTCTGACCACTAGATGCCATCGTGGAGCCAGGTAAATGGTCAGCTTCTATGCCTCTAGTTGTTCCACCTGCTAGGATTCAACACCAAGACAAGGCCAGAAAAAAAATCAACAGCAGCAAGTGATGGATGAGAGGCAAATGTGGGAAAGAGGAAGACGACTTGTCAAAGGCCTGCATGTTAAAAGGATACTGTTTCTAAATGCCACAGTTCTAACATCTATGTGGCTCTACCTAACAGGATCCTTCATGAACACTGTAGGACTTGGGCAATACTTCCTACATTTGTATTTTCCCATAGGAACATGCACAGGCACACTGACATATTCCTCAAATTAAGCAAGGCACTCCTTTCACTGCCCCAAATCTTTGTGGCCCAGTGTCCCTTGGGTCCCTAGGTGATGGATTACAACTCCCACGTGGCAAAGCTTTCTGGTCAAAATCCAAAATGAGGAGCAGCACAATGAGCTACAGCAGGGATGGGGAATCTGTGGCCCTCTAGATGTTGGTAGATTCCAGTCCCCATCAGCCACTGCTAGCACAGCCCACACTCAGGAATGATGGCAGCAGGAGCCCAACAACTTCTGGGACTCAAAGTTGAAGGGCATTGCTGTAGCCCCCAATTCAGTTGGGATATGGCTTGGATTTCACATAATGTAGCCTGACATTGTGCACAGCCACAACATGAAGCTCTCCCTCTGCTCACAAGCTGGGGGCTCACCTCAGCCTCCTCCAGGGCAGCCTGGATTTCATTTTTCTCACTCTCCAGACCTTTCTTCAGCTTCTCCAGCTCATGGATGGTTTTGCCACTCATGCCAATCTGATCAGTCAAGTCAGTGATCTCCTCTGGTAAGGAAGATAGGAATTATAGGCCTGCATGTAGCTGTAGTTGTTTTTAATAATAATAATAATAATAATAATAATAATAATAATAACACGTAGCTGGTATTCAGATACTCCACTCATTCAAGATTCCTGGGCGGAATTCAATGCCTTTTCTACTCAGAGTAGACCCACTGGAGTGAATTGACATGACTAAGGTTCATTCATTTCAATAGGTCCACTCTAAGTAGGACTTGGTTGAATTCCACCGTCTATCTCCAAGTGACTGGGGGAAAGGGTGACCAAAATCAAACCCAGAATGGAAGACAAGACAGGACAGAATGCCTAACCTAAAGCTCTGGACCTTTGCTGAGCTTGCCGCATGGGTATGGCTTATGCCATCCTTCGCCAATCTGGTGCTCTCCAAATGTTTTGGTCTAAAATGCCCATCAGCCCCAGCTAACATCTGGAGAACACAAGACTGGTGAAGGCTGGCTTACGTACTTGGGCCACACACAAATACAAGAGGCTATCAACCCATCAGCACCACCCTTCGTCCAAGGTGCTCAAAATCAGCCTTGCAAATTGGTCCACAGATGAGCCCACACATTCATTAGGCTACTGGTCTTAAGTGGAAGGATAGAGACCCACAAGTAGGGCATGCTTTGACCTTATGTGGGTCACATCAATCATTATTTTCTGCCTGTTACTGAGGAGAAGGGCAAAATCATTCCCTGAACACTGGTGATCCTGCTCAGATTCTCTACCCTGCTTCCACCTCCAGGTCATTACTCCCACACTTTCAAGCATTCTCTTCCCATCGTAAGGGCTAGATAGAAGCTGCCTTTACAGAAGAAAAAGAACAAACGACACCTGTGCCTGCCCAGTAACAGCTCCTTGGATTGCAAAGTACCCACTTGGATTACCCACAGCCCTGACGATACCTTGCAGGTTCTTGTTTTCGCGTTTGAGAGTCTCTAGATTTTCCAAGGACTCCTCATAGGCGTTCTTGAGCTTGAAGAGCTCTGTGCTGAGGCTGCGGGACTCCTTCTGGGAGGACTCCAGCTCTGACTGCGTCTCCTCGTACTTCTGCTTCCACTCCGCAATGATCCTGTCGAAATTGCGCTGCTTCTTGTCCAAAGCAGCAGCGGCCGAGTTTGCTCTCTCCAGGTCGATCGAGAGGTCCTCGATCTCTGTCTGCAGACGGTGCTTGGTCTTCTCCAGAGAGGAGCACTTGGCATGGGCTGCTTCCACAGCTTCCTCTGCCTCCTGCAGCCGGATGGCCAGCTTCTTCCTGCAAATTATCATGGTTAGCTAGGGAAATAGCTGCTCCTACACAAGCCGGAGATGGAGCTCTAGAAGCAGCACAGATCTCATCCACCTGGTGCAATGCTTTCCACCTTTCTGTTGAGAAGGATCTTCAAGGGAGACGGAAGCAACAAACTGGGAAGTGAAACTTGAGGAGGAAGCTGGAGCTCATTATGGCATGCTTCCTCCCTCTTCCTGAAATATATCCCTAACATGGACTTTTCCTGCCTCCTGCTATTGGGTGGCCATTTACACACCATCAAATTTGCATAATTTATATGCATAGATGCAAATTTACAAAGAATTACTGGAGTTTATATAGAATACATCTCACCATAAAGGGAAAGACTGATCAGATGACCTGCTGTCTTCTTTCTAGGTGCCTACTGGCGATGGGCAACTTCAAGGTGGTACTTCTCCCTTCTTACACTTTTAAAAAATCTGGACCAGCCAGCCTTTCAGATAGAGAACACCTCCAAACAGAGAACTGTGCTCTGTGAAGTTGGACACATGGCCATCCTACCTATTGCACTTAATCGAAAAGGTGCCTTTGTGCCACACTGTAATGCCAAAGCTGCTTCATTTCTGCACAGAATTGGGACGGCACAAAATTTATTTTGCATGAATGACCACCTCTAGGACTTACTTGGCTTCCTCTAACTCTTCTGTCCTCTGGATGGCGTCTGTCTCGTATTTGGTCCTCCATTGGGCCACTTCTGCATTGGCCTTTGACAGGGACCGCTGGAGATCTCCCTTGGCTTCCACTTCCTCCTCATACTGCTCCCGCAGAAGGTCACAGTCGTGGCGGGAAGCTTGCAAAGCATGAGCCAGAGCGTTCTTGGACTGGAAGGTTGGAATCGCATGTAGTAAAATGGAAACAAGGCCTCTCTCCCTTGCATGTGTCCATTTATCAAGGAGTAGATAGTTCTAACTCCCCAGTGTGTCAAATGAAGGCTGGGGTTCAATACATTCTGACAGATTATTCATCAATAAGTTAGGAGCAACTGTTTGTGAAGATGGTTGCCTTCTATGCAAAAAATATACACAATATGGAGGGTAGGAGGAGCTGGGCTCTTTATGGACATTAAACAAAGGGCCTGTGACAATCATTGGAGCAGATACTCTTGAGAGCTCAAGGTGGACGAGTCAACAAGGAAAACAGTCCACTGACTGGCCATGCCAATCACCCAACATAATCACCACACCTGCCCTGTCCTGGCTGAACCAGAAGCCATGGCTTTTCTTATTTACAGTCTTTATGGAATGTAGAAGAATCAAGGCTACTGTTGTCTCCCTTTCGAAAAACATCTTTCCCATCAGAGACATTTGTTAACATACTGAAAATATTGCTGCAGCTATGGGAGTATAATTTACTGTCTTATTCACTCTCCCCATGGAAACGCAATATTATCTACATTAAAGGGTTCCCTTTATAGCATTATAGCCAAAAAGATGGGGATGGATCTCAAACATGCCCATGAAAGTCCTGTTCCTGAATCCTAAAAATATGCAGACTGTGGTTATTCAGTGGTATAGAAAAGCACTCTGCACATACTCAGAGGCACTTCTCCTTACTATTATTTGATATATTCCAGGATATGTTCTGGGTATTGAAAAATAGTTTCAGGGCCCAAGTGAGCTTCCCCGCAGTACAAATTAAGTCCTGGTTCCCTGTTACCAGCTCTTGACTGCAGGTGTAACCCCAGATGTATAAATGGTCACCTTAGTCTCTTCTTCTAGCTGTCTCTTGAGTTCATCAATGGTTTGCGTAAAGGAAGTCTTGCCACGACTCAGCTGGTTTATAAAGGACTCCTTCTCTTCAAGAAGTCGGCTAAGTTCTCCTAATTTTGTAAAAAGCCAGATATCCCATTGACATTTCATTAGAGAACTCATCGTTTTCCATTCCTTTGAAATCCAAAATAGCGACACGGCAGTTTTCAGGACTGATCCATCACTGAAAACAACTCATTTGAAGGTTATCAGCGTGGGCAGGATGCAGACATTGGGTGGTATTCAGTTTGTCAGATGGAACAATCCCTTCCCCTCCTTCGCATGCTGTTCTAGCAGTTTTCCTGACTCTCTTGAGCTGTTTTTTGAGGGTGGAGGTGAAGGGGAAGGAAAGCCCCAGTGCACAAGTGAAAATCCTTATGCAGGCTTCCACTGGTGGGACTCATTAGCCCAACAGATTTTATGATCCCACCCTAATCCCCATAAGATAGATGTTATGGGCTCTCAGTCTAATGTTCACCTCAAAAGACTGTAGCCATGTCAATCAAAATGGATTCAGTGCTTTCTCTTGGTGGCTCTAAAATCTAACCTGTTAGAAAGCCGAGCCCAATGAATGTAATTAGCTCTGTATTTTCTGAAGCATGCATAGCATAATTGGCATGAGCTTCATAAAGCTCCAAAATGGTTGATAATTCTAATCTCAGTTATTTATCATTACAGGAGTGGCATCTTTGGGCAATTGCCAGGGTCTCAGTACCAGGCAGGGCCTTCTAATGATGCCTTCGATTAGTTTCTGGCTCAGCGCTACAAGCAGGGGCAGGCAACTGCATCTAGCCAATGCTGTAATGTCCCACAATGCCCCTGACGTAGCATCAGTCACTAGATAAATCCACCAAGCCACTGACAGGGGAGAGTGGCCCATGAGAAGGCATTTTGCCCAGGGCCCCCCTCAAGCCTGGAGCAACACTGTGAAGTATGTAGACAGACAGCGACTTTTCCAGGGACATTCAATTAGCCTCCTCATGGCCAAGCAAGAATCAAAACCCTCATGCCTCAAGTTCAAACTCAACATGCCAAGATCCCCAAGGCCAATTGTCCTGCATGGATATTCTGCAGCTCTTCATAGGCAATTTATCTGACATAAGAATATCTTGCATCATCAAGGCTGCTTATCCAGACTGCTCTCTTCCTGGGGAGATCCAACATGCAAGCAATCAAGCCAGGTATCTAACAGAGGGAGCGACTTTGAAAGCAAAACATACCATTTTCAGTCTGCAGTCTCCCACGCTGGGTGCTGACTTCGGCTAGCTGACGCTGGAGTTCATCCAGCTTTGATTTGGTTTCGCTCAGCTGATCCTCATATGTTCGGCAGAGCTTTTCAGCATTTGCCTGCAACAGGGAAGAAAACTTTGTCTAGATGTCTGAATTGTCAATGCATTAAACAACTGGCTCGAGGCAGAGCCTAGGGCTGGATCATGGCCAGTGAAGAGCTCTAGTGCCTTCATGGTCTGCTCCCTTAGCACTTACATGTAGTTCACTGTCCCCATCATGCACAGTATACACAGTGCTTCCTTAAAAAAAGGCAGCTACCTTCTTCCCACCCTGACCAGTCAGAAAGTCAATGGTGTAAACTTGCACGGCAGTGCTGGTCCTTGTCAACTGAGCAAACCAGCAGGGGACCTGTCAAGTTGAGGAACACTTCAGAAACAGAGAAAGGGAACCGAAATGCTGAAAAAGTGCACCTGATCCGCTCCATCTGAACAACCAATCACTGTAATGGACTTCTAAGCTAAAATACACCTTAGCTGATTCATTCATTCACCAAATTACTGCTGTATGTGATACCTTCCTCCCTCAAGCCACCTTCTGGCTTAGAGTTGCAGCACTAAACTAGCCCATTCACATTCATGCACGGAAAGCTCTACCTCTGCTTACAACATCTCCTCCTCCTTTCAACACATTAGTGCACAAGGAAGCATCAGCAAATGGCATTCACCTTGTTCTTGGTGAGGTAGTCAATGTTGGATGACAGATCATCCACCTCCATCTTCAACTCGCTCTTCTCCTTCTCCAGCTTCTGCTTCACGCGCTGCAGGTTGTCGATCTGCTCCCCCAGTTCCGCCACAGAATCTGCATGCTTTTTGCGCAGGGCAGCAGCAGTTGACTCGTGCTGCAACGTGGCCTCCTCCAGGTCCCTGCGCAGCTTCAAGAATTCTGCTTCTCGCTTCTTGTTCAGCTCTATCTGGCAAGCTGTGGCGCCACCCGCCTCCTCTAGCCGCTCGCTCAGCTCCTCCAGCTCATGCGCCACCTCTGCCCGCTGCTTCTCCACCTTGGCCCTGGCAGCTCGCTCGGCCTCAAGCTCCTCTTCTAGCTCCTCAATGCGGGCCTGCAAGTAGACAAAAGATGGCAGAAACCACCAGGTAACTCTGCCCAGAATGAAAGGGGGAGGAGAACCCAATGACTCTGATCAGGGTTGAGGGGCTCATAACGCTTCTATCTGGGCTTCCAGGTAGAACACTTGAATCATTGTGGTACCAAGTGGCCAAGAGCATCTACATTGCAGTGGATTACAGGAAATTCTTCAAAGGCCGGACCAAATGTTTGCCCCTTTTGACTTTTGGCACAAATGGTGGGCTTGCTCCCCACTTACCCCCCAAAATGTTCACACCCAGCCCTGCTGCTGTAAAAAAAAATAAAAATCCCTTCCTTTTTTGTGCCTGTTAACATCCAACACTCCCTCTTAGGTTTACCTGGAGCTCTTTAATTTTCTTCTGCAGCTGAATTGCAAGGACTTGCTCATCTTCAATTCTTGAATTTAACTGGTTCATTTCAAAGTCTTTCCTATGAAAGAAAATAAGAACAAGCTGCGTTTATATCGGGACTGAGATAGAAGCAATTGTCACTGCTAGGAGACTGAGGGAGGGTTGTTTCTACATTGGTGGTTTGAAAATGTAAATGGTTTTTTAAAAATCATGTTTTTTGCGTTGTGGGACAAGACCGTCTTGCTGAAAATATCATATACAGGGGTGTTCACATATTACATACAAGGAGTACGCAATCTGTGTACCTGTGTAACAATAGCTGAGCTGCACACTTGCACAGTTATTCACAAGTTCAACAAGTGTTCAGTCTGTGTACAGAATTAGTTCAGCCGCACAAACCAACAAGTGTATATTCTTTGACACAAACACTTGTTCATGTGCAGAGACAGCTTGTACTTGTGTTCAGTGCAACACATGAATAAGCCTACAAAGCAGCTTAATTCTTTGAACCATGTAGCAATTCACTTGAGTTGAGAGCTGGGGCACAGATGAAGGCAGATTCACCAGCTGCCCCTGCTTTTCTTCATTGAGGGCAGTGATCCGAAGCCATAATGAGCATTTTAGTGGGTTGCACTGTGCAGCTCATGCCCTTTCTCTGTTTCTCACTCCGGTAACTGAAGTTTCCTTGAGGACATGGGGAAAAGCAGGAGGGATAAATCCTAAGTATGTATGCTTAAGTCCCACGGACGCAAATCAGACACAAAGCCCACCATTTCTATTTTCACTTGCATCTTCAACAATCCTTCATACAGCAGAGACTCCTACTCAAATTTGCCTTTCGATACTGCGTGAAAATAGAGAACCCTTTTCAACCTGTAATTATTGTTCCAAAATTCTAGTGCAGAAACAATTCAGCATCTGTTGTGAGCTATTATCTCACATCTGTTGTTAGGCTGATATCAAGCAGCCTGCTTAAACCGGTTTGGTTTGGTTGGGTGGTATTTCCATCAATTGCATGCTCACTTCTTGAGTTTCTCTTCCAGCTGCTGCTTATCATTCTCCAGATCCATCACAGATTCCTGAGTGAGCTTCAAATCGCCTTCCAGCTTGCGTTTTGCTCTTTCCAGGTCCATCCGTATCTTCTTCTCTTGTTCTAAAGCACTTTCCAGCTAGAGGGCACAAAGAATAGTGAAGGAAAATGAGAAAGTCACAGAACATGCTTTGCTCACCCAATTTACCCTTTCTCCCAAAATGGTGCCTCCGTGCAATGATGTCAGAGATAGAGAACCCATGTCCCTCCAAAAGTCCCAACAACCCTAGCCAGCACTGCCAATGGACAGGGATGGTGGCAGTTGTAGTCCAACACCCTCTGGTGGGCCACAGGTTCCCCAACATTGGATAAGAAGCTCAGCCAGCTGGAAACATTACAGAAGCATCTGCCCCAAAAAGCACATTGTTATGGGGCTAGACATTTTGCTATCTGAGGCCAAAGGCAAGATGGTACCCCCCTCCCACCCCTTCTACACACAGAAGGTGACTAGACCAGCAGTTGAATCTCACTTCAACACAGGCAATGTGTCCTCCAAGGCACCTGAGGGCAGCAGGCTAGTTTAAGGGGGTTAACACACACAGGTCTGTCCTCTAATAGAGGGGGAAGCTGTCCCTCACCACAAGCATCTGTTGACACACTCTGCCTAATGGTAGGGCCAGTTCTGGACTGGAACATATGAAAGGCAGATACTGCTGTACAGACATTTCAAAGAACTGGACAGGTAGATATTGTTAAGGTTTCTGAGACTGATAATTTTCCAGCAAAGCATTTATGTTTGCACAATCTAGTGAGCTTTTAGCCAGATCTCTGGACAAAATGGTTTCCTCTCTCCTGGAAGCCTCAATTTTTACACCACCACAGACATTTTTCATGTGCCTTGACTCACGTCATCCACTTGTTGCTCCAGCTTGACTTTAGCCTTGGTCAGAGTGTTGACTTTGTCCTCCTCAGCCTGAAGGTCATCCAGAGCTTGCTGGTGGGCCTCCTGCAATGCCTTTTTCTCCTTGGTCAGCTTAGCAATGACCTCATCCAAAGCAGCCATTTCTTCAATCAGGTTTTTCACCTACGATGGTGTGACAAAAACTTAGAGGGTTATATGAATAATATGGAAGAGTGAAAGGATGCACACATGTAAAACTTGGCAGGCCTTTGGTGAAGCATAACAACATTTGTCACAGAAGATGGTAATTTTTAAATACTCACCAACTACAAAAGAAAAGTGGTGTAAATTCATGCTTTCACCCCACACTTTATGCCACTGCCCCAATAAACCAAATGTGTTATTTCTGCTAAAAGAGAAGACAACTTTTCTTTTCTTTTTGTGCTGTTTTGAAATCACACAACACGAATCCTCTGTTAAACTAGTGGCACTTTCAGGTAACACAAAACCAGCAGTAGTTTGGGCTGATTTTGTACTCTACCTGTTTTTCTTTATTCTTTTCGTGCTTCCATTACCTGTCTTTTTATTTGTATCCTAATGGTGCTCACCTTGTTTTCTGTGGCATGCTTCTCCTTCTCCACCTTGGCCAGGGTGATCTCCAAGTCATCAATGTCTTTCTTCAGTTCAGCACATTCATCCTCCAGCTTTCGCTTCTTAGAGGTCAGGTCTGAGTTCATCTCCTCCTCGTCCTCCAGGCGCTCCATCAGTTCCTTCACCTTGGCTTCCAGCTGAATCTTGGTCTTGATCAAGAGGTCGCAGCGCTCTTCTGCATCAGCCAAGTTGTCCTGCTCCTGTTGAAGAATATCCAAGAGGAGGGAGCACTTTACCGCACTGGGAAATGCTGCTGCTCCACTCTCAAGTGTACAGATATATGAAATGTGCATGGTGGTTAAGGTGCTTTTTTGTCAACTGTCTACAATAAGAGACTCACTTTGACTGCCTTCAATTCTCCAGCTGAGAGAAACACTGAACCCATCAATTTGTTGAAGTTTGTCAGATCCACAGTTCTATCACATGTATAGAACCATGTAATGGGGAATCAAACATCTCAAGTATCTTATTTTTCCTTTTAAAAGCCCCCGACACACCACAAGTTTCTAGTTCTCATGGTTGCATGCTTAAAAGGGAAAACTAGCGTGTGGTACTTGATGAAGGTTCAGAAACTAGAAGGCATCTGCAAAAGAATTCCAAGACTGGTTAGGCAAAGTTAACTATCTAAGCCAGGCAAGGGCACTTGTGGCCACCAATGGAAAATGCAAGGCGTACCCCCAAATGGCATATCTGATTCTTCAAGGGGACTATTCCCCCATCCAAACAAGCTAAATTATTACAGGATGCCATTGCCATGTTTCCATCAACAAGACTTCAGTGCCTTGTCTCTGTGCATATTGTCTCTGTAGACTTCACTATTCATATTTTACCTTCTTAGTATATAGCAGTCAGGGGGCCACATGGAGGAAGGCCGAGGGCCACATGTGACCTGCAGGTTGCTCACTTGTGCCTTATAGAAATGTTTGAAAGGAAAATGTCAAGGCCAGATTCACCGTCAGCTTCCTAAACTACATACAGCACAATGCCTACCCTTCATTTGGAAAGCTCAGCTGGACAGATTACTCACTGCTTGAAGCTGCAGTGACAGATCATTCTTCTCCTGGATGATGCTGACTTGCTTCTCTTCCAGCTCCTTCCGTTTAGCCTCTGACTTCTCCAGAGCTTCCTTCAGCTTCTGGAACTCCTCTTTGAGGGTGGCCATTTCCTTCTCAGTCTGAGCTGACTTGAGGAGAGGTTTGATCTTGAAGAAAAGCTTCATCCAGGACCAATTCTTGACTGCATTAAAAGCACGGATGTTCCACTGAATGGTGTAGAGTGCGTCCCTGTGGGGAATAAGTAACACATGTTGTGATGTGATTTGGTGGACACTCTTACTGCCTGATCACTGCCCATTATAAAGGAGGCAGATTCTTGCTCCCTCCTCAAACTATGAGCAATAAGCTACAGATTCCTGGAGGAAGAGACGCACAGAGGAACTCAGTATACTAGGTATACACTATATCAGCTTGTGTGCAGGTCTTTGCTGAAAATCAGATCTTTTCTGAAACTTAAAAAATCACTGTATTAACATAGTGAGGGGTAGGGGGGAAGAGACAGAGTGGGGGTGAAAATCAGAAACAAATGTACGAAGGGTCTATTGGCCATGGCCAAGCAAACAAATGCTGATATTTTAAAGAAAACAGAGAAGAACTTGTTCAAGGAAATACTTCATATACCTAAATGTTAATATCTTTGGACTGTAATATTTTATAATGTAACCCTCCCATCTGTTTTGAACAGAAGATAGGCACAAAGTGGTTGTCTCTGTGAGTGAATGTAGCAGTGGCTGATATAGGTGCTGCATTGATGGAGCATTGATGGGGCGTGCCAGCACCATTCTGAAATCCTGTCTCTTTTTCTGCTCTTTGAGGGCATGGCAGCCATTTTGTGTTATGTCATACCCCCATAGCAGCCATTTAGTGGCTGCCATCCACAGTGCTTTCTCAAAATAATTCCAAACATGCCCACTGGCCCAAAGTGGTCTGCCCATCTGGTCGCTGAAAGTGAAAAGTTTGAGAATATTCCAGTGGACGACATGCAAGGAGTTGCTGTGGCCAGGCTTGCGTGTTGCTATACCTTCTGCCAATGATCCACCCATACTCAATGCGCATCAGCCGTCCACGCATCCTGGCCTGCAGGAGGGTGATAATCTTGGCCAGACGTTGATCTCGCATCTCCTCCAGGAGACCCAGCAAGCCTGCTTTGAAAAACACCTGCAAACAGGGAAACGGGGAAAGTTGGAACAGAGGAGACACCAGTGTCACATCCTCTGAAGGACATTCTCCTTGCCCCCAAATTATAGAATACGGAAAAGGTGTCGTATATTTAATATATCAAATCTCACAAGTCCGCTCACCTCTCTTGGTGCAGTGGCATTGCCCACCGGGATAATTGGCTCTTACCTGGTGGTTTTGCCTACCTCGTTGCAATTTGTCACAACTGGTTGGGCATTGGGGCAATCCTTTGTTTTGGATGGAGGGGAGGTTGTAGTCTCCGCCTGCCCCTCCAAACACTGGAGTAGGGGGAGTGGCCATGTCTGCATACCCGGGGGACCAGGGTCGAAGGCACCCCCCAGATGGCGGTCCCTGCGGGGGTCACCCTATTTGATATAAGTCTTAGGAACCCTCGCCTGGATTGACCACGCGTCCCTTCTGACTGGTGGCCCAGAAGTATTTAGATTGCCCCATGCCTAAGCCAAACCTCTTTCATCTGTATTCAATAAAGTTGTGGCCTGTTTTTACCCCAAAACCCAGTCTTATTGGTCTCTTATTTATATGGGTTGGGACATGGGAAGTCCGATTCCTTGTCCTGCAATACCACTTACATTCAGATCCTAAAATAATTCTATTAGGCTATCTAAGCAGGAAGTATAGCTACCACATTAACTCATAGTATACTGGAAGTTGTAAGAATATGCATTGGCACATTAACTCTTAGTTTACCAGTAGTTGTAAGAATATGTGTTGCTAAATGATAGAAAACATTTACTCCACTGATTTCAGACTGGGTTCAAGAAGTGTGGCTTTATTAAGTAGCTTTATTCATAAAAGGCATAAAAGCTTCTATAGGTTGATGCTACAGAAAGTAAGCACTGAACAAACAGGAAAGTATGCTAGTAAATCAGATGTCCTTAGCAAAACAATATGGTAGACACTGAACAAGAAGTTTGAAACAGGGAGAATAAAACGTAGTGGATTTTACTACCAGCAAGGGAAGTGTATGTAAAATTACACATGCACATTCTGACCATTCTCAAGGCTTTAGTTTTATGGCACAGCAAATCCCTTAATCCGCCCATTCAATTTGCACACCGCGTACCTTTGTGTGTCCAAACTTATATTGGGAGTGGTCAAGGTCCAAGGAAAGAAGCAGCTTCTCTGTGGCCTTCCTGCTATCCACAAATTTGTCATCAGGAATGGCAGCAGGATTCAAGATACGGTAGCTGCAAAGATACGAGAGATCAGCACACTCAGGAAGAGATGAGGAGAATCAAGAACACTTCAACTAGGGCCTACCCACTGAGGTCATTTTGGCAGAAGGGGGTTCTCTGCACATCTTTCCCAGCATGGGACAGATGCAGAGTGTGCTCCTGAAACCAAGTTTTGTATTTATTGTTCTATTTTATTTTATTACTCTTTCTGAAGCAGGTGTGGGAAACTTCTGGCCTTCCAGATGTTACTGAACTGCAACTCCCAGCCACTGGCCATGCTTGCTGGGGCTGATGGGACTTATAGTTCAGCAACATCTAGAGGGCCAAAGCCCCCCCCCCCCAAGTCCTGCTCTACAGATTAGACTGGGACATATGTTTTTATTCCTCACTGTGTGTTCATAGCATGTTGTCCAGGTCTTGCACAGCTGATAGCATCGGTGATCAGCAAAGTTGAACAGAAAACTTAATTACCGCTGCTTAAAGTCAGCATAGAGGATTCTGTTTGGAAAGCCTTTCCGACAGATGCGGATGCCTTCTAGCACACCGTTACACCGTAGCTGATGCAGCACCAGGAAGGGGTCCATGACTCCTGCGTGGGAAAGAAGGAAAGGACAGATCCTAACACCGCTCCTCAGCGATGAGAGCTCATACTTTGAGAATAATAATAATAATTTACACTAGTGGCCAAAATTGTGGAAAAGTGTATTTCTGAGATTTGATGGCTCATAACACCTGATTGGCTCTCTAAACATTCATGCTCATTGGCTACATCCAAATGAAGGAAAGCTACTGTATATCCAGAAAAGGGAAGCAAGTTATGCTTCCTTTTTCTGCTTATTTGCCTATAATTTTTGATAGAATACAGATAATTGAACAAACTTTGTTGCATTACATTCTTCATTAAATTATCTTTCCATTGGTATATAATTTCATGGTATTACTCCAAAAAAAGTGGTGTTATGAGCCATCAAACCTCAGAAATACACTTTTTCAAAAAGGTTTCCACAATTTTGGCCACCAGCGTAGGTGTATTTGCATCCACGCAAGGCAAGAGAAATGAGAAAAACAACAAACACACCTGCTACAAAGCTAAACAGTAGTAGTAGCAGAATGCAAAACAAGGAACAAAGCAAAGGGAAAGTGATACCTTTACAGCCCAATTCTAAGCATATTTATTCAGAGCAAAGTCATTCTATATGCTGAATCCAGACATGAACTTCCATGAATGGAAGGGCTCTTCCCATTTGCAGGAAGGGCTCCAGTCCACCCAAGGCTCCCTGTGGAGGAAAGGGGGGAGGGGAGACTGATTCTCCCGTCCCCCAGCAGCCCCCAGCACCACCTCCCATGCTGTTTCAGAAGGTCTCCCAATCCTCCACAGCAACTCCTTCAGGGCCACAGGAGGAAGGAGGAATCAGCAAAAATAACCCTCCGCACACAACCCCATTTCCTCCAGCATGGCATCACAAGAGCACAACTCTACTCTGGATCCAAACCTAGAATTCGAGCCAAAGTACTATTGTTTATAACCTGGATGAGGCTTGAAGCATTGTCTACAGCAGATAAGCTGCAGAGAGATGCCAAACAAATAATAATAAGAGTGTTGTCTGCAGACTTCCCCCTGGTCATTCTAATCCCTCACAGACAGAGTGCACTCTTTGCAGTTGTGTACCTGGGGTCTTTGTTTCATTGGGGATGATGCAGCGGACAAAATGAGGCTGGGTAGCACGCAAATTGGTCATCAGTTTGTTCAGGTTTTCCTATAAGGGAGACATACAGGGTTAAGTCACTTCACAGGCTCCCCCAAGTCCATGTCTGAGCAAAAGTCAAGGAGCTCCTTTTAACCTTTAAAGCTCTCTGCAGCTTAGGATGCAGATATCTGAAGGGTATCTCCTCTCACAGAAGTCTGTCCCATGATGATGATCTGTGTTTGAGGCCTGACTTTGGGTATCCCCGTCACCCAAAGCTGGCAGCTGCTTTTAGGGGCCTCAGGCACAGATTATTATTTCCTGCCCAAACCTGCTCCCTTATATCCCTTTATCTGGAGATTCTGGGAAGTGATTCTGGGACACTATGTGTACAAAGCATGTAGCCTGCTACTGAGCAGCAATTAAAATCCATGCACAGGTTAAGTGGTGGGCCTGGGGAAGGTTCAACTCCCCTCTAAGGGGCTCTGAAAATTGGGCCGCTCCCTCTCCCTCCTGACCACAGCCCTCTATCCCCCCACCACCACAGCACTCCCACTTTTTATGTGAATGGGGCAGGTCTGCTTTAAGCAAACAGAACTGGCACATTTAGTTTGGCCATCCAATCTATTAAAAAAAACAACCACCAATGCTGCTAAATAACATGTTGCTGCTTCTGTATTCTCCACATGCCCAGTTTACCTTGCAATCTAAAACCATTCCTAACCCTCTTTGCTTTTAACCTTGTGGTTTCTGGATCATTCACTTGCGAAGCACTGTCTCTCAGTCAGATGGATGCTGCTCTGCTAAGTGGCTCAGTGTGTGGAGTGTCCAGCTAACTCCCTCTCCCAACACGGGAAAGGCCAAGGGCCTGTTGCTCCGACCCTTGTAAGATCCACATTTCTTTTCTTCTTCCCAAGGGTTCTCCTTCCCGCAGTCAAGAGTGAGGAGGAGAGAAGTAGCACAGACTTAAAGTGATGTTCATGTAATAAATTATCTAAACATCACTGCAAGTCTTAACTGCCTCTCCCTCAGCAACGGAGAAGCAGACAGGAACCATGTAGCGCAGACATCACAGGGGGGGAAATAAGCATTACTCTACTACAAATGGAAGGGACGCGGGTGGCGCTGTGGGTTAAACCACAGAGCCTAGGACTTGCCGATCAGAAGGTCGGCGGTTCAAATCCTCGCTACAGGGTGAGTTCCCGTTTGGTCCCGGCTCCTGCCAACCTAGCAGTTCGAAAGCACCTCAAAGTGCAAGTAGATAAATAGGTACCGCTCCGGTGGGAAGGTAAACAGTGTTTCCGTGTGCTGCTCAGTTCGCCAGAAGCGGCCTAGTCATGCTGGCCACATGACCCGTAAGCTGTACGCCAGCTCCCTCAGCCAATAAAGCGAGATGAGCGCCGCAACCCCAGAGTCGGCCACGACTGGACCTAATGGTCAGGGGTCCCTTTACCTTTACCTTTACCTTTACTACAAATGGAACCTGACTCCTCCGCATTCTAGCATTATTCCTATTCAAATGCTGATACGATGATCACCAAGAGCTGGCAATACAGGGATAGTTACAGCTGTTCTTCCTGAGCAATAATGTTCTCAAAAGGGGAGAGCGCTCTGGGCCAACTGAGGGAAGAATAGCCAAGCCCCAAAAGTCCTTAGTGTCTGCCTGGTGTTCCAAGACTTCACGTTCAGGTTATTGCCTGGAAGAAGTGTCGTGCGTATACACAGAGAGAGGCAAGTGAAATTCTAGCCAGCAGTTCTGCTTACCATGGGGAGTGGGCAGACACTTACCTTATGCAGCTGGGACACAGTTTGGAACGAAGCTGCCTTCTTGCGCTTCTCTTTGCCACCTGTCCTGGTTGCATCATCTGCCCAACAAAATGTCAGTTTATTGCCTTAATGGTGTTCATTTGGTTCAGGTCCTTGGTTGGTTCCCAAGAGCTGCGAGACCAACCCTATCGCTCAAGTTATAGGACAATTAATTCTCCAGCTCTATTGAATACCCAGGCCCAGAGAATGGTCTGAACTCTACACGTCTCTGAAGCTATGCAGGGGTCAGCCTGGGCACTTTCTGGCTTTTCAGATAACCTTACAAATTCTGTATTTAGTGCTTTGTTTGGCACAGATGGGAATGCCGCTCACCTGAAGAAGAGGACACATAGTTTTCATATAAAGTAGCCAGCAGCTTATTTTGTGATTTTTGGAAGATGGTTACCACTGTCTCATTCAATGGGTCTTTGTTCTTGTCTAGCCAGCCAACAATGTTATAGGGCACCTGCCAAAGAGCAAAACCAGCTGTAACAGAGGCAGAAAACAGAAAAGCAACACTAAAAACCCAGTATATGGGAGCCGGGAAACAAAGACATACCACTCCAGCATAGTGCACCAGTTCAAAGTGGGCTTCATATTTGCGCTTCTTATCTGGCCGTGGCTTTTGGAAGTTGGGTGATTTCCCAATGTGGTTGTCATACAGTTTGGCCTTGAATGACATATCAGAGGCTTTGGGGAACATGCATTCTTCCTCCAAAATGGAGAGGATTCCCATTGGCTGCAAGGAAAGGATAATGATCAACAAACTGGAGGCAAGTTCACTTGGTGTTAATTTTAGTCCTATGTGAGAGGAGGATAGTCTAAGCAATAACCACTTCCATGTGATGAATGTTACAAAAAGGCTTCTAAAGTTAGCATGCAAAGTATAAGAAAAACCATATTCAATCCATTCATAGAGTGGGGATGGGAAAAAGTGCTTCCAGGAAGTGGAAAAGTCACCACAAAATAATGCTTCCCCTCAAAATTGCTATACTGTTCGTGTGAAAGCAAGCTTGTGCAGTAGGATGGCAAACAACTATGCCATGGGGCAAATGCTTTTGTTCTACCATGTTGGTAAAGTGATTTTAATTTTTCAGGCCACTGTATTACCGTATGTGCACATTGAATAGTGATTTGATCACACTTTCTTTCAGCTCAAAATGGTTGCTTGCCCCTGTCCTAGTTCTAAAGGTGTTCTATTTACCATGTTTTCAGTAGAAGAATGCAGCACCCTGGAGCTGTAGAACATAATTTTATGAGGATGGTTCCTTTTTGCCTCATGAAAAAAGCAGTATAAACATTATTTCCAACCTAATTTTACTTTATGTTGTTCTTCCCAAAGAGAACTGGGGAACAAGGAGCCATGAGAAGTTTTCAGAAGCTGAAATAAGTCAGTTGCCAGTGGGAGTTAAATGTTTAAATTGTTCCTTTGCTACTGGAAATCACTTTTTAAATTCACATTGTAGCTTGCAAGTAAGTGTCTCTTACAGTGAGGCCAATTTCAGCAAGCCGGAACCACTAGCCAGAATGAATGGAACCAGGTTTCAGTCAAAAGTATGTAAAAACCTTGTTACAACAGAAAGGAAATTAATTTTTACTTTGCTCTGTTGTGAAAGTATTGGCCTGCCAGACTCATCTGGCAAATTGGCTAGAAACAAGAGGACGTTAGAACCGATGTAGCCACATTTCCATTATCACTCAACCTTTTCAATGACATATATAAAGCCGGCCATATTAGTTGTACAATCATGCCTCAATCTTACCTTTTCAATCAGGTCAATACAAGCCTGCAGGTCCAGGCCAAAGTCAATGAAGACCCACTCAATTCCTTCCTTCTTGTATTCTTCTTGTTCCAGGACAAACATGTGATGGTTGAAAAACTGTTGCAGCTTCTCATTGGTGAAGTTGATGCATAGCTGTTCAAAGCTGTTAAACTGCAGGCAGAAAGTGAACGCCTAAGAGCTTGGAGACTTCACTGCCCAACTCAAGATACTCCACTACCAGTAGCCTCGGAAGAGTAAAAACCACCCATCACTTCCCAGCTGTTGATCAGATCTGGTGACAATTGGCCAGCATGTTTGTACCCCACACATAAATTCCTGGTTGAACAGGAATGCCATAGTTAACTGAATGAAAATGGCTACGCACCACAACCAGGTTACCTGGAGCTCCAAGCAGCCAAGTGTATTGAAACCCTAGGTATGATCTCTAATGCAGAATTCTCAACAACCTCACCAAACTGGATCCAATTCTATAGCTCAGATGAGTTCTGAATTTTCATGATATCTCTTTCAGCCTGCCAGCAACTTTCTTTGGGCAAGGAAGTCAGCAGCAGTTTGGCATGTGTATTTCATTCTTAGCAACACTTCCCCTCCATTACACAGTGCAAAATGTGGGCTAGTTTTCAAACCCACCTCAAAGATCTCAAATCCGGCAATGTCCAGAACTCCGATGAAGAACTGCCTGGCTAGCTTAGTGTCCAAAGTTTTGTTGATACGAAAAACCAGCCACTTGAACATGCGATCATAGGTAGCTTTGGCTAAGGCTCCCACTGCATACACAACCTGCAAATAATTATGTAACGATAATTGGTCAGAATTTATATTTGTTCGTTTCTGATGGTGTTACATAGCAATAATGATGATAACAACAACAACGGCGATGATGATAGTAATAATAATTTTATTATTTATATGCCACCCAGCTGACTGTGCTTGGCGACACGGTCAAGCACAGAAAAGGGAGGGAGGCTATTTATAAAATAGAATCAGTATGTTTCAGCTGACACTGATGAAATAGTTTCTGGATAACTAAAGACACAATCCTGTGCATATGCACACTGAACTCAGTTGGGCTTTATTCTGAGGAAACATGCCAAGAATCAGGCTGCATGTGTCACTGCTGCTATTTGATAACTTAAGCACAGGCAATTTAAGTGACCACCACTCTTTTGCTTGAAATATATATTTTCCACAAGTGACACGTCTTAACACAGAGATTAAGATGCACAACCTTTCTCCCAGGTGCATCGCTAAGAGGTCCTATGGGAAACTGGAGGCAGGGAGGCATAAGGCCAAGCCGTACAGTCCAAGAAGCTCACCTGCTCCACATTCTGGCCTTTGGTCACATATTCATTTCCAACTTTCACCCTAGGGTGGAGCAGTCCCTTGATCAGGTCACTTGAGCTTATTCCCATGAGGTAAGATGCTTTATCGGCACCTGCAGTTCAATAAAAAATCATAAATAAGAAAGTGGTCTTGATGAGAAATAAATGTGGGTTCCTGTAATTTAGAACACCTTGATTAAGAGCCATCACCCAGCAGGAACTGCTTATAGTTCAAGCCAATTAAAGGCAGACCAATTTGGGCTCCAGCAGGTAGTAATAATAAGATCAGAGATTTATAAATCCTAACACATGTGCATTCTGGTCTATAAAAGCTGATGATGCCACAATAAATTTGTATGACTGCTCCCAGACTGGCATTATACCGGTGGGGTTCAATTGCCTACTGGCAGGTTCAGGTTGTGCCACTGAAGTGGATTATACCACTCTTGTACACCGCCCCCCAAAAATGGATTGTTTGCTGTAAGGAAAGGGACAGGAAAATGCACTGGAAAGTGTGGGGTAACAATTACTTGCCCATGACATAGTTTAAGCTTCCTGCAAGCAAATAAGAAAGACTGCTTATAAACAGTGGATTTTGTAGAACTCCCCAGAAACTTTGTACAGACAAATAAGGATGAATTCTCAAAGAAACAGGTTGTCTGGAAGCGACCTTAGTCATTTCAGAAGGGCTGAGGGAGCTAACAGCAAGGTGTTGTCCAATGAGCACCTATGCAATTGTGCCCTCCCCACACCCGGTTCATGAGGACCCTGGAGAAGCTTATCTTGGTAGCTCCAGAGAACAGCCATTCCCACATTCACAAATTCTCCCAAAGCTGAGTTGACAAAAAGCTAAGTAATGGCCGCTGAGAGAAAGTAAGAGGGTTTAAAAGGGGGGAGGGCAGGATAGACATCAGCAGTGGGTCCCAAATGCCACTGGGCTTGGCAGCTGCTTGAGCTAATCAGGTGCTTTTGCTGGCTCTGCTTCCAAGTACCACCAGACTGCTAGTTTTGCTGCAACAGACTGATCTGGCGGCCACAATGCGTTTTGTAGGCAGCAATGTAGGCAAACTCCCTTACTTTCAGTGCCTTCAGCCTCTGCCTGTTCTTCACGTTGTTTCTGCTTGAATTTCATGTTGCCAAAGTGCATGATGGCTCCTACTATCTTATAGCAGCCATATTTCTCCTCGTTGCTGAAGCCCAGGATATCCATAGCATGCTGCGGAAGGAATCAGACAAGGTGTGGTCACGCCGCCGCCATCATTCCATTAACAAACAGAAAAGGACGAATTCAGGATGTACTGGCCTCAATCCAGAAGGACTGCTGCACCCTTCTGGTGATGCAAATGCTAAGCAAATGACAAATGCACTGTACTGGCTTGTCTAGCTGGCATTTCTTTCACGCTGCTAAAATATACCTCATTAAACTTAAGTAATAACTCTCAACAGCCCATATATGTAGTTTTTTTGCTATTTTGCATTTTCTGTGCATCTGAGTTGAGTTCATAGTGTTTTCCATGGTGCACCCTTCAGACCCCTGCCATAAAATTTTCTAGCATGCAGATAATCTAAAACAGACACATCTAGAAGCCCATTAACTTTTTGTTAGGAGGCTGGTTGGCAGAACCATTGTGGAGAGGGTAGAAGAGGGTGAGGAGAGAAGGGTGTGGCAGAGAGAGAGAGAGAGAGAGAGAGAGAGAGAGATCCCACAGAGAGTGCTATGAGCCAGACTGAGAATCTTGGGAAGACGCAGGCTCCCCACCCCTTAAATAAGAAAAGGATGCATGAGTCACATCAAAACCAGTGCCATTTGAAATGGCTAGCTATGTAGCAACAAATGGGAACAGTAGTTTGTTAAGGGTGCTGGGAATTCTAGTTCAGTTGGGGGGTAAAGTACAGTTTCCAGGATTCTTTGTGGAAAACAACTGTGCTTATTATATTCATTTTCTCCCCCCCCCCTTAAAAAATAATGGGTCTCGGAAGCAATTCATGAGGCTAGACTGTGTCCATGCGTCACAAAGAGACTTTGACACCCCCAGTTGATTTCACAGTGGATTAACACATACATCTGTAGCCAAGAGTTCCTCTCCATCGTCCAGGTTGTCTACAGTTGTTACACCTTGTGAGCAGAAATGGTAGTCATAGGGGTTGGAAGACAGCAGCAGCATATCTGGGGGGGAAACAGACAGAAGATGCGTTCTTTGTTTCACAGCATATTGTGGGTACATACATGCCCAATTTGAACTATGAATCAAGTGGCTATGAATCAAGGATCAGCTTGGAAGTTTCAGCCTCAGAGGCCACATAGTCTCCATTACGCGGCTATCAGAAAGGCATGTGCATTGTATAGTTGCATCTCCCGCCAGCTATCTTAGGAACACCCTTGGGCCGCTGACTGATTTAGAAGTGGTCAGCCTTGGCCTTGTGAGCACCAGATAAGATTACTGCTCAGTAGAGCTCTCCAGACCTGCCTAATAAGGTATTGTTTGTCACCGAGCAGCAAGAGCAGCAGGCCGTAGCCCAGATTCCTTACTGCCATGACAGGACACTATGCTAAAAATCCCTGTCCGGTCGGAAAAGGGTTTCGCCTACATTTCCTATTTCACAGCATCGGGTTCCATACTGGAAAGATGCCTTGAGTGCAGATCATAGCATGACTGGGAGGGATCATTATTGGACAAGCTTGCCATCCTCTCAGAGAGAGGTCCTACATGAATATGTCTGAAGGATCTCCCTGCTCACAGTGCTCTTATTTGTGTGAGGTTTGTAGGAGCAAACAGGGAGAGAAAGATTGAAAGGGAGCAAGTGCAAACCTCTGTGATCCAGTTCTGGTCAAGCACAGTTCCATCAATATGTGGACAGGGATGCCCATCAAAATGGGCATCCTGTTGACAGTAATGACATGCCGATGAATGGCATTTACGTAAATGACAACTGTATTCAAATACACATCTGAATAATCCCCTGTAGGTTCTGATCCAGAGGGTGATACATGTGTGTGAGTCTGCCCACACACATATCTATGTTTCTATGATCTATCACTTGATCTGGCTCAGAGGTACAGCTTTTGAATCAATTACGTTAAACATCCGACTGATATGCAATGAAACTAACTTCCGGTGTGCTCAGAATCATGGACCCAAGAACAAAAGGTGCTTAGGACTAAACAGAATTTTGAGCAAATTCAAAAAAAAATGATAAAATGTTCAAAATTCGAATTGTACTTTCAAATATGCTCAATTTTCACTTTTTAAATTGAAATTTGACGGCTACTTAAAACATTCTTAAAACTTAATTCCCGTTTGTAACTTGCCAAATTCAATATTCTATATCCAACTGTGATAGTCAATAGGCAGGTTGCCTTGAGGTCCTTGGAGGGAAGGCAAGTTATAAACATATTTACATAAATAAGTCTCGGAAACAAGGTTCACTTTAAGTGCACTGATAAGCACAAGCCTTTTCAAAGCACCGGTGCCAATGTCACAAATATTGGGTTAGCCTAAATTTCAAAAGCACTGAGCAGATATAAGGTGTGTTGACATTGGTGGCATCTAGGAGTGTTCAGCAGGAAGGATGGACAAATTTGTCAGGGTCAGTTTCTTATGTTTCCAGTTTTTCCCCCAGTCTGAGATTTTTTTAAAAGAAGATCCTCATGAAAATTCATCAGCATTTTCGTGCAAATTTCTCCTAATATACACATTTTTGTATGATTTTTGCATAACATACACATTTTCGCAAAGCAGTTTCCCCTAATATAATGCACTTTTGTATGTTATTTTTCCCTACTATTTGCATTTTGTGATACATTTCTTGGCTTGCACAATTCAGAGAAGTGTGAATTTCAAAGGATAGCTGTGTTTTGGGCCATGCATTGTTTTGAAAAGTGCACATTTGTTTTTAAATGTGAATGGAATTGAATTTATTCCTCATCCCTACTCAGTAGGGATATCATACTGAGCACAGCTCTTTTGTGATCATCTGCATTGTGCTTTCCAAACTTTATTGTCAAATTTCTTTGTATATTATTTTAGTGCCTCTCACCTTGGAGTTCTGGCTTCTTTCCAGAAAGGATTTGATAGTAGATGTGGTAGCTCCTCTCTCCTGGCTGCTGGAAAATCACTCTCGATTTTTCCAACAAATCTAGAAACAACAGGTAAGAAATCAGATTGCGGGGCTACTACTTCAAGGGTTTATCAAACTGCTCAAGTTAAAAACAACATGGGATGTCATGTGACATCAGCCATTTACTCACAGATGTCAATGTCAGCGGAAGCCAGCTTCCCTGAAGGACCAAAATGGATGCGAATGAACTTGCCCTGTTTTGATATGAAGGAAAGTGGAAAATGAATAGAAGTACTCACTATGACCTGCAGGCTCTTAAAGGGGAAACCTGCTGTATTCAAAGTAAGATAATTTGTGCATCTAGGCCAGTATTGTCTGCTCTGACAGACAACAGCCAGGTAGAGGAATAAAGTGCCGTCTGATTATAGCCTCTGAAGTTGCTATTCAAGGGGAACTCCTACTGGCACCAATGGAGCTGCCCCTTGGCATGCAAATAGAAGCTTCAGATTTTTGTTGGGGTTGTGACAGGTAAGGAAGAAGTTAAACTTCCCATCCCCACCTGTCTTCACACAGCCCCAAGGCTCCTCATGCTTTCCCATACTTGCTATTTCCATAACATAAATGTGCAGCTTTAATTGCATTCACATTTTAATCATATTGTGTTTGGTCATAACTCCCCTTCCTCAGAGGCTGATTTCTCTGTTCCAAATATCAAAACGTCACTATAATTTGCTAAGCTAATGAATAAGAGAATTTATAGATATGGAAATAGTTTGTTTCATACGCTTCATTATGTCATAAATATTTCTACAGTGGTACCTCGAGTTACATACGCTTCAGGTTACATACACTTCAGGTTACAGACTCCGCTAACCCAGAATAGTGCTTCAGATTAAGAACAGAAATCATGCTCCTGTGGCGCGGCAGCAGTGGGAGGCCCCATTAGCTAAAGTGGTGCTTCAGGTTAAGAACAGTTTCACGTTAAGAACGGACCTCCAGAACAAATTAAGTACTTAACCTGAGGTACCACTGTATAGGCTTACCCAAAAAAACCACATATGCATACCATACTGCCTGTATAAATGCTCTGTACTGTACTTTTGTTTTTTAAAAAATACTTACAAATCGTGAGGAATTGTCATTTCTCAGGGTTTTGGCGTTGCCAAAGGATTCCATAGCAGGGTTAGCCTCAATGATTTGATCTTCAAGGGTACCCTAGGTCACATAAACATAGAATAGTTCAAATACCCAGTGTTGCAAGCCAGATTTATCTGAATACTGATGAGAGCAAGATGAGGAACACAGCGTAGAGGATGCCATTACTTTCTTAAACTTTGACCAATATCAGCAGTTGCCTCCTGAATCACTGGCATGTGGCGTTTGGAAGGCTGCCCAGAAAAGAAAGCAGTCCTCAGGCTGAGAAAGGTTCTCTAACCCTCAATCAAGGGTAGCCTCCAAATGTTGTCGAAGTACAAACCCCATCATCCTTGACCACTGGCCAGACTGGCTGGAGCTCAGGGGAGCTGCACTCCAAAAACATCTCTAGGGCAGTATGTTGGCTACCCATATCTAGAAGAGTCCACTCATATTTTGGAGGCAGCTTGAGCCACATACATTCTGGAATCTGGAACACTGTGTTTGAGAGATGTTCTGAGACTACATATAAGCAATGAAATGAGAGAGAACAATGCTTCTTACTGGAGAAGGGAGAGAGAACATACAAAGGAAGTATCAGGGTTCTTCCAGACGGGTGTTTATTGTGGGATCAGCACTCCGCAAGTATGAAGGTTGTTTTTATTTTTTTTACAGTGTCCACATGACGCCATTGTCATCAAAATACCAGCTCATATCTCCCTGCCTTCCCTTTAATCTGGATTTGCCCTTTCCAGAGAAAATCCAATATTATTTAAACAAAAACAAAAAAGCAGCAACAACTGATGCCAAAGACCCATGTGCAACATCCCAGTTTACAGTATTATGCCTCCATCTGGAAGCACCCTCAGGCTACTTATGAAGGTGTCAGTATGTCAGAAATGAACAGATGGACATAGGAGCCTGAACCACAAACGTGGGGTGTAAATTCAGTCTTGGATAGTTAATCTGGGCCATTAATACAAAAGTGACAGAGGATTTGTTTGCTTCTAATTATGCTTCTTGTGTTGGCTTGGAATGCAACACCATTGAAATGATGTGTTCTGAAAAATGGAGATTTACATTTTATATTACCACCTCTCATTCAAAAGGAAAGGAAAGACGCCTCTTCTTTTTCATGCCTTTAAAGCTTAAAAGATGAAGGGAAACTTAGAAAGCACTAAGTATGCAATCCTATACCCATTTTCCTGGGAGTAAGATCCACTACTCACTGTTAAGTAAGGTTGCCATACGTCCAGAATTTCCTGGATATATCCGGAATACTACAGCCACAAGCAGTGTCTGGGTGAAAATTGGCGAAAGGTCCGCGAGAATCCAGACGTATGACAGCCCGTGTCGGCAGTGTTATTTTCCCTCAAAAATAACTCAAAAACGTCCAGATTTTCACTTTTTGAAATACGGCAACTCTACTGTAAAGACCATGCTCATGGAAGACAATCTAACTTGGCTACAAATGATTGCCAAAGAAGTTGGTTAAGCTTAGATCCATTGAAACAATCAGGCCTCTGTTAGCTCCATTAATTTCAGTGGGTCTACTCTCAGTAAAACTTAGTTGACTACCACCCCACAGTACTGAATTATCGGAGAGGAGCAAAAGAACTAGAATAAAATGAACAACTTCTAAATATCTAAACAACTATTGAAATACACACACATTTTACTGTTTAGCAGATTAAAGGCAAAGAATGAAGAGTTGTTGCTTTTCTACAGATTTTTGGAAACACCCTATAATATTCCTTTAGTGAGATGCTTTGTATGTTAACAAAGTCCTATATTATATAGGATATATTTCTGGACACTAGAATGAAGCCAGAAATGCTGATTCACGCAATCACTCTGCTTGTAGTGGTCAGCTAAAATTGCCACATGTATCAGCTCTGCATCTGGTGCCAAGTGGTCACATGCAGCCACCGTAGGCACTTTTGGATGATCTGCTTACTGAACATGCATCCTGATTTGTTTGCAGGGAGGTTAGATTATGTTGGGCCAAGGCAAATGTTACCTTACACGAAACTGATCTTTTGGAGAAGCTGGTTTGTTGTGCGAGACCTCCCAATCAACTATAATAAAAGTCTAGAAATACTGTCCCCTTCATGGATCACTGCCTTGTCATGGCGAAGGGACTTGAATAACTCCAGGAAGTTATGAGCTGTGATGTGCAGGGCCACCCAAGACGGACAGGTCATAGCCGAGAGTTTAGACTAAATGTGATGCACCTGGAGAAGGAACTGGCAAACCACTCCAGTATTTTGCCAAGAAAACTCCATGGACATAAAAAAGGAGAAGCTTTGAGGAGAAAGTGAGAGTTTCCAAGGCATGCTCTGGTTCATGGGGTCACGGAGAGTCGAATATGATTAAGATGACTAAACAACAGAAAGAAATACTGTGCCATGCACAAGACCAAAGCTTTCAAATGCTCAAATGGTCCAAAATGGAAGTCAGTGCACAAAACGTTTGATCATATGCACAGCTTCTGCTTCATATGGCCAACTAGCCACAGGCAAGGAGCAGGCACAGACTGGAAAGAGCTGCCATGAATATGATGATCATGTTGCCTGCTCCTCAGGTACCATTTTCTTGGAACTAATAAGGTATTATTTCATCTCTCTGCCTTTGAACATAAAGTCAGTTATTTCTTTTAAATACTTACCCCAGTTTTAGTGGCAGGAGCTTGCTATAACAAAAGATAAGAAAATAGCATTACAGTTCCAGAAATATAAAACCAGTTTCACAGAAAGTTCTATCCAAAGAGGAGGACATTTCAGATTTGTCCAGAAGAATGTTAAAAAAGCTTAACTGTTTAAATTTTAAAAACCCAACTTTTTATTATTCAAAAAACCCACTAAAATATGTTAAATAGATTAGATCAAGATCAAGAACAGCATCAAGAAGCAAGAGGGTTAAAATCAAAATCCAGGGAAGGAAAACAATGCTGGTGAATTTCTTTTGGCGTAACCCAAGTCCAAAAATAATCAAGAAGTAAGAAGGGTATTTTTAAAAAGAAAAGGAAAAGGAAAAAAGGAGTGTGAGAAGAAGAAGAAAGAGAGTCAGAAAACATACAAGATGAAAAAGAATCAAAGGGAACAGTATAGATAACGGAGGGAGGGGATCACAAAAAGCAAGGCTTAAAAGAAAGAGTTACAAGAATGCCTTGGGGAATTTCCCCCATTTTCAGAAAAGAAAAACTGTGGAGTGGAGGAAAAAGCCAGTGACTTAAAAATTCCGTAAAGCAGCCACTGCTTGGGGTTTTTAGCAGCACCCACTTTATGAAACCTTTTCCCTCAAAGCAATTTTTTCAAGCCTTGCTTGTTTCAAAGTAAAAGAAAAAGTCACGTCCACCACGCACGCTGCCAAACACAAAAGAAGACCAAAACAAAACAAAACAAAAATGAACAAAAGAAAACAGCCAAAAAGAAAAAGGGGAAAAAAAGGTTTTCAAATGAGGGCCTTACTCCTTTCTTGCCCGGAGAGTCACCCAGGGCTGCGACAATGGCAAAGTACTGAATAACCCGCTTGGTGTTTACAGTCTTACCAGCACCAGATTCTCCGCTTAGAGTAATAGAAATACACAGATCAAGAACACGAAGCAACCACTGTCAAAGGTTATTTCACAGGCACACAGAAACAGCCAACCAAAATCCCACCCAGCCAGAAATATACAGCAGAGTTGGGGGGCATGTGGGGAGGGTTGTTTAGGGTTGTTTATTTGGGTATGGTGGCATCTGGCATGCAGGGGGCATTTGAATGAGAGTTGTCCAGGGTAGAAGAAGTTCCCCCCAAAAAGCAAAGGTGATGTGACATGGGGGAAAGCTGTCCTGACATTGCTTCCGAAATGGTGTGGGAAACTGATGTTCCTGCTGGGTTGAAAACGTGTCCCCACCTGCAGGCTGAAAGACCTATATCAGATTTGGCACACATGGGTTCCTTGTGCTGCAAGGGCTGCCTTTGAGGGAGCAGCGAACATGTAGTTCAAGCATAAGGAAACCTGTGGCCTCATTGGCCTACAACTCCCTTCATTCCTGACCATCAGTAATGCTGGCCGATTATGATGCCAGTGGAAGAATCACAGGTTCAACCCCTTGCCCTGATGTAAATGCACCTACATTTTGCTCCTAGAGCAACGGCAAATTATTATTATTATTATTATTATTATTAATTATTTGTACCCCACCCATCTGGCTGGGTTTCCCCAGCTACTCTGGGCGGCTTCCAACAAAGATGAAAAATACATCAAAATGTCACCCATTAAAAACTTCCCTAAACAGGGCTGCAAAGAGTGCAGATTCTTAGTGTATATCTTGTAAGAGCTTTTACAAGGCACATTTTAAATGGAAAAGGAAACAAGGCAGCTGAACTTGTTTTTCCAATGGGCCATTTTACTATGGGCAAAAATGAACTGGCTACAGGTGGTTAATAAACTTCCACTTTTATCTCAAGCAGAAAATGCACTTCTCACGAAGTTACTGGAAAGGAGGAGGAAATAGATTTTCCTTTCTTTTCGATACAAATCCAGAGAAAATTTAGTTCATCCGTGGAATAGAGGCAGGGCCTCCAAGTATTCCTGGCCCAAGTCCAGCAGGCTGGCTCCAGGGTCCAGGCTTCTTTATCACATCAGCAGGCTAGTATCTCCCTCCCTCCTGCCCCTTTCTCTGCAAAGCCCTCTGGCACTGGCCTGGCATTGATTTCATGCCTATAGTTAGCTGTTCTTCCATTGTAATCCCAGCACACAAAGAGACATGCTCGGCAGTGGGGGGAGCGAGGCCTCTGTAGGACAAAAGCCAAACATTGCACGCTATCAACCCCTGCTTTACCTAATTAGGCCATGGCCAAAGCTTCAAGCGTCAGGGGCTTCTGGCACTAGACTAGGCTTTATATAGCCTCCTCAACATGGCTGTTTCGGTTATCATGTCTTCCTCCTTCTCGCTCCTCTACAATTGGGCCTCAGCCACCCCAACATTCCTCCGCAGCTGTGAGGTAGCCATTTCCTATCCTCCCCTTATCCTATCAGCTGCCTCTTTCTCTACCCCTACTTAGCTAAACCTTGTCTCCTTCCTTCAAGTCATTATCCTTCATAGGGCAACCACACCATGTTTCTAGTCTCTCTTTTAATCCCACCACCCCACTAGGGATGGAAGGATCTGTCAATTTTTTTGTCCTAGTTTCTCATTTTTCCAATCTTAAAATCAGTTCTCCACATTTTGCAGCAATTTGTGATTTATTTATTTTTAAATCCTCATGAAAATCCACCAGCATTTTAGTGCAAATGTACCCCAATAAACACATTTCTGGATGCAGTTTTGACTAATGTGCACATTTTTTGAAGCAATTTTCCCTAGTAAAATGCATTTTTTGTTCTTTTTCACATCCATTTTTGCACACTTTGCATATGTATGTATGTATGTATGTATGTATGTGTGCGGGAGAGAATTTCAAAGCATAGCCATGTTTCAGTTTGCATATTGTTTTGGAAAGTGTGGATTTGAGAGATTTAGCTTCAAATGAGAACCTGAATACAATTTCCCCCCCATCCTTATCCACACATATGCATTGCTCCCCAATTTCTTTGGAGGTTGACTCCATGAGTTCTATGAGTTAAAAGTGAAACGGTGAAAATGATATGTGTCACTCTAAGAGAGCAATATTTTGCTTGTGATCAGGTGGCCTGCACACCCTGTGACCATCCAAGCTGAATACAGCCCACCAGCCACATCAGGCAATGGAAGAAACCCATGTTTTCTTACTGTCTGATAGCAGCCACAATACCAGGTTATAGCAATGAAAACTAGGCAGGGTGACTATACATTATCTGAATACCCATTGCTGGGGAACATGAGGAGGAGAATACTATTGCACCAATGTCCTTGTGAGATTCCCAGAGGCATCCGAATGGCCACATGGGGAAACATGATGGCTGGCTTTCCAGAAGGGCTCATCTTATGTTCCAATATGACGTTCTTAGGGGAACTGTTACGGAACACCTGGCAAGATGCAACACGTGATTGCTGAACAGTGTCATGTTCATGGGTCATGAGTTGTGCAGGCTTGTTTTAGTTTCACTCTGCCATCTTGGGATATTTGCTATGGAAATGGATTGGTTGAACAGGACCTACCCCACCGCCCACCCCAGTTTTGTGCCCTAGTAATAACTAGACACATTCAAAGAAGCAGACAGGAAATACAAATAAACAACATATGAGCAGCCACACAATGAGAGGAATTTTCTGCCCTACTTTTTGTTGGCAGTGCACTCCTGGAAGGGCTATAGCAGCTGTTAGCTGACATGCAAGAGCCAGAAATTCTGCCATGTGTGTGTGCTTGTGCTTAGGCAACAAACTGAAGGGAGTGTAAAGATCCTACAGCGCAGCCAAACCATTTGGCTTTCTCAAACAGGGAGACAGGGGCGTTTCCTCTGCCTGCAGTTTCTTTTCATGCATAACCAATATTGTGAGACCAGGAAAGGATATCAGACCTTGCATCTTAAAGGCACTCCCAGATGACCTGTTTATTTACATTCGTCCTCATTTCTTTGCAGGGAGATTAAACGATGCTGGCTACTTAATTCACTCTGAATTGTTTGCAGGGAGGATAGATGATGTTGCCTCAAAGGAAGGGTTATCCTACCCTTTCCACTGCATCCTGTCACTTTCTTTATAGCAAAAGGCCACAGCCTTTGTGGTTGCACAAGAGCTCACAGTCAACTATAATTGGACAACTTGTATTTGCCGGTATGTGATTGAATCCCACCGCAAAATAGTTTGGAAGTGCCCTAGCTTGCAGGCAATACAAAACAGAAAATGGACTTATAAAGACAGAACTTACGTGATGAGCATAGACTGGTTCTCACGATCTGGAAGACAAGAAGCAGGACTGTTAGACTCAAACAGTTACTTTCAGGCTCTGCCACTGGTTCTTCATACAGTGGTACCTTGGGTTACATACGCTTCAGGTTACATATGCTTCAGGTTACATACGCTTCAGGTTACAGACTCCGCTAACCCAGAAATAGTGCTTCAGGTTAAGAAGTTTGCTTCAGGATGAGAACAGAAATCGTGCTCTGGCAGCACGGCAACAGTGGAAGGCCCCATTAGCTAAAGTGGTGCTTCAGGTTAAGAACAGTTTCAGGTTAAGAACAGACCTCCGAAACAAATTAAGTACTTAACCCGAGGTACCACTGTATTTGCTTCCAGACAGGCAGCTCCTAGCACAATCTGATCACTGCTTTGCTTTTTCAGTGTTAAGCTATATGAAAAATTGCTGTTGACTGTCAACACTGTCCATAACATCATAGTTTTTGTGTGTGCACATTCCACTAAGGCCACATGCACACCATACATTTAAAGCACTATGGTACCACATTTAAACAGTCATGAATTCCCTCCAAAGAATTCTGGGAGCTGTAGTTTGTTCAGTATGCTAAAAGTCATTAGCATCCCTACTATATCCCCTACTGTTATCCCCTACTATAGAGCCACAATTCCTAGTTAGCTGAGAAGAGAAATTGATGGTTAAACCATTCTTGAGGATTATATCTCTGTGAGGGGAACATGGCGTCTTCTTCTTAGCACCAACACTTCTTAGAACCCATAACAAACTACAGCTCCCATAATTCTTTGGAGGAAGCCAATACTGTTTCAAAGTGGTATCATTGTGCTTTAAATGTATGGTGTGAATCTGAACACTTCACCGTCCACTGTAATAAATTTGGCCTTAGTTCCCTCCACTCCAGTAGGCAGATCATGATGGGACTTAACTAGGATTCAACCTGACTATCCCTCCCTACATAGGAAGCCGCTTTATTCTGAGTCACACAATTAGTCCATCTAGCTAAATAGTGTCAACACTGACTAGCAGCAGCTGTCCAGGATTTCAGACGAAATAATTCCCAGCCCTACCTGGAGATGACAGGGATTGAACCAATCACTGTCTGCAGGCAATATCCGCCCTCCTTTCCCCACAGGTGGGCGGGGTTTGTGGCACCAAGCGAGGCTCACCTGGGCGGGTGCCACCCACCTGCCTGAGCTGGCCTTTGACCCGCCCTCGGCCAGGGAGGACAATGGACGGCCGGGCCGGGGGTGGGCCTAAGGCCAAAGAAAAGAGGCTGACTCCTGGGCTCAAGCCTCTTTTGCTGCTCTTCCTTGATGCCCATGCTGCGTAGTGCCACAGTGACCCATGGCCCTCCAAGGGTCTTGATTATACATGCGGGGGAGAACGATCTAGTGGAGCAAAAAGGCATTGCCCTTACCCTTGCTGCAAGGGCAGATCTAAAAAGCCTGCATGCCTTGTACCCATCAATGACCATCGGCTGGTCCAATCTCCTACCCCGTCTTCACTGGAGGGGGGCTTCCAATCCCTCTCGCCTCAATTACACGGTGAGTAAAATTAACAGGGCCATGCGCAACACCATGCGCCAAATTGGTGGGTTCTCTATCCCACATCCCACCATCACATCAAATAGAGTTGACCTATTCCGGGGGGACGGGGTGCACCTGACCCCGCTGGGCAATGACCTCTAGCTCCGCGACTTGCGACAAGCCCTTGGGGACCAGATAGATTGCGGGGTTTAATTGGTCCTCGGTTGTGGGACTTGGCGGTGAGGCCCCTTAGGGCCTCGAGTGGCGGTTTTAGGCCTTGGCAAGGTAGCCTTTAGTCTAACATCAAGTTGGGGGGGATGCATTCATGCTCCCTGCCCATGCGGCGGCGCTTGCAGGGCCCGTTAAAGGGCAAAACCGGGAGTCCCTGGCCCTAGAGTGGTGGCATGTAGGTCAAACTCCCGGGACGAGGTCAGTGGAAGGGCATGCTGTGTAAGTTTGCGCTTTGCAGTCCCCTCCCACTGGGCCTCAACTGCCTGCATATCCTCAGCCAGGCGGGCTGAGAGGGTTACCTGCCAAGGCCTGTGCCAAGTTCCCCACTTCTAAATTCAATAAAGTTGTGGCCAATTTGAACCCATACTCTGGTCTCTTGTGTTATCATTTGGGAAAAGGGGTAGGCACCACAGACAGGGTTTAGCGCGTGTGCCCGCAAAGCAGCTGTTCTGCTACTGAGCTTCAACTCTTTTCTTCCAGTCTAGTTCTTTTTTTACTGAATATGCCTGCAGCTGTAGGTGACTGTACTCAGACTGGTAGCCCCTCCCTGTTTTATCTCAGTGATTCCAGCTGAGAAGGAAATTAGGGCTAGCACTCAGCTGCAACTCAAGTTTATAGCCCTATTTCCATACTTATTCTCCTATACTTGTAAGTACACCGCCCCGCCCCATCCCCAAGCTACTATGATGCCAAACTAGTTTTTGTGGCACTCCCAAGGTCCCCTAAAATTTGACTCTTTAAAAATTTAATTATTATTGTTTTCCAGTGCTCCTGTGGTCTTCAGCTTTGATTCTGTGATGCCAAAAAATGTGACACACACACCCTCCTGCCCCAAAATGTCCCTTTAAAAAAAAGGCCACACACACTTTGGCCACACACACTTTCACATAGGTGTTACCCTCAGTGGGTTGAACACAGGTCAGTTAGCCACCCCTGCCATATAGCAATGCCAAATAAATTCGCAACACATCAAAGAAAACGACCAATATGCAAGGCAGAAGCTCTGCTGATGCAATGGGTTTCCAAGCATACAACAGAACTTCTTCCTCTACCCTCCAGCCTTCTGCATCAGCCCAAGGGAGTTGCGGACCCTCCAAGGCAGATTTTGTGAGAGCACAGGGGAAGGAAACCATACTGGCGCAGCCCTAGAATTCCAGCTTAACCTTCTTACTTATTTGAATTCCATATGCACAGAATTTCTGATGCAGGGGAACATTCAGACATGCCATCGCTCCCACATCTGCATTCTGAAGTGCTACAGTCCCTTTCTGAATGCACTTGCTTAGGAAAAACACCGCAAGATGCATTTTTCTAATCGCCAAAATTTCTGCCTTCTTATCTTCTCTCTCTCCCTCTCCCTCTCTCTCTGTTTCTTACATTAATTCTCACACAGAGAAACAAACAGAAAGCATTTAGAAAATTAAGAGCTTCATTGCCTCTGGGACAAAAGACTGTTTTCCTCTCTGTGAGTTTGGTACGCAAGAGAAGTATGAAGGTGATCAAATAAGAGTTGGGGCAACGCTAGGGATGTTTTAATGCAATGGCTAAGACTATGCTAGCTTTGAACTTCCTTCCCACAACAATGAGACAATGGATAAGATACTTACTACGTAACATGTCATTGTAGGCATTGTCTGCAATGGAATAAATGTGGGGCGGTGCCTCAGACCTCCGCTTGCCCTTATAGGCTGCTACCACAGGAGCAGTATAAACTGGAAGCCATTTATATGGGTTTATGGTGACACAGAACAAGCCTGAATAGGTCTGAGAGGAAAGAAAAAAGTAAAAATACATCACCATTTAGTCCCATTTCGGATGGGACAGAAGATGGCAGCCACCCCACCAACATATTTTGGACTTGTGTGTGATTATTCCTCAGGAACATCTTATTTCTGGCTGTCATGAAGCCTAATATGAAGTAACTACAGTGGTGCCTCGCAAGACGAAATTAATTCGTTCCGCGAGTTTTGTCGTCTTGCGATTTTTTTCGTCTTGCAAAGCACGGTGTCGGGAAAGTTTTGGAAAAGCTTCAAAAATCACCAAAGTCTTTAAAAACCTCAAAAAAAGGCTACCACACCGCGTTCTATGAGTTGCTCCTCGAAGTCAAGTCGCAACTGTATTAACGGTGTTAAGAAAAAGGAAACAAACTTGCAAGACATTGTTTCCGTCTTGCGAAGCAAGCCCATAGGGAAAATCGTCTTGTGAAGCAGCTCAAAAAACAAAAAACCCTTTCGTCTAGCGAGTTTTTCGTCTTGCGAGGCATTCGTCTTGCGAGATACCACTGTATAACAAATGCAGATTAAAAATGCACCCTGTTAAATCTCTTTGCTTGCAACCCTGCTACTGAAACCTGAATTGGAACCTGTGCTTGGGAACAAATATTATTTACTCACTCTTCTGAGTCACGCAGTATCAACACTTGTATGTAGATATTCTCTCACACACATCTCTGGACATTTTCTAAATGAACATCTAATCAAAGGTACCAAACAGCTACTCTCTATGTGTCTAGAACCAAAATTTGGGGAACATTTCTAATATAATGGAAGTTAAAGCGGGGGGTGGGGTGGGATTTTGTGACACAAACCTTGCTATTTGGGATAGCAAAAGGATGTGAATTGGGAGAAATCTGTTTTGGGTCTTTTGACTCAGACATATGACATGGTGCCCTTGTCTTACTTACGTAGATCATCCACTTGGCATAACGCCGTTTCAGGTTATGCAACACAGAGGCCTCATTGAGATGAGTTAACATAGCCATGTCTTCAATCATGTCGAATTTGGGAGGATTCACTTGTTGAATGTCATCCTCCTTTACAACGACAGTCTGCAGGGATTAAACAGAAACATTTTGGTAAAGGGATTTCTTAAGAAATGCTTTCTTTTCTTAACAAGGATGTTGATAGAATCATAGAATCATAGAGTTGGAAGAGACCACAAGGGCCATCGAGTCCAACCCCCTGCCAAGCAGGAAACACCATCAGAGCACTCCTGACAGTGAAGCCGCACAGCCATCGCCGGAGAGCGCTGACTTTTTCCTGTGGACAATTGGATCTAAAACAAGTACCCGTGAGTAGAAACGGAAAATTGGATCAAGAAATATCTTAATTTGACATCGAAGCGGGAAGGTTCAAAACAGGAAGTCCGCCTTCCGCTTTTTGTATATAGACTGAAGCAAAAACCTTGTAAGCTAAAGCCTGGAAAGTCGTTTAAAAAGCCTAAATTTCCTTCATTTACAACTACTGAAACCCCCCTGGAAGCAGGAGAAAAGGGGGGGGGGACTTTGTGTAACGCCTGCAGGAAAGGGAGTGAAGAAAGATAAGTTTCCACCGTCTCTAACCTGGGAACGGGGTGTCAGAGACAGAAATTGTTGGAGAGGTTCATTGACTGTGAATGGAATATTTTGACAGATAGTTAAAGAAGAGAAATAAACTGATTCCAATGTTGCCTTTTGCATTCTAAAGAAACAAAATATCTGAAAAAATGAAAGTAATTTTTCTTTGTTGGACTTGCCTTAAAAAGATGGATACAAATAGAAACTGTTTCCTCTAGAGGGAGCTTGCTAAATTGTTGCTGCAGCCACAGCTGTGAGATTAAGATCGTGGGATTAGTCCTTTTGACCTTGACTAAATATGAGCTGGAAGGAAGTTTTGGTGCTTGCTCTATGCAAGACAAGTGCTTTGTTGGAACAGATGCATGAGAAGATGGATCTGATGAATGAGAAAATGGATTTGATGACTGTTGTGGCCAATAACTGTGTACAATTAGTGAATAGTGATACAGAAATCATCCAGGGTCCAACTCAGGAACCTGTATTGATTGGGCAAGTGCAGAAGACAATGGAGGAGGCTGCGGTTGCACCTCAAATAATACAAATGGAGAGGCCCAAGGCCCCACAGGAGCATAAGCCGTTGTTTTTGAAGATTGAAGTTGGAGTGGGCCAGGGGGAGTCTGGAGCTGAGGAGGCTTTTGACTTTGGAGAGACTTTGAAATATGCTCGCAAATATTTTTTGGATTATATTGATGACTGTGGGGAGTGGGACTGTGGGGAATGGGCTGATTTGATGAAGGGAGACGGAGATAACTTCGGGTTGGAACCCCCCAGAGACCTACTCCTCAACGAGAAAGGAAAGAAATTAAGAAAGAGACCAACAAAAGACAAGGAAAAGTGCAAGTATAAACATGAAGAAGAAGATCTGCAGAAGGGACATGGAAGAGACTTAAGGGCCTCGGACATAAGGCTTCCAGGTTGATGGACTAGATGGAATGGACAGTAAGGACTGACACGACCCGAGACCAGGAAGAAGAGACGTTGGATGAAGATTGGAAGAAAATTTATAAAGAAAACTTTTTATTTAGGGAATTAGCCTAAAATTAATGAATATTAGGGAAAATGTTGGAATGAAACTATATGACTCTAGCAGAAATGATATTAGGGGTTATGTATAAATGAGTATTAAGTTTCAAGCTTTAAGGTATTTTATGGTAAGATAAGGTTAAATAAAATAAGGTAATTTAAATAACAGAATATGGGGAAAGATGGAAAGGATCTGTCGAGTTAATTAATAGGTTAAATTGTTAAGATAAATTATTTAATAAAAATTGAGAAAGATGGAAAGACTTTGCTGAAATAACTAACTAAACTAGAATACAAAAAGGGAGGTGCGAGGAGGTCAATGAAAGAAGCAAATGGAAGTTATATGGGATTTGTGTCTTTCTTTTTTTCCTTTTTTATATATTTTTATATATATTTTTTATGCACTGTATTGATGTATTGGTTTTTATGTTTTGCGTTTTTTCTTCTTTTTATGTCTTGTAGTGTTGTTTTTTATTCTTTCTTTTTTTTCTGTAATTCTGAAATTATTGATAAATATTATTTAAAAAAATAAATAAATAAGGAAAAATGCTTACCAAAAAAAAGAAAGAAAAAAAATCAGAGCACTCCTGACATATGGTTGTCAAGCCTCTGCTTAAAGACCTCCAAAGAAGGAGACTCCACCACACTCCTTGGCAGCAAATTCCACTGTCGAACAGCTCTTACTGTCAGGAAGTTCTTCCTAATGTTTAGGTGGAATCTTCTTTCTTGTAGTTTGGATCCATTGCTCCGTGTCCGCTTCTCTGGAGCAGCAGAAAACAACCTTTCTCCCTCCTCTATGTGACATCCTTTTATATATTTGAACATGGCTATCATATCACCCCTTAACCTCCTCTTCTCCAGGCTAAACATGCCCAGCTCCCTTAGCCGTTCCTCATAAGGCATTGTTTCCAGGCCTTTGACCATTTTGGTTGCGCTCCTCTGGACACGTTCCAGTTTGTCAGTGTCCTTCTTGAACTGTGGTGCCCAGAACTGGACACAGTACTCCAGGTGAGGTCTGACCAGAGCAGAATACAGTGGCACTATTACTTCCCTTGATCTAGATGCTATACTCCTATTGATGCAGCCCAGAATTGCATTGGCTTTTTAGCTGCCGCGTCACACTGTTGGCTCATGTCAAGTTTGTGGTCAACCAAGACTCCTAGATCCTTTTCACATGTACTGCTCTCAAGCCAGGTGTCACCCATCTTGTATTTGTGCCTCTCATTTTTTTTGCCCAAGTGCAATACTTTACATTTCTCCCTGTTAAAATTCATCTTGTTTGTTTTGGCCCAGTTCTCTAATCTGTCAAGGTCGTTTTGAAGTGTGATATTGTCCTCTGGGGTGTTAGCCACCCCTCCCAGTTTGGTGTCATCTGCAAATTTGATCAGGATGCCCTTGAGTCCATCATCCAAGTCGTTGTTAAAGATGTTGAATAAGACCGGGCCCAAGACAGAACCCTGTGGCACCCCACTAGTCACTCTTCTGTTGAACTGCAGTGGTGGAATGGTGGAATTTATTCTTGCTTATTAAATCCAATAAAAATGTATTTTGAAAACGAGGTGCAGTTTGTGTCAGATTTTCATATTGCCATCCTTGGTTTTGTTTTCTCTGCTCTGGTCTTATCTTGTGAGTGTAATGAAAGCCTGTAATACTTACTACAAAAAGCAAAGCAAAGGAGGTGCTGTTGAAACCCATAAGCAGGAAATAAAAGTGATGGTTTTCCCCTTCATTGAACACTTTTGGTTAAGAGGTATTTAAAAAGTTTGGTCTAAAGGCTGCACTGCCACTAGTCATCACATATAACATTTGGACATTGTGTTTCATGCAACAGATGAGCCATTTGACCCCACAGCAATATCCTCCTATGAAACTTCCTTTGTGGTACTGGCCATACACAAGGAGCACTTTAGATTAATTCTCCAGCTCTTTCTCCTAGACTAGAAATATATGAAGACAGACTCTTGGTCGCAGCACTTTATTGGGCAAGGACCAGCAACCCAGCTCCACATATGGGACATGGAAGTAAATCCCATTGACTTTCAAGAGTGGAGCCTTAGGGATTTAATAGGGCTTAGTCACATCTTGTCGTGACTCCTGTAATTGCACTTCAATTGCTCCTGTGGTGCAATGCAGCGGCTGCTGTCAAGGGTTTCTATGGATAAATATAACCTAAACAAAATAATATGCCACAGGGTTTTAATCAGGAAGGTTTGAGGTTATTTAGACAAACAGCTGAAGTATACAATTCATTACTTATAATAACTGGAATTAGTTTGATCCTATAAATCTAAGAACTGGAATAACTATCATATTACACATCTGTGCCTGATGAGAATGAATTGCATTTAACAAATGTTAAAGCTCATATGAAAAGAAAGCCTTGCCAGACATGACTAGTGGTTAAAAACATAACAAAATAACCTGGAAGCTTGAAGAAACATAGCTAGGCATTAGAGGAAGTCTGCTGAGAAGTAGATAGCTGGTCCCAAGGATTGAAAACAATATTAGTTATATATCTTATATTGATTTGGTTGGTTATTAATAATTGGATTCTAAGCCATGATGTCGCTAGATCATGATGGTTAACAATGATATTGGAGCCGAAGTATAACATATGCTAAAATATATTCTTAAAATTCCTATAAAATGTATATCTATATCAACATAAAATGACCTGGAACAAACCTTGGTTATAGCTCATGGTTAGTGAGGAGAGAGCTAAACCATGAGCCCAGACTAAGAAAACATGCTAAGTCAAACCTTGGCTTAGCTCAGCACTGTCCAGGTCTAAAAAAGACAAGGGAAGAGCTAAGGGGCTGCGAGCTCCCCTCCAGGACCCCACACATTCACAGTCTCAGTATGCCCTACTTTAACTTACTGCGTCATGTGACCCAGCCCAATGTCAAATAGTGTGTTCATAGTGATGGTGGCCAACCACAGCATGCTCTCCTCAGGGTGATATGCCTAGCCCCTGTTTTAATAACTTGTAGGCACCAGTTGAAGATCCCCCACGGTTTTAATAATACTGTTTTTATCAGTTCATTGCTGGTTTGTTGCTGATGTTTTTATTGTTGGGTGTCTCTTATTGCTGTTTTACCAGCATTTTTGGTTTTAAGTCAATTGCTTTAATTCTTGCTGCTAACAAATGGTAAAATAGAAATATATTAAATAAACATCATTGGCTTATTGAATTTGCCCCACAGAACAGTGGCTCTCCGGGGTCTCTGAGACAGGTCCTCCCTTGCCATACTAGGAGGTGCCAAGGAAGGAACATGGGATATTATCCATGCAAAATGTGTGTTCTACCTCTGAGCTCGTGGTTGACATCTGGTGCATTTCCATGGGGAAGAAAATTCTAGATGTGGAGAAGCGTAACCCAAATTAGTGTATTGTCCTAAAAGGTAATGGGAAGTAAGTGTAGAGCTGAATCTACAGGTGCTTGGATCAACAAGATATAGGGATGATGATGTTGTTGTTGCTGTTGTTTTATTCACCTTTATGCACAGTTCATCAACCAGAGCTGCAAGGAAAATCTCAGTACTACAGCTAGGTTGAAAGCAAAAGCTACGTGAAGCAGGAAGCCATTAGCCATCTTGCTGTCACTCAGAAGTAGAAGTTTGAAGATAAGAGTTATTAGATGTGGAATCAACATCAAGAGAAGGTTTTATGTAAACTGTGCTATTTTTACTGTTGTTAGCCACTCTGAGCCTGGCTTTGGCTGGGGAGGGTGGGATATAAATAAATTACTACTATTATTATTATTATTATTATTATTATTACTTTAATTAGGACTGCAACATATAACTGATTCAGCAGTTTGATTAATGGGTTCAAATATTTTTAGTGACGATGTACCTCATCTAATTTGATGGACAGCTGATTATAATTTTTAATTCCGATGCATAATAAACAAAAATGCAGATGGCAAACACACCATTTTAAATTAGGTATTTCTTTCTGTCTCTCACCGAGCAGGTCTATTTGGATGTTTGCCTGTTGAGGGTAAAGTGGGGTCCAATGTAGTAATCCCTGCCAGCTGTAGCCTCAGACCTTAATGTGCTGTTTGGAAGGAAGATTGTTCACACATTCAGCTGAATGTGCTTAGAAGTCTCCCCATAACCAGGAACATCAATCATACAGGGTTTCCAATTGCAGCAAGGCATCTAAGTGCTCTCAGCCAATGCACTTAGAATTTCTTTTTGGACTTTCCTTTCCTGAATAATGTGGGAAGGTGAGGGTGGTTTCCGCAGGGCCAACATGTGTGGGGAAGTTGAAGACAGGGCCAGTCCTTGCTCCCCTGCACCTGCTGCACACTTTATCCTCCCCATAGAGGACATTAGCCCAGATAAGGCTAACAGGGGACACCTATTCTAAAAATGTCTGCTGCACCACACACACAACCATCATCCCAAAAAAGGGATGATTTTTAATGCTTTTTCCTCACATGTCAATTTAATTGGGGACTGGTTAATGGACTAACTAAATGGACTAATCATATTAATTTACTAAGATTAACTGAGAGACTGACCTAGTGGATTTTTTAGCAGCTGCTGGATTATTAACTATCAAGCGTTCTGCCACCTTGAAGAGCAACTCAATAAAGGCAATAGAAATCAGAGTACAAACTTTATTCCCATTTAAATCAATGTAGCAACTGAGTACTGTGAATAGATATAGCACCATAGAAATCAAGCACAGATATCAACATTGTGTTGCTTGCTTATCCACTGCAGGAGCCCTTTTCAAGCATTCAGTCTAGAGATAGTGAAGGTATAACAGAGGGCATTGCATGTCCATATGTCTGTGTATAAGATCTCTGCAGATAATTTAATGAAGATATGTGTGTTATGGGCAAAGCCTGTCACTGCAATGCCTGGTTATCCTAGATTGAATGCCTGGTAAGGGTTAATGTAAACTGCCATAAAATTGCTTTTTAAAAGCCTAATGGGTATTTATAGTACTAGCAGCAGTAGCAGCAATTCAGAATAAATGGTAAAAAATCATTTTGTACAGATATCTTGCTTGTTAAGTTAATTGCCTGAAAAAATAATGGCTGACAATTCTACAATAAATGCATCATTTACAAAAAACAAAAACAACAACAAAAAATTAGGTGATTTCTATTTCCTGTGTGTAGATTGACAGACCATAGCTTATCTGAGAAGAAAACCTAGCCTATTATTTTTCTATTATTTCCTGAACCAAGCTGGATAATCAAATCCATTGTAGCAACCAGATAAACAAAATAAGTCATTACGGCTATGGAATGTTGTCACAGCTGTCAGGTTGAGACAGTTGATTGCCTGAGGGTAAATTAGGGGACAAGGAAAGGTATTTCACTAATTCTTTCAACACTTTTCCTTAAAAGGAATCTTCTTGAAACTATATGCTTGTGCTATTTGGAAGGATTGAGTTGTAAGGAAAATTCATGTCAAAGTCATAAAATTCATCGACAACCAAACTATTTTTCATTGCTAAATTGAAATTATGTTGTTCTGCTGTTGAATTAATGTATGTGAAGTTGCTCTCATATTTAGGAAAAAAGCACTATAAAAATTAAAAGTATATTAGGAGTAGGAGTACTGTTACTACTATATGAGTAGTAGTAGCAGTACTACTATTGTGAGAGGGAGGCAGGCAGGCAAGGATAGCATCTGCTCCTATTCCAGCAAAATAATTCCAGTATAAATAATTGGAATAAATAATAATTGTTTCATTTGACTGTGTAGCAGGTGGTTCTTGCATTATAGCAGTGGTATAATTCCTGCTCCTTTGTGTCTTTGCCTCACATTATTCCAGGATTTTAGTTTATGTTTGTTTTTATTAAAAGATTTGTAAACAGCCGTTCAGGACATAAAAGCCATCACAGGTCAGTGGACAGTTCTCAGGAAAGTATAATGGGTGGGATACAACATGGCACTAAGGAAATTGTTCCATCAGTGTAAGAGTTTCCGCTTGCCTGATAGAACAAAATCTCCTCTCCCTGTACTGTTCTGGGGAAACTTCTGGCCCTTCAGAGCAGATGGGGGGGGGGGGCAGCGAAGAGATAGGAGAGAAGGGGAGGGACTTTGTTATGCTAGTGCAGGGGTCAGCAAACTTTTTCAGGAGGGGGCCGGTCCACTGTCCCTCAGACCTTGTGGGGGGCCAGACTATATTTTGGGGGGAAATATGAACAAATTCCTATGCCCCACAAATAACCCAGAGATGCATTTTAAATAAAAGCACACATTCTACTCATGTAAAAACACGCTGATTCCCGGACCGTCCGTGGGCCAGATTTATAGAATCATAGAATCATAGAATCATAGAGTTGGAAGAGACCACAAGGGCCATCGAGTCCAACCCCCTGCCAAGCAGGAAACACCATCAGAGCACTCCTGACATATGGTTGTCAAGCCTCTGCTTAAAGACCTCCAAAGAAGGAGACTCCACCACACTCCTTGGCAGCAAATTCCACTGTCAAACAGCTCTTGCTGTCAGGAAGTTCTTCCTAATGTTTAGTATTTAGAAGGTGATTGGGCCGGATCTGGCCCCCAGACTTTAGTTTGCCTGCCCATGTGCCAGTGGGTAGTTGAAAATCTATAATCAATCCTAAAAGAGATTCACCCTTTAAAATGAGGAGTATAAGTGAACCCTAGAGACAGCAGATTGAAATGTTAAACTCTTAACCCAGCTTTCAAAAAACAACATAATAATGATGAAGCCACACAAATTTCAAGCCTGGTCTTAACTGGGGAGACTACATGGGAGGGAATGATAATGAAGTTATTTCCCATGCTTGAGGGTTTTTTTATAAGACATCTGAAGGCAGCCCTACATAGGGGAGTTTTTAATGTTATTTTATTGTGTTTTATGTTTTGTTGGAAGCTGCCCAGAGTGGCTGGGCAACCCAGTCAGATGGATGGCATATAAATAATAAAAATTACCATCATCATCAACCAAACAAACAAGATCATTGCGCATCTCCCGTGTGATCTGTCCCAGAAGAGTAGTGTGTGATGGAGCCCTAGGAAGCTCCTGTAACATAAGAACCACTTAATTCTTGATGATTACAGAAGCGTCAGTAAGAACTGCGGTCAATATGACATGTTTAAGCATATTTCATCTCCCTCCTTTCCTCTGCCATATGCCCTCATGCAGGCTCTCTTTCCTTTTCAATTCCTCCCTGCCACATTTCACTGCCCCCCATCAGTATGGAATTCTTTTACCTTTTTGTCTTTCGTTTCCACAGTGACTTTGCCACCAGAGGATTCTTTGACTTCCACTTCAATATATGCTTCCTTTTCATCCGGGATCCAGGCCCTCTTCTTTCCTTTATAACCCCCGAAAGAGACAAGAGAAATGAGAGCACTCCGGAAAAGGGAGCAATAAGGGTAAAAATTCTTAGTAGTTTCTATACATGCACTTATAAAATTTAGCAGTACAACTAAACACAATAGTATTCTCCTCCTTTCATTCTCCAGCCAAGCCAATGGACCTGGAAATCATGGGTATTGCAAGATGATGTGTAATTCTCACACCCATCTTGTTTTACGATTGATTTGGGTATTTTGCTGCTACCTTATACAATATGTGGTAAATCATGAATCAGAATCAAGGGCTAGAGCAGGGATAATTGGGGCAGGGATATTTAAGCAAGCCTTCCTAACTCCAATTTGTTGCACAATACTGCATAACCATGTTTCAAATTCAAATTTGTAATACCTCTAATAGTATTCATATATATATTTGTTGAAAGCATTTTTAGCCTGCCCTCCAGGTGAAAAAGGCTTCTAGAGTGACTTGCAAAGACAACAAATAAGATGTTGGATTAAGTTTTATGGCTTTTTTGCTTGGCTTGGCTTTGTTTGTTTGTTTGTTTGTTTGTTTGTTTGTTTGTTTTAAATACCCTGGAAGGTATCCAGAAGTCTTAAGATTATAGAAGTACACCACTGTTATGTTATAATGGCTTATAAATCTTTTAAAATACAGATAAAAAATACCAAGTATCCCACATAATCAGTTTTTAAAAATAAAATAAAAAAAACTTACAAAGATTGGACACAGATTTTGAAATCCTGGCCAAATGCATAATTATTTCAGCTCTATCAAAGGCCAACTTGCATTTGCCAGGTAAATGTTTATGATTAAAAAAAATCCAAGGATGTGTGTAGAAGAGAGAATGGCTGCAATTATGAGCATAGTTAGGCTGCCTATATCCCATTGACTTCAGTGGGATTTAGGTAGATTAACTATGTGCATGATTGCAGACAATAATTGGCTGCATACACACAATACCTTTAAAGTATTCTTTCCTACTGGAGTTTACCCCTCACAGAGTTACTATTCTCAGCAACTCTTAACAAACTACTGTGCCCATAATTCTTTGAAGGGGGAAATGTGCTTCAAAAAGTACTTTAAAGACATAGGGTGTACGCAACCATTATCTTGAATGATTTCAGAAATGGACTAGGAATTTCTAGAATCAGACACATGGAAGTTTGCTCTGGGGCAATCCAGAAATACATTGTTTCAAGAGATGCTGAAATATAGCAGGTCTTTCTAGATTTTTGTCCGGTGACATTTGTCCCTGTTTCTGGATTTGCCTGTGAGCCTAAGAGTTGAGTCAGATGGAAAATGTATTTTAGGACAAAGAAAGCAATATTATGTTCCTGCATTCCTTGTGCATTAGCATTGGGGTACTTATTCTGAAACCAAACAGATCACTCCTGTAAATTGTAACAATGGCAGTGAATAGCCCACATGTAATATGATAATGGCAGAGGTGGAAAGAATGAGTATCCATTTCTGGATACTCCTGCAGTCAATTGTTTATCCCTAGTGTGACAGATGGCTAAGAAACAGCTTCCCAAACTAAATTCTCCACAGGTTTCTAGAAAGCAGATACTTTTGTCTCACACAGTCCTTCCAGAAGTACTTTGTTCACGTGTCCAATTTACATATTACAGTAGTGGTGTAATCGTCAAGAAAAACACAATCTTACTAAAGGTTTACCTACAAATTGCAAAATGGAGCTGTATGATTAGTAGAACTTAAATACAGTAGTTGTAATCAGATTTCATAAACATTTGATTCAAATACTCTGAAATTAATGGGTTTTAATCTGCAGCAACACTAGGTAAACAAATGTTCTCCTAGGAGTGGTTATAATCGCCCCAATACATATAAGCAAATGATAGCAACACTTGATAAGAAAGGGAGGGAGGGGGTCATGGATACAAGGCCCCTTGAGAACAGTAAAAGTTGCCTTACCATCAAATGGTATATTGTGATATTTTAACATCTCCTCATAACTTTTCCGGAGGTACTCAGCCGCCTCCCCAAACTCAGCCATGTCCAACATAGACATCTTGCCTCAAGGAGTAGTGCTCAACAGCAGAAAACAGATAATCTGAACACTCTAGAACATTGAGAAGAGAGAACAGAAACAAAGCATTAGCCCAGTTAGCTACAAAAAAACACAGTATCCCCCCCATGCAGAAAAATGCTATCCATTCATTTTCTGTCCTACCTAAACATAGAAAAGATTCTTCCAGTGTCAAAAGAAGAATTAGAACTTTCTTCTTTCTATCTTTCTTTCCCGGTATGTCCCTATAGGCTTAAGTCCATCAACTTGTACTACATCTAAACAGAATAAATACCTCACTCCAATGTATCAGCCTACTGCTTTTCTGCTGGGTGAACCAAAGCCAGCTGTCTCTTGGCCAATGCATGCCTCATACATGGCAAACAACAGTTGTTTCAATATGTTCCTGGTACACTCCATCACACCTTTATTCCAAATCACTGACATAGCAATTTGCTTAATTAATCTGGTAACACAGTGATGGGATGACTTGCTTCTTGCTGAGACGATGGCTTATTTTTACAAGATTCCCTTTGGTCCCTTTACGTGTATGTGTTTTAAATGAGAAAGCAAGAGTGCAAAAGATCTCCTAATATATATACAGTAGTAGGTGATCATGAAGATGCATCCTTGCTTAAGAACATAAGAAGCAACTTGTTGGATCAGACCCAGCTCCAACTTATTCAACATTCTCTACAAAAATCCCAACAATCTGTAAGCACTGGTCAGTCCGCTTGCAACTGGCCGGTGGTTCACTAGTGGATTGTGAGCTATCTACTGTCCACTCCTGCCATACACTTTTGCAAATTTCTATCTCAGAGATAGCTCTCTGCAGATGGTCCCTATGCTTCTACTCTGATTGAGCTAGTATCTGCAGACCTGTCCATGCATGAGTGGTAATGTGGATGGTTGGAAGCCCGGCTTTGCATGAACTCTCAATCAAACTAGTGAAGAAGTTTGGTTGATGCATCCATTAATTTGACAAATAAATGCCTAAGAAGACAAGGTTCCATTTAGAATTACAAAAGAGTGGTGAGTGCAGCTAGACCATTAACTCCTGCAGGACCACTCATTGTTTTATAAGTGGCTATTGTTGACAACATTCCAATAAAAAGTTGCTACAGGAACAAATAGTTCTCATATTCAGGATACATGCATGCGGAAACACAACATCAATAACACACACTATTGCTACTGGCTTTACTGAACTCAAATCTTAATAAATGCACATTATTCTTTTATCTTTCCCTTTGAACTCACCAACCCTGCACCAGCCTCATGAGTTAGCATGATAACCACAGACATCCTGTTCCTTATTCTCTTTTCTTTTTGAAAAGCCATGCTAAGGAAGGTAAGGTAACAGCACAGAACAAACATGCAACACAGACATGCTTTTGATTACCAACCTTGGCTACGGGGCTGAGTGACTGTGTGTGTGTGTGCTGTGAAGCCCCTTTTTATTGTGTCCCTCAAGGTCAGAGTAGGGAGAGATATGTCAGAAATTCCCATGTGTCATATCAGCTCCATTGGTGCTGCTGCCCTACTGCCCATAGAGACACAAAAGGCAAACTTTTATCTCTCTGCAAATGCGGGCTGGTTATTTTTACTCCTGTATTGTCAGGCGATTACAAAGGCAGAGAGTGGGGGCTCCAGCTTTGACAGGCAGCACAACCCTCTCTCACAGCCATCCTGTTCCAGAAGAGGAACACCACAAAATGCAATCGCATAATTTGTTCTTTCAGCCCCTTCTGTTGCGACCGCTTCAGCTTTCGACCGCAGCCTTTGGCCTATACTCAGAACTTTCACGACCAGGAAGGTAATTGCTGAGCAGGACGTTTAACCATCCCTTCTTCAGGGATGCCACCAGTGATCTCAAACTCCAGATTCAAAAACAGTGGCACGGGTGACTTCAACTTCATTTAATTGCAGAGTGTTTGATTCAAAATATATCAAACCTGATTTTCAGGGGGATAAAGAAATGGAAAGGAACAGGGTTCAGTTCCCCTTGTACTTTCTCCTGCTTTTTATTGCTTATTATATTATATTATATTATTTATTTTATATTATTTATATTTTATTGCTTTATATTAATCAATAAGACCATTTAATATGACACTTATTTAAAAGCTCATGCAAAGCGAACATAAAATGAGGTGGGGAGAGGAAGGGCATAAAGAGGAAAGATTTTAAAAATTCCAGCCGGACTCCCTAGCAGCAGGCTGAGGCAGTCGAATCCCGAGGAACAGCGCCCTCACTGACACGCCACCTGCCCCTGCCCGAGAAGTGGGAGTGGTGGCTTCTAGCAAGAACTCTTAGAAATCTTGTGAGATCTTGCTGCCGCCACCACATTTCTTACGTCTCCCATGGTGGACGGTGCCACACATGGTGAGTGTAAAGAAACATTCTTGGTGACTTCTACACTGCTGCTAAACTCTCTCCCTTTTAAAACTTGTCAAAGCCCAACATCTGAGCATTTTGTAGAAGCACTTTCTGTTGGATTCATGTGATTCTGTGCTTGCTATATCATAGGGATCAGCCACTGGAGGTCTTCTGGAGCAGTAGGAATGGGGGCGGGATTCAGTTTAGTTTGCATTTATAGGTGAACTTACTTAATTCCAAATTAATATGCAAACTGAAAACTGCAGCCGAAGATGTGCATATCTCACTAAAATGCCACTGAATTTTCACAGAAATGCAAAATGCAGTGGAAATAAGAATTATTATTATTATTATTATTATTATTATTATTATTATTATTTTGAATTTGAGAATGGAAAGATGAGAAGTGAAGAGAAACTGAAACGGACAGATTCACGCACTCCTGGGAGGCGGCTTCATAGCAGCAGTGAACCAAACTCCCAGCCCCTGCCTATTTATGGTGCAGCCATGTGAATGACACTAGCTGGTACATGTGCACCATGCAGGTCCGAACTCTACTTAATGCCAGTTTGCCAGCTGAGCCTCATCAACTGGAGTGACAGTGCTGACAGTCTGACAACAGTGGTGGGTCCCTGGCATTTGCAAGGTGCTGACACTGAGCCTAATTCATGCTAAATAATCTGAATGGATCCCAGTAGGTTTCAGGTGTGTGGTGGTTAGCTGCTTGACACAGGACAATTGATATGTCTTATGGAAGCCTAAGAGCTGCTTGCTCCTTATAAACTTCTAACACACATCTTCACAAGTGACATTTCCTGAGCCAGTGGGTACGGGTGGGGTGGGGAACAGAAGGACTCTGATGTCTTGGGCATCACAGCTAGCTTTGCCACTGGGGTGGAACTGGTAGTAGGGGTCTTGGCTGAGATGCTTAACTTGCTTGCTTGAATTTGGCAGAAGAGTCTAAATTAATGTTATGTTTTTAAAAAATGTGTTTTGGTTGGTCGCTTTAAGAAGGGCAGGATAGAAAAGCATATAAACCAATACATGTAGCTCATATTTGGGATCTTGAGTTATCTTTGCCAGGAGAACTCCATCACTTAAGGAGCTAATAAATACGGTATCTCCTCTCAGAGAGTGCAAGTTGTATACCCTTTCCCTGGGATCATCTATATATTTATGACTATCTATTTATTGCCTAGTCAGGGCCAGACACCTCAACCTGCTCCTCCTCTTCAGCATTGTAATCTCTTTTTTTATAATATTTTTTATTAATTCAGCGTTGTAATCTACTTGTTTGTTCACCCAGACAAAACAGATAGCAAGGAGGAGGAATAGATGCTTCAGTGGTGCCCAGTGCCCATTAGGACTGGCAGAAAAGCAAGGAGGCAGCAGTAGATAAACCCCAAGCCAAGGGCAAGGCAGAGCCAACTAATTCTAGTCCCCCTTCTCCTCCTCCCTGCTGAGACAAAGGAGGAGGCTGTTGACTGGCTGGAATGGATGCAAGTAAGAAAGCAACAAAGTGGGTATTGGCTCAGAGGTTGGTGGGGTACTGCCCTATTCTCCCAAATGGACCAGCAATAATGAGGAAGAGGAGGAGCAGGAGCTGGTGATAATGGCAGTGAAGTGCAAGACTCATTCAGGGAGAGGTGTCCACAGAGAATGTCTTGCCTGGAGCTAACACTGTGCTTGGTAGTGTTTGAATGTGTGTTTCCAAGAGCAAGCTCCTTACAGGCAATGACTTGTACATTTGTAGAAGCTGGGCCCATGAAATGCTATGGGCACCCAGGTGTAACAACCTTATTAAAGCTAAGGGAGGGTGAAAAATGAGTGGGAGCCACATGCAAGAGCAAGGTAAAGGTAAAGGTAAAGGTAAAGGGACCTCTGACCATTAGGTCCAGTCGCGGATGACTCTGGGGTTGCAGCGCTCATCTCGCTTTATTGGCCGAGGGAGCCGGCGTACAGCTTCTGGGTCATGTGGCCAGCATGACTAAGCCGCTTCTGGCGAACCAGAGCAGCACATGGAAACGCCATTTACATTCCCGCCAGAGCGGTACCTATTTATCTACTTGCACTTTGATGTGCTTTCAAACTGCAGGAGCAGGGACCAAGCAATGGGAGCTCACCCCATCACGGGGATTCGAACTGCTGACCTTCTCATCGGCAAGCCCTAGGCTCTGTGGTTTAACCCACAGCGCCACCCACGTCCCACAAGAGCAAGGTAATATATTGTAAATCACTCCAGGAGGCCTCATGATTAAAGTCATATTGGTTTCAATGGGAATTAAGTGCAGTTAATGCCGTGATCATTTTAAAAAAGTATCTTTCTAAAGAACATCAGTGGCAAGCTCTTTCAAAGCATGCAACAAACCAGGTGAGATACCCAACCATGTACAAAGGCTTGCGAGGCTTTGGGGAATGTAGAATTCCGTCTCATGTTACACTGGCCTCTCTGAAATCCCAAGGGAGGCTGCTGTGCTATTGCTAATCACCAGAGTCCCCTCCAGAGAAATATTTCTCTGTTAAGAAGCTCTGATAAAAGGCAGGAAGTGAGACGACTGCAAGCTGTTGGGGTCTTTTGCTGATAGGTCCTACCCTCAACACATCACTCCCACCAGTTGCTGTGAGAAGCAACCAAAGCAAAGGAGCTAAATCACAGATTAGATAGGGACAATCTGCAGAGGAGCTATTTCGGGCATATTTCCATTTTGTAAGACTAGCCACTTATAGGGAAGTGTTCGGGGATATCACAGTCTTGTGCTGGTTCTCGCACCCAGGGCCACACTGGTGGCAACATCATCATTATCAACAACAACTTTGTTGAGCTTCCTATGCCCTTGAAGTATTGCACAGACTTTGTATCAGTTGTGGCACATCAGAAGGTGTTTGATTTTCCTGGACAAGAGTCACTAGCTTCTACTTTTAATATTAGATAAGAAAGTATGAGGCACCTATTAACTCCAAAGAAAAGGAAGATGAGGAGAACCTGAAGAGATCATTCCATTGCTTACGGAAGCTGATAGCTGATATTGCATGTTGAAGCAGGAAGTTGAACGTTTGACGAATGTATATCCGTATATTCTTGTAAGCAAGACTGAAAGGTATGGCATGGGTGCAAGACCTACCGGAGATAAGCTGCTGTGTCGGTCGTGTTTTTGCTAATAGAGTTGCATAGAATGAATTACTGCTGGTTCGCTCCTGACATACAGTTACGAACATCTGCTGTTGCAATGATTAAACTGGGGACTCATCCACACTTTTTCCGAACCTGCATTTTGATAGTATTGTGTACCAATTTATTCCTCCAGGTCCAAGAGCTTTTCTCTTTGTTCTGCAGCTGTGCTTTGCAAAAATCCAATCTTACCCGCTGAATCAGATCTTAGCTGATGAGCAGAAAATTCGGAGAGAGATTTTGCTTAACCAAGCTTCAGTTCAGCGGGTAACATTGCATTTTCAAAAGGCAAAGCTGTGGAACAATGAGAAAAGCTCTTGGACTCAGACGAATTAATCGGTACACAATATACGACCAAATTACAGGGCAAGTGAAAGTGTGGAAGAGCCCTAACCATAAAAGGGGAAATAAATTATTTGAAATTAAAATTATCTCCATAGTGGTATCAGAGAATTCATTAGGTTCAAATAATACTAAAGCATGTATTTTATCAACCTATCAGGTCTATGAAACTTTTAACATGCTGATGTTTCCTAAGATGATTTTTGAAGGCACAAGTGTCTTCAAAATCCATCTGTAATATGGGAAAATAAATGGCAGTATCTGTTTCACAGCAAGATCCTGCTTATGTGTCTTAGGAACTGTACACCTAATTGACATAAACAATGTCTCCTGCTCCACAGGGCCTCTTATCATTGAGGAGGGTTTTCAGGAAGGATAGGAGGCTGCTCCCTGAAGAATGGAGATGAAAAGCCTTCAAATGCATACGAAATAATGGACACAGCACTTTGGATCTCACATTCTCCAGAGACATAGATAGAGACTCAACCAAAAGCTGAGTGGGCTTGGCTAATCAAGGCAATAAGGAATTTAATGCAGGCAATGAAACAGACTGGTAAAAGGGGGATAGAGTTCTCTATTCCTTCTCTGGCCCAACTTAGAAACCAAATGGACGCAAGAAATCCCATTCATCTGCACCCAGCAGAGAAATACAGCAGGCTGCTGAAGTTGGAGTAGGAGCTCTCTGTTCCCATTTCTGCCAACCCCCACCAGGCTAGAACTTTTTAGTTTTTTTTGTTTGACAAGCTATTAGCTTTTGTAGGGTCATTTACAATGCTGTCAAGGGGTAATGATTTCTTTAATGTTTTACGAATAAAATCCCACCCACCTTTCTGCCAAACAGCCAGTGTGGTGTAGTCAGTTAGAGTGTCAGATGAGAACCTGGGAGATCAGGGTTCAAATGCCCACTAAGCCATGAGGAACCTGCACTGGGTGACCTTGGGCTAGTTGCAACCTCTCAACCTAACCCACCTCACAGGGTTGCTGTGAATAAATGTTGGGAAGGGTAAAACCATGAACCCCACCTTTAGTGCCTTAAAAGAAAGGTGGGGCATATATGTAATAAATAAGTATATTTATTTCATATATATTATATACATATATATATATTATATACATATAT